ATACCTCAGCTCCGCCGCCCCTTGCCCCCCCCCCCTTCTTTCCCAACCACCCGCCCCGTACCCAAAAGCCCACCCTTTCTATCTGGCTTCACATCATTTCATCTCCATCCTTTACATGTAATTAAATAAGAACAAAAGGCCGGGGCAGAACAGAGTAGAAAGCAAGAAAACCGAAATCCAGCCGGTACATCCACAGAGGGAGGCGAATTACAACAAGTGTGAAGCGTTCTACAAAAGATAGGAAGTATAATACAAGAATATACGGTGTAAGGTGTAAGCGCAGCGACAGTAAATGTAGTAGTAGTAAGTAGTAATAGTAGCGGAAGAAGAAGAAGAGAACGAAGGATGCGTAGAAGAGACAGTCCGATGCCTTCTCCCGATCCTCTCTGTACCTACCATCGAACAAACCAGCCTTTGACCGGCGGGGAAAGAATTGGAAAAGGACGAATAAGCAACGAGAAAGCAGAAGCAAAGAGACGAGCGGGTAGTACCATCCACCCCCTTTTCCCAGCCCGGGAAAACCACCCAACCGTAAAGAGAAAACCGGTGAAAGCAACGAGGGTACAGTATAACGAAACAAACCAGTAAAAGAGAGCGGAAAGAAACTCGAGCCCAAAACAAAAAAGGCGGTCTACTCGGCATGCCGACCGGCCAATGGGAAGCAGTGCTGGAGAAAAGAGGAAAGAGCCCACTTTTAGACGCCAACGACGCTAAGCTACTGCATCGTCGTGTGATCCTCCACACCGTATCTTCCCTTTTCGTCCCAAGCGCCCCATTGGTCTTCCCCACTAACACCACTTGAATAATGGATCCCTCGAGAAAAAGCTCCGTGGTTTTTTCTCGGCTCTTTTCCGCAGACAACGGCGTGCTTCCCCCCGCGGCCACTTTTTGTGAAGGCTAAGAAAGAGAGACAGGAGAGGGTTGGAGAGTAGGAAATGTCTGTTTCTTTGATGTTGTGTTCGCGAGGACTATGCCTTCTCGCGGTTGGCTTTTTCTTTTTTGTTTTTTTCTTTCTTTCTTCCTGACTAGCTAGACGACCAAAGGAAAAGGTTTGTAGTGATAGGACATGGGAGATGTGCAAGGCTGGACCATTTGTGAAAGAAAAGTGGGGAGGGTATCCGCCGCGCTCTGTGGACGTTGTCGATGCTGTACAAGCTGTTCTCTGTTCTTCGCTTCGAATAAAAATCCTCTTGCTCCCGAAAAGAGTCAAGTCTCAAATCAAAGTCAACAAAAAAGCGGTAACAAAAGGGGGTATAGCGCCGAGCAAAGCAAACTCGCTTTCCGTGCTGGTAGAAACAAGGGTACGCTGTAAAGAGTCTAACTAAGCAGTGCCCAGTAGGTGGTGTGATGTGAGTGGTATGTATGCCGCCCAAAACGTGTGGGATAAACGACAAAGCAGCGAAAAACATCAAACAGCCTGGCCCATTCCGCAGGGGCCGGAGGGGGTATGAAGCGAACAAGAAGGAAAAAAAAAAACGACTACCTAAATCCCAAATTCCCTTTGCCTCCCAAGACACCGTAGATATGAGCAAAGTTATGCCGCCAAAATGTCGCAACTCCGATGGAAAGAATCGGGCGAAATAAATGCAGACAAGGCTCGTCGACACCGTCAGTTGACGAGCCAGAAAATGTCGAAATCGACGTTGCGGTGGAAAAACGCCGCCAAACACCAAATGCTCCTGTGCTCCTGCCATTTTATGTCTTAGATGCCACCAGTCCGTTCCTGACGGAGATTCCCATGTAACTTGGGGGAATACGTAACGACGCCGCTCCGAAATCGCAGAGAATGTGGCCGTCAGAGGTTGATTTTTTTTTTCGATCCGATTAAGATTAGTCGTATGTGCAAGAATAAACGTCAAAATGTGAAGAGGGCCGGATCACGATCACCGATAGGCGTTCTGGGCGGCGAAGATACTCGCTGCTGCAGCTGCAGCCCACTCGTTCTCCTCGTACGGCGGCGTCGGCCACTTGGGATCAGCAGCTTGCGGGTGCTGGCGCTTCGCGATGTCGACGGGCTTGGTGGGTGTCGAGTAACTGCCATTGCCAAAGCTGACGTTGCGGTTTGCAGATGGGGAAGGTGTCAGATATGCAGGGTTACTTGTCGGGCCGTCGTTTCTCGCCAACCGCTTCGAAGCCTTGTGTGCAGAAACCAGCGCTTCGTCAAGCAGCTCTTCCTCTTCGTTGGGCGTCTCGTAACGGTGGCCGGCCGAGGGCTGCTGCTGGACGGCGCGGCGAGTTCGACTCGAAACGGGGCCTCTGCCATTGCTATCGCTTCCGTGGGGCAAGGAGTGGTGTCGCTTCAGCATCGGGTTGCTTGCCACCCGCGGCGAGGGGGACGCCTTCACGCTACCGGCCGGGGAGAGTCCTTCCAAACTATAACGCACGTGCTGCAAGGCCTTGTCCATCTCAGCAAAGTCTGACTGTTGCATTGGGTTGCTCGTGGGTGCAGGTGGGGGATCAATGTTCATTGAGTGCCGGTTGCTGCTGCTGCCCCAAGCTAGACATCCTGCGCTTGCTTCGATGTCGCCTGACGAGGGAGAAGGTGGAGCTTGGTACCGACCAGAAAGTCGCCTTGCACGCTTGCGAAGATGGGAGAAGAAGCCCTCCTTGAATGGATTCGATGGGGATGCGAGGCCGGACTGTCCGTTCAGGGCACGCTCCGCTTCGGCGCGGTGGATATCTGCGTAGTGGTTACCGTGCGACGCGAGCGACAGCTGGCGGCCGATTTTCTTCGTGGCTTTCTCGTTCGCACTGGGGTTCTGGCCGGCCTGAGCGGTGACTGCATCGGAGAGAGGTGAGATTGGTCGTATGGAAGGTAGTATTGGCATTGGCGCACCATTTCCTGAAACACCATTCGTCCAGGTGGCCCTCTTCGCTGCGTCTCGTCTCTGCTTAGTCGTCAGGGTGCCGGCGGACGTGTTCGAGGCCTGAGGCGAAGGCTGAGGGGAAATGGGTTTCGGCGCGCTGATGTGCTGCGGAATGGCGGGGGAGCTGTCCCTGGCAACCAAAGACTTGCGGAACCAAGAAGACGTCTTCGAGGTGAGGCTGGGCGTGTCGGTCGAGTCTTTGCCGGACGTGTTGCTCATGTCGGAGTGCTTGCGGTTGAGGAAACGCGAGGCGGACGATTTGGGGCGGAGCGGGTCGACGGCGTCCTGGAAGAACTCGTGGCACAGGGCCTGAGTAGAAGTCGGGCGGGCCTTGGGATCCCACATCAAACACCAAGTGACAAACTGTGCCAGGCTTGCGGGCCACTCGGGCGCCTGCAGAATGGTGTCCATGGCGTGAGGTGCCATCTGTAAGACAATCAGCTTCGCTTCAGCGCGCGACACCAGTCGGAATTACCTTGGGGAACGAGAAGCCCAGCTTCTGGGCCAGCCTGATGCCATCCTTCCACTCGCCGCCGCCAACCTTGGCGCCGTGCTTGTTGACCCAGCTTCCAGGGCTGCCCATGATCTCGCACACCCTCCAGACCTGGTCGACCTCGTTGCCGCCGGGGAAAAGGGGCTTGAGGGTTGCGATCTCCACGGCCATGGCACCAACGGCCCAGATGTCGACGGGGGCCGAGTATTCGCCGGCGCGAAGGAGGACCTCGGGAGCTCTGTACCAACGCGTCGAGACGTAGGTTGTGTAGGGGAGCTTGGAGTGGGTTTCTCTGGCGAGACCGAAATCGGCGATCTTGATGGTGTACGAAGGGGGGGTCGAGGGCGGCGTGACGAGAGCGGAGTATCTCTTGAATGCGTTGCCTGTGTCGGGGGCAGATGTCGAGACGAGGATGTTCTCGGGCTTGATGTCGCGGTGGAAGAAGTTGTTCTCGTGGATGTGCTCGAGGCCCGAGATGATCTGGAAGAGGATGCTCTTGACGGTGGAGCAGTCCAGGCGCTTGTGGTCGCGCGCCTTCATGAGCTGGTAGAGGTTGCCGTCCATGTACTCCATGGCAATGTGCAGCTTCTTGCTCATGGGATCCAGGAAGATGTCGAGGGCGGGCACAAGGTGGGGGTGGTTGGGTAATGATCGCAGGAAAATGACTTCTCTTAGCTCCAGACATTGGTTGAAGTTGTCGAACGTCTTCTTCATCGTCTTGATGGCAACCTGCAGGCGGTCAGCTTGCGGGCTGGCGGGTGAGTGCGGGCGGGAGGTCGTACCAAGGTGCCTCTCCGTGCGATGTGAGCGCCGGCGCTCCGCACGCGTGCCAGCGAGACGCTGCCAAAGCTTCCGTCACCGACATCCTTCAGGACCTCGAACTTGTCTTCCAGGCAGACGGCTCCGTGAGAGCCCGAGGACCAACCCCGGAACGAAGAGTCGTAAGCAACCGTCATTGCGACGCTGGTGACAGGCACAGACGGCAGCTTGCGAGGAGCGGGATTGGAGGAGGAGGAGGAGGGGGGGAGAGGGGGTGCTGCCATGGTCAACACAGGGGCGCGAGTGGCGCGTCAGGGCGTGCCAACTCACCAACTCGACGCTGCCAAGGATAACGATGGTAGAGGTTGGAGGGCTATAAGGTTGCCGTGCTCATTGCATGCGGGCGGGACAATTGGGCGGCGGGTCGGGCGGATTGAGCGATTGGCGTGGGCGGGAGAGACAGTGGCCCCGCGAGTTAGACGGCGTGGTAGAAGGAGAGAATCAGGGTCCAGAAGAGGGTGAGAGAGAAAAGTGCGGCAGCTGTTTAGAAAAGGGCTTGCAGGCTAACGTGGAGACAGTCCAGGACCACGGTAGGCGGGAGGCGTGCCGGAGGGTCGGTTCGTTTTAATCGATCAAAAGGAGCAACGCCCTGCCTTCTAGCGTGCGCGGTGGCCGGTGCACGCTGGAGCGTGATGGGAATTTGAGGAGATCTTCACAAAAGGAGCGCTCGGTGATTTTCACCAGGCGCGGCCTGAGTCACGCCGAGCGGGCGCTGGCGTGTTTACGCCCGTGAGCCTGGAGGGGCAGGCCTGACTGTTTCGACGGGCTTTCTGGAAAGCGGACACTGACGCCGATAATCTCGGGTGAGTTTGAGATAGGCACAGTGCTCCAGGGCCCCACCGCGACGAGAGATTGCTGGAGGCGCGTTGAGGCAGCGGCGGCGGGAGGTGCTGGCGCACGCGCGCACGCGAGGCCTGGGGTGGCGGAGGTGAGCTGGCCGGCCAACGCTGCTTGCTCACGACTTAGCGGAGCGGTGAGGCAGCGAGCGCGCCGGGAAGGCTGGGAGGGAGTGACTTGCAGCTCGGGGGGCAGGCGATCGGTGAGCGGCTTGTGTCCGGGCGCATGAGCGGGAGCTGGAGACGGCCCTGCGCAGCGAGGGCGACGAGAAATTGCGCCTGGCCCTGCGAGTCGTGGGTCACTTCACGAGCCGGGGGCCCGCCGGCCGGCTGGTCCCGTACGTGCGCGGCATCGCAGCACTATTGAAATGTGATGATTCCAGTTTCGGGCGCGTTATGCAACCGCTCCCCGGCGCCCACGCCGCCGCGCTGCGCTGCCCGCCGCCCGCCTTAGCTAATCGCAGCCAAGCGGTGGGCGCGCTGCAAACGCACCCTTCACGGGAAGCCACGTTGTGCAGGGAAGGCGGCAGGGGGGGCAGCGCGACTCCTTTTTGCGCCAGTGGGAAATGAGCACTAGCGGCGCACAAGGCGAGGTGAGTGCCTGAGCATCTCTGTGTGTCGTGCGGCGCCATTGGCGAACAGGCCTCCGCCTGCCAGATGGTGCGCCGCGGCACAACGGCTCCGAATTAGCTCTTCATTTCGAGCGAGTTGGGCAACGGCCGCTCCTCGTGCTTGTGCCACGCCGGCTGCGGAGGCCTCCCGCATCTGCTCGTGGACACGCACGACACAGGCCGCCCGCCGCCCGCAACAACAAGCAGAGTGACGTGAACTGGCGCGCCGGCGAGATCCTGCGCCTTCACCTATAACCATGGCTTCCCGCGCAGCTTGGTCCCGGGCTGGGGGAAAGCCATCGACGATCCGCGGCCGCCTGCATGTGCTGGGCGCATCCCCCGCCGCCGTTGCCCAAGACCACGACGGATTGGCTGGCCTGCTGCCCGACGTCGTGACGCTAAAAACAGCCTCCCCCGGGAATGCGAAACGGTGATGCTCTTCAACACCTTTGTGCTTTTTTCCCCAGCGAAATGAGGACTGCGGGTGGGAATACGCGCGCATGATTGGCGAAGAGGCGCACGTCGAACCTGCAATCTCGGACGAGGCAGAGTACGAGCGACTTCCCCGGTCTCAGAATTACCTTCCGACCTGCTGCTACTTCTTATCCCTCCGCCCGCCCAGCTCGGCTGCACACGCCCTTCAGCCCCAACTCCATTCCAACGTTGCAATCCCACGTCAGAGCTGAATGCGATCCGCTGATGGACGCGGGATCCGCCCGTTGGACCCATTCTCGCGCCTGGCGGACCGTTGGACGATGGAAAACGTCGGCACCTCCTTTTCTGGCCTCTCCTGTCGATTAAGCACGGGGGGCGGCAGAGAGCGTGCCTGGTAGAGTCCATCCCACCCTTGATTCCTTCATGCACCGCCCGACCAATCTGGGACCGGCCCGCGAAAAAGCAACACGAAAGCAAGCTGGAAAAGCAGTACCTGCTTCGCGCATGCAGCTGATACCGGCTAGCCGGAGCCCGTACATTGCTTAGCGCCTCACGTCTCGTCCGCCGAGAGAACCTCAAGAAGACTGCGGATCCCAGACTAGCAACACATGGACCTCCGGACCTCATGCCCAGCAGATGACCAGTCCTGCTCGTGACACTCAGCTATACACGCGCGAGGCTGGCAGCAGGCGTGAGGCGCGCAATCCTCAACGCATAGGCGCGCGCTCGCGCAGCACGTTTCAGCAAGATTTGGTGGATATTGTACTTGTGGCCGGCCTGACTGCTTGTTGCCCACGATCTGCCGGAGCGCTTCGGTCGGGGTTGCGAAATAAGGTTTCGGCGACGCACTACAAGTGGGTCTGTGATGTCGACAGTTGCGCAGGGCTGAAGCAGTCGGGCCTCACGCTGCTGGACTACGCGCTGGACGGGGGGAGCGAGCGCGCCAGAAAATCGCTGGAGACGAAGAACGTGTGGCATTCAGTGCGCCTGTGACGGCTTCGTGGCGCCGCGCCGACAACCTAAACGCGCGCGAGAGGGTTGGGGGATGCTGTCATAGGCGAACAAACAGGCTGTTGCCCTTTCGATGCCCGATGTGATACGCGGCCAATATGGACGCGACACTGGGCAGAGAGACACACCAGTGCGCGGCTCCGCGGAGTGGCGGCCAGCAAGCTCCTTCCTTGGGTTTCCTGGAGAAAGCTCACCACCAGATCGACAAAGAGAGCCAGGTCAGTGCTACAACTACTACTCTAGCGCCGCGCTTCGGATGGCGGGAGGGAAGACCCTTTCGGTCCCTTTTCTCGTAAATCGCAAAGTCTAGGCCCGCTAGGCGCGCTTGTGCGTTGCTACCGGTTTGTTTACTTCTTGCTCAGTTGCCTTGCTAGCTTCCTCCATCGGCTCCTGCGCCGATCAGTGGCAACGGAGACGCGCGTGTCACTGCAGCGACTGCCGATGGAGCCTGAGGCAGAACTCTTTGGTTTCTCCACCATGTCATCCGACGTCAGTCCGTCGTGGCCTGTTGTCCGGTCCTGTCTCGTTCCCATCCGCGCAGCCAATCAGTCCGCTAGCGGTAAACCCTCATCGAACGATCCTGGCATCTCTCAGCACATCGGCTGTAACAATCCTGTAAAACAGGTGCAGCCTCTTTCACGTCCGTCTTCAGCTCTTTACTTAACCTTCTTTGTGATCCTTCGCCTCCTTCCCGAGATGATTGTCCCGTCAGGCATCAAGAGAGTCATCTGCGTATTTGCTGTTCACCAGCAACGTTTTGGCGTGAGGTCCGGACGAGTCTCCGGAATTGCTTCGCGCACGCACTCTTTCCACATCTCTCTGCCCGCACAATCATATTTACTTTAGGCTACACGGCACTTCCCGTCGTATCGCCCGCGGGCGGTCTCCTACCCTTCTTTCAGTCTCCCATCTGGTGCTATTCCAAGATGGTGAAAGCCTCAAATTGGATGCCCTTTCCTGGCTCGTATACAGCTTTCAAAAAAAAAAAAAAAAAAAGAGGGAGAGATTTGATTCCATCATACGAGACTAACGAGAAACACAACACACGTGAAACCGCTATGTTGGGCTACTTGTTCTCGCCATCAACTTCGTTCATCTAGACTGTCTCGTACGCACAGCGACACGTAAGAAGCATGACGCCGGAAGACCGCTCTCGCATATTTCTCTCATTCACATTCGCATGTAAGTAACAATCTCAGGCCATAGCCTTCTTCTTCGGCTTCGCTGCCTCGCCTCGCCCCTTCGAACATGATCTCTCGTCTGCTGGGTGGAACTCCACCGGATGGTAGGTAAACCTTACCGGGTTCGTTCCTTGTCCCGGGGCAGCAATGGTGAGCGGGCTGCGGTGGGAAGAGAAGTAAAGGGGTCCACGTAACCATGAGGTGACATGCAGGTGGAGGGAATACCTGAGAAATCAACTTTTACTACGTAAACGATTGAACATATTCGAGCAGTCCCGCTTTCCACACAAATGAACTGGCATGGGTGCCTACCAGTTCTGGTGCCCCTCATCTCAGGGAATCAACGTGGGCCTCAACGTAACTTGTCCTGATTCGCATGCGTGCAGCGGAGTGACATCGCGCTTCGGCTTCACATGTGAAAAACGTGTCTGAAGACAATACGGACAACAGTTCCAGATCGGGATTGTCTCCTCCCCCAATTACCGTCTGCGCAGCCAACGGACGTCCTCGCTCCGGACAAGGCGAGGACATGACGTGACACTATTAAGTATCCGCTCTCGCCTATGCCGGATGAAAACGCAAATCAAACAAACCCTTCAACCACGTGCGACTTCCTCACACGAACTACGGCTCAATGTTCAGTTCCGCAGAACAAAGGGTTTTTTTTATTTTTTTTAACGAAGAACCGACTGGCCGCAACCCATGTAAGAAGAATTTAGCAACAGTACGTTTGATTGCAACAAGAGGGTAATGATCAAAGGCAAAACATTTTTCTTGCATATTCTTCTGCAACGGGACTCTCATTGTATAACAGAGACGACCTCAGACTAGCTTCTCAAGGTTCACATCGACGACCAAAGTCCGACACTCACCCCGGTTTGGGGAATGAGCCGCGGCTGTCTGTGAAATTTGCCTTTTGTGGTTGTCATCATAGGTCCCTGTCCTGTCTTCGTCCGGGTCTGCCTTGCTTCTTTATTGCCCGCAGGACATTAAAGAGAACCTCGAAAACTATCGTCTTGCACCGATGAACCCGGCCGTTCCGGCAACAACGCAATGACTCAACCTCCAGATCCCTATAGCAGTCAGTTCCAGTTAAACTTAAATGATCCTGGGGGAGGGAGACTTATAAGAAAAGAATGCGGGTCGCCCCCCTTTGGAGTGTGACATCCTCCAGGAGACGACCAGGGCTCCTCGCCCTCCTCCCAGTCTTACCCACCCAGAACGTCCCCTAATGAACATCTTCTCCGCCGAGATGCCCCTCTCTAGGCCCAACAGCGCCCTCGTCAGCATGCAACACTGAGCAAAACCAGGACAAACCATCACGCCCCGAGCGAGGTCAGCTAGCATGCATCTGCGTAGGAAATGCCGTCCTCGAAACAATCGCTGCGCTCCAGTAGCCAAAGCTATGGGCGAAGATCCGCAGATATAAACAAAGTTTCGGACAAGCGACTGGCTAGGCGTAGAGAGCGGACAAGCCTTGACTTTGATCCTCACTCTTGAGAGGTCCCGCTTCGTGCGCCCAGTGCTCCAGCTTCAAGTCGTCAAACCCCGCCAAACCGCTCGTCTACCCTTTGGTGCTGGCGTCAACGATCAGCTCAGGCATTCCTCGCGTGCTTATTGTAGAGGTTGTGCTGCTGCTCAGAACGTGGTGTTGCCGTTGGGTCGATGTAGAAGTGAAGAGGGGCCGGGATTCGAGGAGAACATCTGTACGACTGACGTGGGCTCTCGGTAGCTCCCGCCACACAGCACCCCGCAACTGAGATCGTCGTCCCTGCAGATTCCTGTCCGCACACCAAGCTGGTCGCCATCTCGTCCGCTTTCGTAGGATCGCCAGCGCTATCGTTGACACTCGTCTTCCAAACCTCGATGCTTTAGAAGCAATCAAGAAAGTGGTAATCTCTCCGTGTGTGGTTGCAGTCCTCCCATGGACAGTCTTTGTTACCTCTCAAAGCCGACCAAATATCGGGATCAAGGGCAATGTTTTTTCCGCGGACAAAGCACATCGTCAAAAACCGCGTCCGTATCCATGCATGTGTTAGGATCGGAATCTTGCCCGACTAGAAGCAACCGGTAGCAAGATATTTCGGCGCCCATCAGTGGACTCCTACGCTGAACGTAGGGGGAGATGGTTAACACGGCTGGTCGGACGACACCGATGGTGACGATGCCATTGGCGAGTGCCGTGACAAAGGCCTGCAGCTATGCTGGATCGTTGCAGATCTCTCTAGAAGGAGCCGAGGGTGGAGATCAGGTTCGCTGAGTGAGCACAGGGGCACTGGCTCTCGGCGGAGTAGGGAAGCTGTGCGGGACGTCTTCACCATTCTTAGCAATCCTGGTCAAGCAGTCGATGCACTGGGACCTTTGAGTGCATCGAATCCAGCTGCTGTGGTGAACCAATTCCAGAATGCCGACGTCAACACCCACCGCTATCAGACACCTTGAAGCGCCAAGCATTATCCTTCAAGGCCCCCGAACTGGAGCATCTCAGCTCGCCACTGGAGTTGAATAACAAGCCGAGCTCCCTCTGAGGAACACTTGAAGACCCCGCTGCACGACAGAGCGTGGTCAAGGCGAGTCTATCTTGCAAGAGTGATGTTCAAGACATCGAGGAGCGCTCAGAAGCATTCTGTTCGTAGACAATGGCTCAGCCACAAAAGCCGTGCTCAATCGGGAATCCCATCCAGATAACGCCAGACAATTCAAAGACGTAAGGCGACGATGGACAGCACTGAAGCCGCTAGTGAAGATTCTGACAAACTTTCCAAGGCTCGCAGCTGGTATCCGATTTTGCAGGTCCCAGGAAGGAGCAGCAGACGACGGAGAGCTCGATGGCATGTGAAGGTCCCAAAGACGATCCTCATGGAGGTGCCCGACAGCATTCCACCTGATCTATCCTGCGGCGTCTTTCCAGGCACGTCGTTGCGAGAGGCCGTCCGTAATGACCAGAGTCTGCTGTCCAGAGAGAAGAATCGACGCGCGTCTCCCAGGGAGATCTTACCAAAACGACGCATGAGACTTCCCTTGGACCACGATCCGCGCTTTCGCCTCCTCCACGTTGGCCATCGTCCAGCGCGAAGCATGGCACATCAGACCGCGGTTGCGGAAAGCTAGTCACGCGGTCGGCAACTGTGTGACCCGTGAGGCTGAAAACCGGAAGGGAATTAGGGTTAAGTTCCGAATCCCATCCTCCTTCAAGGCATTCCCCGAAGGTACAGTGTTTCCACTGCAGAACCGACGGTGCACAACAACCGGCACCCAGTGAGACCGTGCTATGAGGCTCGAGTACGGTGCTAGCACAGGCGATACAAATGCACAAGAGGCGTTGTTACACATCCCTACCTTGCGGCCGGGAGATGGGAGACGGCGCTGTGGGGGGAGGGCGCTGCGTCAATTTGTGGGGCTCGGACGAGCGAGAGATTGGTGGAAGACGAGAGGCGATAGTCGCGTAGCGGTCCCGCGTTTGATGGAGTCCTCGATTGCGGCTGAGCGTGGGCCTTGAGAATTGCAGGTCAGATTGCAGTCGGAATGTGGTTCGAGAGAGGGCTGATCCGCGCAGTCGTTGACGAAGAGAGAGTTGAAGAAGAAAGGAAGAAGGCAAGTCGCGACGCGCGCAAGAGGGTGGACTGGTTCTGAATACGCGTTTTGGGACTAGCGTGTTTCGCTGCGAAAACACGTGACGTCACCGTTTGCTGCCGCGCTCGAGACAAGAACTTCCATCGAAGCCCGTCGCTCTCCGCGACGCTCTTGCTCTAATACTTTGCGCATCATGCCGTCCTTGAGAGAGGAGCTCGATGCGGCTCGGAAGTTTCTTGCTCCTGCCTGGAAGCGCGGTAATTACAGTCCGTCCCACTCCGGAGCCGTGTGCTGAGGAGATATAGGGAACGACGACGTTGTAGTTCAACTAAGCAGTGGTGTCGACACCTCATCCACTTCCAATACCCACGGGCTTGTGTTGCGAGCGGCTTTGAACCATTTGCTTCAGATCCATGAGGCAGATATAATCCAACAGATCCAGGCGCCTCCGGCCAACGCGGATGGAGACTATGATGAAGATTCTAGACAAACTCTGTACGGGCTACTAGATCTGGTAGCCATCCGCGGCATCCTTCCGTCCTTGTCACCGGGCGTCGCAGCAAAGCATCGTCCCAGGTCGATGATCCCAAGCCTAAGGGACGTGACTCCGAGCAGCGACAAAGATCCAGAGCTTCTATGCGCAATTGTGGATGGAATGAGCAAAATGCTCGAGAACCCCGGCGCTGGCTTGGCCCCACTGATCAGGGAACGTGCTTTGATCGACGTCGTCGCCGGTGCTGGAGAGCTTGCATTTGCTCCGGATTCAGGTCATGACGTGCACGTCAAGTACGGGGACATCTTCGTGGCCATCATCAATAAGTCAGATTCTGGCATTTCTTCATGCCCCAATCGAATCACTAACCATATCAAGGACTCCTGTTTCTTCGGCTTTACCTCTCCTCACGTATCTCATGCAGCCTACAACCCCTCCGTGGCTCAAGTCACAGCTCTCGAAACAGCTCTCACTGGTTCCTCTACGCCCTCACGGCGTTCGACACACAATCGAGTTTATAGCGTCTTCGTACCCGCAGCCAGCCGGCACCCAAGACAGGGCCAAAGGCCCTTCGCTGCCCCTCGAAGCTCTGGTGCAAGCATCAAAGCTTCTCTCGTCCGTCCCAAGCTCGATGGATGCTGAATCGTACTTTACTGCTCTCGCACCGCAGTTGTTAACCATGCTTGATGGTGTGGAAGGCCAAGAGTTGGCCAAAGCTGCGGCACTGATAATCGGCAGCGGCATACTTGGGAAGAAGGCGTTAGGTGCGCCAGGGGCCATAGGATGGCGCCTCTTTGCAGAACCCATATTCTTCAGCATCAATCCCCCCAAAGTCAGTGTGGAAGGTTCCGGAAGCTTTGTGTCGAATGATACCCATGCCTTCGTTGCGGAGCCGGAACTCAGGCGCGCAGTAAGCCGCCTGGTCACACTTCTCACATCACGTCCCAACCCTGGCTTGTCCAAACGTTTACTCGGGCGATTGATGCTTCCACTATGGGCACTTCTTGATTACGCGAAATGCCATCCCGTTGACCGTGTTTGGAGAGATATACCATGGCAGCTGCTCGAGACGTTCTTTCGGCTGGGTGCCGGCGTGGAGCAGCTCGAAACCTTAGCGTTGAGCCTGCTCTGGGACGGGCCACCGGCTTGGACTTTCGCTCCTGGTAGCGACGGTGGTATTGAGATCCGTCGCAGGGAGCGCTCTTCCGAGGACGATGCCTTCAATGTTATTGCGCAGATGAACAGTCTGGAGCAGAAATTGGCCATGTATCAAGAGCTTTTAATCGCGAGCGGTGTTGAAGACCAGGATATTGGAGACCTCTTCGTCAAGTTAACCAGACGCTGGTTGGTACCCCGCTCTTCCATGGCGGAACATGTTCCCAAGTTGGAGGCTGCGATGGAAGAAGATCCATTTCAATCCCTCATCACTGCCAAATTGGTCATGGGTATACTGGAGAAATTCAGAGACAAGCTAGCAGCGCAACCAGACAATATGATCGAGCTGGTCAAGCAGCTGCTCTACGAATGGACCGAGTCCGAAAAAGCCAGGAAGAAGCGAGTCGAAGATTTACAGAGGCCTACCTACGCCGGCTTACGCAACATTGTCCAGCAGCAGCAGAAAGGGGGCATGATACCCGAGCAGCAAGCCGCCTCAGCGGATATCGACTCGAGTGAGATCCTCCCGGTGGCGCTCAGTCTCTTGAACACGCTCCTCTCTGCGCCGAACTTTCACCCAACCGCTCAAACATCCTCCACCCTCTCCATCATCCTTCCCACCCTTTCCAACCTCCGCGACCACGAACCCGGTAGCGAGCTTCCGCCCTCCGTCTCCGTGACGGCAGCGAATCTCACAACCCGCATCTCCACCTTGCTCAACGTCCCTGTACCTTCTGATCCAAGCAACCGTACCGCCGTCGCCGCACCCACTGCCGACGACCAAAAAGCTCTCCAAGCCGCACTCGCCGACCTCACATCTCCCACCGCCCCCCTCCGCGCCTCTGCCCTAAGCACCATCGCCTCACTCGCCTCGTCGCACTCCCGGGTTATCGACGTTCCACAGCTAACACTTCTTCTCCTACGTACTTCCCTCCCGGACGCCGATGAATACGTCCACCTGCACGCCATCAAAACTCTCGCCGCGCTCGCTTCCCTCGACCCGCAGCTTGTCGCCGGACAGCTGCTCGCAAATGCCTTTGTCGACGCCGACGAGACGGCTGTGGGAGAAGGCGGGCTGGACGCACGCCTGCGCATCGGCGAGGTGCTGGGCCGCGTCGCCGCAGACGTGCAGGAATCGCTTGTCCACGGCCGGAACCGTTATCAGTCGTCACCACCAGACGCCTCCCGCACCGTGATCCGCAAGATCGCCAGCGCCGCCGTGCGCGTGTCGTCTCGCCGCGGCCAGCGCGTGCAGGACCAGCGCGCCCGCCAGCGCACCGCGCGGCTCGAGGAGCGCAGGAGGCGCGACGCGGAAAAGGCGTGGGGCGGCGAGGTCCCCTCGATCCTGGGCGAAGAGGAGCAGGGAGAAGAGGACGAACGAGACGCCGCGCTCCTCGCATCCGTAGTGTCCGGCTGGAGCGACACGGGGCTTGAGGAGGACGTGCGGCTGCGCGCGCTCGCCCTGAGCGTCTTCACGACCGTCGTCCAGGAGCCCGCGACGCTGGCGCTGCTGCCGCCCGAGGACGTGGCGGCTGGCATCGACATCGCGGTTGGCAGCTTGGCGCTTGAGACAGAGGAGAGGCACGCAGTGCTGAGGCGGGCGGCGGTGCTGGTGGTATGGGGGTTCGTGAAGGCGGTGGATAAGGTGCATGAAGAGGGGGGTAGCAAGGGAGCGATGGTTGGAGAAGGTGCCGGGCTGTCGCCGACCAAGTGGGAGGAGGTGGAGAGAGTTGTTGGGTGGGTGAGGGATCAGGATGGGGATGCGGTCGTAAAGGGGCATGCAGGTGAGGTGCTAGAGGCACTACAGACATGGCGCGTGAAGAAGGCGCTGGGTGTGAGAGGGGATGGTTCGTTGGCTGGGCAGGGTATCCAGTTAACAGGTGATCTGGGGCTATCTGAGCTGAGAGGCTTAAGCATTGGTGTGAATGCGCAGGATGAGAGCAGGCAAAGCCATGGTAAGAAGCTTGTAGTAGAGGAGACTGAGTAGTTGCATCACATGGAAACGAGAAGGTACAGCCATCCAAACGGGCAAGTGTCTTGGGGAAATAGGCCGTGAACAAATCGCCCGGCCTTTCTCATTGTGGTATCCTGTCCCGATGACCTGAAAACTCCATATGAACCATGCTTATGCTTGAAGCCATCCTGAACCAATCAATGCCAATTGGCATGCCGGGGGATGAAGAACCATGATGATCACTCCTTCTCGACCTTTGCGCGCTTCGGGTCGGGAACCGGCTCCTCCTCTGCCTCGCCATCGTCGCGCTTGCGCTTAGGAATGGTGGTCATGTCCGAAGGAGGGGTGAGAGAAGCAGCATCGCGAGAACGAGGACCATCGCCAGACCGCACAGTTCCGGCAGTGCCGCCAGTAGAAGAGCAAGCCTTTCCATCGCCAGGATCCTCCTTAATGACGTTGCGCTGCTGGCGACGGCCAGTCTCCTCCGGAGCCGCCGTCAGAAGTTTTTTGCCAGCCTTCTCCTCTACCGCCTTGGGACCTGCAGCCACTGAAGTAGTTATCCGTCTCCAAATCAACCGCTCATCTCTGCATCGTTTGACTTGCCTGGTTCGCCCGCGTCCTTTGCAGAAATCCAGAGAACGTTGTTGCAGCTGGGGTCCGTCAGCGCGAGGGTCACCGGGTGGGAGGGGCTTTAGGGTGGTACCGAAACAGGACCTGGCCAAGAGTGCCAGTGCTCTTTCCGTCGATGAACTCCTCGGTGTTGGCAAGCTGGAGGTTCATGTAGCTGTCGGCGGAGATGAGGGTGCCGGTGTACTCGGTGTAGCCCCACTTGAGACGGACGCGGATGTCCTTGCCGACGCTGCGAAGGACGTTAGCGACGCGTTGGAGCGTGGATGCGCGGGCGAGGCAGCGCGCAGCGTGGTGACGTACAGGGCCAGGAGCATGGGGCGCGGGTTGACGGGCATGAAACCCTGAGTCAGTCAGCATCGGCAGCAATTGCGGGCGGAGGGAGGCGCGTACGCTCATGTTGGGCAACTCGCAAGCGCTGGCTTGGGTGGTCTGTGGTGGAGGGAGTCGGTGGTTAGGCGGCGGGCAGGTGTCGCGCCCAGCTCACACAGCTTTCGCTCGAAATTTAAGCTCGGGCCACGGCTAGTGACGTAAGGGGACTAGCGCGCCCGTTGCAGCAGCGGCCATGCGCGCATGCCGGGCCTCACCCTCTCCTCTCCCACACTCAACTACCGTAGGGCTGTCGGCACTCTTCGGACATAGGCTCATCTTGCCGCCAGCAATGATGATCTGCTGCACAGTTCCCCCGCGCCCGCATCCTCACCGCGCTCCAAGCTCATTGGCCGTTGCGGACCTCGCTCTCTGTATAGCACCAGCAAATTTGGATGGGCAATGCGCGCCGCCCAAGCACCGCCTCCGTTATTTCTTTGTTCAATTGCCTTGCGTAGATGGCCCCGGCCCAAGCGCTGCAACCTAGACACCTTCATGAACCCTGTGTCTCAAATACTCTAGACCATGCTCTCTCTCGCTTGTTTCTCGCCAGAACTAACCCTCACTCTCTCTCTCTCTCTCTCCTTTCAACACCTAGCCCTTACGTCTATTCTCAACAATGTACAGCGCATAGATTGCAGCTATTGCCTAAGCCTTCGTTTCCACTTCTTCTTCTTCTTCTTCTTCTTCTTCCCTCAGCCGACCAACGTCCCCGCGACCTTCACAATCTCGCCGCCGATCTGCCAAGTCGCTTCCAGAACTTCCAATATATCAGTCCACCGCCGATCAACATGTGCAAAGGAATCCAGAAGTCCTACAGCTGCGGCTGCTCCCAGCCAACCCAGACCTACTACCGCTGCCCGGATCGGAAGAGAACAAAGACAATCTGCCCGGGCAATGATCCGGACGACGATATGGTCATGCGCGTCGACATTTGCCTGAACTGCATGGAGAAAAACGACTGGACCGCATGACCGGAACCAATCCGCGCGCCTGGCTGCTCTCTGGAATCCACGAGGGAAAGTTGAAGAGCTCATGATGTTTTATGCCCAGGAGGCGTAAAGGGTATTCGTTGGCGTTTTGCTCGTTCTGTGCTTTTGTCCTTTTACTTGGAGTGGGTTCTTGTTTTAGCGTCACAGTTCGTCTGCTTTTGCTTTCAAGCGCATCTTTCCTTTCCGTTTGCCAGTCTCTGCCTGCGGCTTTCCTTGCGTCTCTGTCTGTCTGTCTCATCTCCTCTCCTTTTGTCTTCCTCTCTGTCAGTCATCGTCTATTTCCTTTATTATCGTCTGTCTAGCTCTGGCCCTGTCGGCCTTTCGTTGCCTTTGTTGTTTCGTTTGCTTTTTTTTGGTTGTTGTTTTTGGTCTCTCTGTGCCCTTCCCTTCCCCTGAAACGAAGTGGTTGGTTAGCGGCGCATTGCAATAATGTCTTGGGTTGGCGAATTGGAAACCATCGGGGGTACAGTAATGAGGAGAGGTCACGGTCAATTCTATTGAGAATTATGCTCGATTGGTCATTTGCATTCATGTCAATAGAGTGCTTTCTCATGCGCATGTTTGAGGAAGCGAAGCACTTGAGCAATCAACGATGATGTCATGTTCATTTGATATTGACCACTACCTCAACCGTCTAGGATGTCTCAAGTCGCATTCTACAAGAGCATCTACCATATCAGGTGAGCGAAGCGCCCATGCACGGAGACTCATGTTTCTCTTCCCCAACACACTCCTCAAGTTCCACGTCATAGCGCAATCAACACGGGATGTTCTAACTTTTCTTCTTTATCAGTCAATAAATCTGTTTCAAGATGCCTCGAACAGAAAGGAAAACATGAAGCCAAGCCAAGTGTCGCACTTCACGACTACATCTTCATTCGCCCTACAATATCCGAGCCACCCACTCGGCTTGAATAACATGCATCTGCACGCACAGCATCAGCAATCATTTAATATTTACTATTACAGAAGCTTAATGTGTCCTACTAGGTTAAACTCCTCCCATCTCTTCCTTCGAAACGTTACGATGTCTTACTTTATAATGACTCAATCTCCACCAACACCTCTCTAAGATATCAGACAAGGCACCCCTAGTTACTACTACCCTGACCCGCATTCCAAAGCCTTCAGAACGGCGGTCATCCCAGCAATAGGCCCACCAGACTCCAACGCAGACTACTAGCGCGAATGCTTCAAGCATCTACCTCCTACCCTTCAGTCAATACGAAGCCAAGCATAACAGAATCCAAATAATAGCCAGAATCATGCAAGGCCCCCCCACCGCGCTTCGATTCTCGACCACCAAAGGTACATCAGAAGCCCCGACGTAAAACCAAACGGCTCAGCCACCCGAGCCTTATCCCCAAGGAGATCTCCGTCACTTCATGGAATCCGACATATACACGCACACACATACCTCCACTTTTTGCTCCGCTCTTCTCCCGGGCCTTGCGATGGCCTCACCTAACGATAGATCACTACTTCGAGCATGCTAAAAAAAGAAGGGGAAAAACACGTCACCCGGCCGGCGCGGCGCCGCAGCCGCCGCCGCCGCCGCCACCGCTGACTCAGCCCGGTCAGCTTCTAGAACGGACAGATCCTCCGTAGGATCAGCGCCACAGGACGGAGAACCCATGTCAAGGTACATAGGCAACAGCAAGCCGGAGCCTTGGCGCGTTTTCATTCGACCACCATTGGGACGACAACGATTGCCTAAACGGAAAGACTCGATGTACCAATCCGAGCTATGTCTACACCTCACTCTCTTGTCACTCTTTGATTAGAGAGATTACAATTTTCACTTTACTGCACAGTTCATCTACATTCGACGTCTGCATCTACGTCCCTCGCGTTCGCCCATCGATCCATCTTTCCGTCAAACCTATACGTGCGTCTTGAGGGTCACGTTTCTTCCTCCTTTCCTCCCACCCATTCGCCTCCTAGTATATTTACACCTGTTAACAAAAAAGAGAGCTCGATGCTATCGTGACAATGATAATATGCTTGACGACGACGACCATGTACAGTTGCGTCGTCTATCCCAAAAGGAGATTTGATGCGATCCAAATGCTTGCTCGAAAAAGAAAACAAAATCCGATCAATGCACCGTCCGTTTTCTTTGGACAAACAAGAGCGAAAAGGGGGTGTCTCAAAGGAAAAAGAAAAGGAAAGAATCCGCTCAACCCATCTATGAGGGTAACATGCAACAGGGGAAAAAAGACGGTACGCCGTGAAATGCATGCACCGCAACCCCTCTCGAGCCAGACTGAAGAGTTGCGCGTGCGGAAAAAAAAAAGCATATGAACAAGAAGATCAAAGGATCAGATCAATCGACATCCAGACCCATCCCTCTCTCCAACCTCTCTGCTCTCTCCCTTTCTCTCTTCGCGTGGCCCGCGCCGGGGACCATCTTCCCCAGCACCCCCCTGATGACTTTTCCGCCCAACAGCACGCTTCCGCCGTCCTTCCCCTTGGTCTTGCCCTCCCAGAACTCCTCGTACGTCTGTGTCCGGCCGCTAGTATCCAGCCACTCGTTCCCAGCGGCGACCGCCCACCGGCCGGGCACGTACGACTCGCTCAATGACCGCTTGAACTCGCGCTGCTTCCTGCCCCTTTCCCCGAGCGGGCCCCACAGCCGCTGTCCGATGATCATTTCGCGCTGGAGCTGGGCCTCGATGTCGATGGCCTCCTCTTCTTCCGCATCGTCTCCTGCTGACGTGCTGGGCGGGCCTTGGACGAACGGTTCACGATCGACGAAAAACGTGGCGCCCGGTTGGATTCTGACGGATTTCTTCTGCTTCTTCCCTTGCTCGGCGGTGAGACCCTCTTTCCTCGACTTGACAGCGGCGTCGTCGGGTCCATCATCAGCACAACTAGCCTCCCACTGCGCCTCCGCCCACGCCACCCTCGCCGCGCGCGCATTCTTTGCTGCTGCAACGGTCAAGCTGTGCCGTGGCCCGTAAATGCCTGCAACCTTGCGCATGTGCGCCATTGACTCCTGCAGCCGCACACACGTCGGGCAGTGGGCCGGGGTGCCCTTTTCGACTTTCTGGCGAGAAGATGAGGCGTTCGATGTCGATCTTCGGCGGAGGCCGGTCGTCGGGACGGTGTTCGGGTTTGAAGTGACGGGTGCAGAGAAGGAGCGGCGAGCAATAGCGGCCGAGGGCGGAGACGAGGAGAATGGAGAAGGGCTGGAAGGTTGGATTGGCGACGCGGGCGTTAGGATGAAGGTCGGCACGCCCTGTGCTGGAGGTGGGCTCTGTGGGACCGAAAGGTGTTCTGTTGGCGGTGACGAAGGGGGCTGTAGCTGTTTTTGCTGCAGCGGAGGGGTGGGCGGAGGGGTGGGCTCGACCCAGGGTCGGAGGATGTGGGGTGGTGGAAGGTGTGCATCCAAATCAAAAGCGTCGGCCATTGGGTCGGTCATGCATCCCTCGTTCTCATCCGGTGAGGGCGTTGGAGGCAGTTGGGCTTGCTGTGACTGCTGGCTGTTCTGGATGTCTTCTGGCTCCTCCTCGGGAATGGGTATCGAGACGAAATGGCGGCAAACGTATGCTCGGACGGTCTTGGTGGGGCGTGTTGTCCCCGGGGTTTCCTTTGGAGGGCGGATGTCTTCATCGTCGCTAGAGTAAGAAGTGCGAGAGGAGGCTATGGAAGCGCGTGGTGTGGATTCGAGGGAGGACCAAGTGCTGGACGTGGATGACGAAGACGAGGAGACATAGGACGATGCAGAGGAGAGGGATGAGGATGAGGAGGAGATGCTGCTACGGAGCAACGTCAGTCAATTGCTAAGTTACACGCGCGCCACGCATGAATTCTCCGGGGGATCACCAGCAAATGCCAAAATAGGAAATAACAGACGTACCTTGCTCTCCACCTCTCCCTCAAACCGCCACTGCTCCTCCTGCTCCTCATTGACCAGCTCCATCCGCCGCTGCTCTTGACGCTGCTGGCAACGCTGCTAGATGTCGACGGTCTGCTCTCCGGCTCAGCCGCATCGTCGTCGAAGTCCAAAAAAGCCCCCTCAGGGAGCTGTTCCAGCGTGGTCTGGCGTCGCTGCTGCTGCGGCTCGGCAACATCGGGCTCCGTCTTCTCGCGATTCCGCCTGTACCGCAGCCTCGAGAACCTGCTCTTCGTCGGGCTAGCCTCGGCAGCGCCGGCACTCGTCCGCGGCCGTTGCAAATGGTCCACATCGGCGGGACCAGATGATGAAGACGAAAACAAATTTCTTGCGCCCATGATGGAGCGTCGCCTCTCGAGCAGCGAAGAGGTAGAGCGGTTTTTTTGCGACATCACAAAGCCGTGCGACCAAGGGGACTTTTGTTGGTTTCCTCGCGGTTCCTGTAAGCGGCTGCCCGCCGTGGCTTGCGTCGTGGGCGCGTGCGCGGCTGGCTGCGCGTCAGGCTGCCGCGCTTGCTGGTCTTGCGACTGGCGCGCGGAAGTATGCGTCAAAGCTGTTGTGGAGCTGGTGCGATGTTGGTGGGGGCTGATGTGGCGGTCGGGCTTATGCTCAGGCTCGAAGGATGAGGCTGAAGGGTAGCCAGAAGCGGCAATGGGCGCAGATGGAGAGACGTGCGTTGGCGATGCGTGTTCAGTGGTGGTGACAAGAGCATTATTATTAGAAACGGGTGGGGAAGAAGAAGGACGAGGTGCAAACGAAGGAGAGGCAGAGGCAGAGGTGCTGGCAGCAGGCGCTGGCAGTGCAGAGCGAGCGGAGGGCGGCTGCGTGTTCCCAGACGTGGGCGAAACAGCAGAGGCCGGGGCAGAAGATAAGGAACGGAAAAGCGACGTCCTCGCGCGCGCGGTGTCTGGAGGCTTGCTGGCTTCGTGCCGGCGCGAGTGGACCAAGTATTGGGTGTCGCGCTTGTGGAGAAACAGCAGATGTGACGGCGGCGGCAGTGGTGGAGGCGTCGAGAGGGTTCCTGGCTGCGTCGTCGACGGCCGGAGCGGCATCTGCAGAGAGCGATTGGAAGGGAGCGTCGAAGTGAGTGGAAAGGCAGAAGCCATCATTGGCCTCAGGCCACGGGCGCGCGACAGAGATCGAGGGCGTGGGCAGGCACGGCAGCGCGACACAGCAACACGAGGAACGTGGCTGTGGATCCGTCCAAATCCTTCAGGGATTGGGTCGCAAGCTCTGCTCTGACGCAATGCCAAATTGGGCCCGCGCCGGCTGCCCGCCTCCAGGGGATTTGCGTAGTGTTTCGCCCACTCAGCTTGCCGAGATAGCGAGATAGCAATCTCGTCACACAGGAGACGCTATCAACCCCAAGCCAATTCCCCAAGACGGCAACTTCCCGCTGGCCTCAGGCAAAACAGTCCCACCGGCCCAGTCAGAGCGGTGTGTTCAGCGACAAAAATAGAATTCCCCGATCGGCCATGCCACCCCGTATAACTCCTCGCTATTGAGAACCTTCCCGTGAAACCTCGCGCCCAGTGTCTTTCTTTTGCCCACGGCCATCCATTAGTGCCCCTCACATCAATGCTCAAGTCCCCGCTTCCCGTGCTCTATTGCTTTTCTCCTTTATTTAACCCCTCAGTCATAGCACCTCCATCTCGTCGCCGCCGCCTGCACTGAACGCGAAACGGCCCGTCTCCATAGCCGCAACACGGTCCAGCTCGGCTTGGTACTCCCTGCGTAAATCCTCCAGGGTCACCAGCCTCCTCGGCGCCGCCTTGCCATCCGGCACGCCCTTCAGCCCACCCTCGCCCTCGCGCTGCCCCACCAGCAGGTACTGGTCCTGCTCCGTCACCAGGCTGAGCGTGTTGATGAGCGTCAGGTACGCCTGCGTGATGCTCTCGTCCTTGGGGTCCTGTAGCGCCGCAGATGATGATTTCAGCCGCGTAATAAGATCATACAAGATCTGCGCCGCCCCCCGGTAATTATTTTTGGCGATGCGGAAGGCGTACAGCAGCCGGTGGAAGGCCGGCCCGCTGCTCACGCTGACCGTCTCTCTGCACAGTCCAGCGAGAATCGCATCCACGTCCTCCAGCTGCCTGGTGAAGGGGAAGGTGATGAGCAGGGGCATCTGGTTCTGGTTGATCATCGTCTTGACCAGCGTCGCCAGGGCCGATCTTCGGCTACCCGTCACGTGTCAGAAAATTGAATGTGTATCAGGTAGATCGTTACTGCACTCACAGGCTGTTATCCGGATACCGGGATAGGGCGCCGTACGCCTCGCGGAAATTTGAAGATTGCACGCAAGCCTGGAAGAGCCTCGACAGCACTTCCTGCTTGAGCATCTTGGTCTGGCCAATCATCAGCATTTCCCCCCCCCTCACACGCCTCGTCGGCTTGGTACACACCTGCTCGTGGTCCTCGGTCTGAACCGCAAACAGCGCCGCCTCCGCCCACTGCATGACATAGGCGTGCGCTTTTGCCTTCTCGAACAGGTACATGACATGCTGGCAAAACCTTGACAGGCCCTCGTGGAAGTACTCCTTCTCGTTGGGGCTGAGGAAATTGTAGAGGTCGGTGTTGAAGATGTCGAAGAACCCTTTCGCTACACGTCAATCAGGGTTAATCCTCTCGCAACAATGTGAAAACGCGGCTTACCACATCCGAAGCTGACTCTGTTGAGATATGTGCTGGCCAGCTTGAAGTCCCCGACCGCAAGGTAATAGCGCCCTTTGAGGTAAGTCCCCCAGATGCTGTTGGGGACGAACGGCAAAAAGTCGGTGGCCAAGTCCAAGTTGCCGTACTTGAGCAGATTGCTCAGAACCCCAGCACCCACAAACTCCCAGTTTTCCGGCAGAGGAAGGCCAAACGACCATGAGCGACACCAATAAGTAATGAGCTCCGAAGCGGGTGCTGAAGGCGTCTTCAACTCTGCCCAGTCGCCGATGAAGAGGCTCTCAAACAATGTCACCACTGCCGTCGACTTGATTACAGGGTTCTCGGCTGAGTTGGGCTCCCCGACAGAGCTTCGTCGTGACCGAGGCTTCGGGTCAGCTCGCACCGCCGCTACTAGCCACTTGGAGATGGTGATGCCCTTCAGCCTCTCGATTATGTCAGGGTAGATGTCGGCAGGCTGGAGGGAGGGCGTCTCTTGAGCTTCGAGTTCTTGGCTCATGAAGACGATGAGCACGAGGAGGTCGAGGAGAATCTCATGCGTGAGGCTCAAAATCTCCTGAGCGCCTCTAATCAGAGACTTTGCACCATAGCCGGTAATGGCTCTTTGGTGATGGTGGCCTCGCTCATCCTCCACTAACCTTTCCAACGCCGCCAATACAAGCTCTTGGGTCACGCCAGCGAAACCACCAAGGTCCTCAAGCAGTGACTCAAGCTTCTCGAAATCCTCGTCGGTGACCTGCTCGCAAAGACCACAGCAAGCTTCAAAGGCCTTCATACGATCGGGAATCGAGAACGAATCTTCTTGGCAGATCTCACGCTTGACAGCGAGCGCCAGTTGATCCCGGAATGAAGCGACGAATGAATTACGGAACGAAGAAGCAGCAGTGAGAAGCTTGGCGACATCTATCGACAAGTCGTCCTTCAGGGCCTTGAAGAGCGGCCTCGAGAGGGCGGGCTCTTCGAGAGAGGCAAGCGTTTCATCGTTCAACCGCAGTATCTCGACCTCGCTACACGCCCTGACGGGCGTCGCGTAATCTGACAGAAGCAGCCAAGGGAGGTCATCCTCGACGTCGAGAGCTAATGCGACAGGCTCGCCGCGGCGCTTGTGCAAGTCCTTGATTACGCCATAGAACACCTGCCACTGTCCCGCCATGTCGACCTCATACTGATCGAAATCGATCTGACCATCTGGAAGGTGCCTGGTGGGAACCTTCGCGGCGACCGCGGCTGAGATCTGGTCTTTGATCGGTGCCTTGGCACTGGAGCTCAATACGAGTGTACGAGTGGCAGAATCGCCAAGGCCACGCCGGTAGACGCACAGAGCAGTTTCGAGCGTCGCGCTCGTGAAGCGACCGGGGTAAAACAAGAAATCGATCCACTGCTCGGAAACGCTTTGCGAGTGGATCGATGGGTCTTCGAGGTTCGGCTCAATCGGGTATGCGGGCGACGCCTTCAGAGCCTCCACCGTGAGCGAGCCCGAGTCCACAGCCACCCAATTGTTTCTCCAGATGTCGGCAAGTTGCTCGGCCGAGTCATAAAGGTCGAATTTTAGCGTGAATACCATGCACCTGGGGCCTGACCTGACACGGATCCAGAGTTCGGAGCTTCTCCAGCCGGGCCGAGCTTTGAAATGAAACTCTTCCATGTTCCAGACGGTAGTATTCATGAGCTCATCGACCGGCGGAACGAACACGAAGTCTGATTGAACGTCGTGGATGCCGAACTCCACATCGTCAGCGTCCCTAACACCCCAGAACTTGAATTGATGGCGCTTCGGCGAGTAGGTGACGACAAAATATTCATCACCGTCCTGTGGAGCCTGGACCTCTAGGACCTCCATCAACTTTGGCTGCTCTGCCCCAATGAAAAACTGAGCCAGTTTCTGAGGGTCCCTGTCATTCTCGCCAAGCAAATCCGTTTGCACGCCGATTTTCCCGGTTTCCAGATTCCACGCCTTCAGGATATGGTTCAGAGAGACCGTGAATATGTGCTTCTCGTCCGGAGATAGGGCAATGGCGGCCGCGGTCGATGCCTCGAGATCAAGAGTGCCGAAGCGGACGGTGTTATGGCCTTTCCACGGGATCAAACTCTTGAAAGCTGAGCCCCAACCACCTTCGGAAAAGAAAGTCTCGCGCCAGGAGGAGCCTGTGATTCTTGTTATTATTATATTCGCATGAGTGAATTGTTAGTCCATTTCAAACATACCATCCGATGCGGCAGTTCTGTTTAATCGAAGCAGACCTCCGTCGTGTAGTGAGACCAACAGCTCAAGCGCGCTGCTGGCGACTATGCGGTATGGGTAACGGAAGCTGAACGCGGAGGGAATACACGTCTTGCACCAGACGTCAACGTCGATCTCGGTAGCGGCGGGGCGAATGAAGAAATCCTTGTGCAAATCGAGCGTGTAGAGCTCGTTGGCGGTGGTCAAGACAAAGACGTTGAGCGCGTCGCGATCTTCGCGCTCGGCCAGAGCAACACCAAACGGACGGATGGCATTGGGGAAGCTCAGCAACAGCGTCAAAATGGCCTCGCCTTTGTGGTGACGGTCGACGGTCAGGTCTACTGAACGCAGCTCCAGGACCTTGCGGTCATCCAGAATCCTCCACAGGAAAGTCCGCGGGTATGGATGTTTGCGCCGGAAGAAGATGGAGGCGTCGTTTGCCGCGAGGTGGCGACGGGCGAAGGACGTCTCATCAGAGCTGGTGTTGCCTTCTTCGACAATAATGCGCTTGCCCTTGGGGCGCGACAGGAAAGCGGAGGTGCTGTGAGGCGGGAGCGTGACGCCAATGGTAGAGCCTGCGTAGGGCGGATCGAGGTTCAGTCGCGTCTCCCGGTAGAGGAGAGGGGCGGTAGAGGTAGCCATCGCTGCGCCATCCAGCGCGGATCGGGCGCTTGAAGGTCGAGGCGGTGTTCGCGGAGGAGCGCAATGGGCGGACGCGGTGTTGTCGGGCGGAGCAGCTTTGCGAGCTCAAACTTGAGCTTCGACACGCCTGAACACGACAGGGATTCGGCGCTGGCGATCGCGCGCGTGCACCCGCCACAACACCAGCCACAGCAGTTACACACCATATTATTCAATGCAACCTTACGCTCTGCAGCAAGAACATTATTCATTTGAATGCGTTCGAGGGGGTAAATCATAAAAATCTAAGCAGACTGCCACAGACGCCCATGCTCAGCAAACACCCGGAAAACATGCCCTGTACTTTCGCCATCCATGCAACCAGCCAAAAAGAGCAAGAAAGATATCGTTGCGCCGCGCTCTACAGCCGCGCTTCGCCATGACACGCATCGGTCGAAATGCTTCTCTACTCTTTTTCCAAGTCCTTGGGGCTGGGATCGCCAATACCGTCCTCGTTGATGGCGAACATGCAGTCACTCTCAGGCAGACACGGGCTGTCATAGATCTTGCATAACCTAGTCTCACCGCGGCCTTTCTTCAGGCTGAGACGCGTTGTGCTTGCATGCGCAATGATGTTGCCGCCAATAGGCTTCTTCGGATCGGGGTTGAACATGGCACTGGGGCCACCGTCAACTTGCGCCACGACCTGGTTTGTGATGACGACAGCGATGCCGAACTCGTCGGCTAGGCGCTGCAGAGTGCGCATGAACTTGGCAAGATGGACCTGGCGTGCCGAAAGCTCACCACGGCCCGCAAAGTCGGTTCTGTACAGGGATGTTGCCGAGTCGACAATGAGCAGCGAGAAACGGGTCTCCGTCATCATCTGCGAAGCCTGCTGCAAAAGCGATAGCTGGTGGTCCGAGTTGTATGCGCGGGCATATGCAACGTTATCCAAGACCTCTTCGCCCGATAGTCCGTAACGGTTTGCCACCGCCAACAAACGAACAGGTCTACAGCATGTGTAAGCGATCCAAACCGCGAAGGGACGGGTAGAAACATACCGAAAAGTGCCTTCCGTGTCAATGTACAAACACTTGCCTTCTCCACCGCCCATATCGAAGGGAAGCTGGCACGTTACCGCAAGAGTGTGGCAAATTTGACTTTTTCCAGTTCTGAATTCTCCGAAAATTTCCGTAATGGAGCCAGTCTCGATGCCGCCAGCGAGGAGAGTATCGAGCTGCTTTGAGCCAGTGGTAATGGAGATCAGCTCGCTGCGTCTTTGATGCATTTCTGTTGCGGTGGTGAATCCCATAGGAACCAGCTTCGCGGCTAATTTCTGTTAGATAAGTCCTGCTCCATACGAGTACAGTGCCCTTACCCTCGGCCAGGATTTTGGTCGCCTTCTGCTCCGAGATTCCCTTGATCTGCTCGAGCACGCGCTTGGGCCTGCAACATTTCAGCACTTACTACCGGAGTAATAAGTCTATGCGGCTTACGTATATGCCACCGACTCTACCGTGTGGTAGCCACCGTCGACGACGAGCTTGATGTCGCGTGCAGTCAGGCCGTTCACACCCTAAATTCAGCCATTAGATATACGAGCGGGTAGTGGCATTGATTTGCGCGACAGCATACCTCGAGAGCACTCAAGGGCGTAGGAGCGCCAGGTCCTGCCATGCTGTCATCGTAGCCGGACTGCGAGGGGTCCTCTTCGGCGCTCATAGTGGCGTTGGCCGACTTGGGTACACAAGACTGCTTGATAGGCGAAGAAGCGGATGTCTGGTGCAAGTTGTTGGTGGACGCGTAGAAAGTTTGGGGAGGCGCGAGCGCGTCGCGGTGGCAATTAAGGCTAGGCGCGACATCACATGACCACTGCTGCCTTGTGGTCAGGACCTACTACCTACTACTTGCAGCAGAACTTCGCCATCTCCGAGCCTGCGCTACTCAGCCCCCTTGACTTTCCACTGCGGCTCTAGTCTCAGTGTCTGATGTCATACAGAAATGCGCAGCCTGCGCGCCATCTGCGATATCCCTGTTGCTGCACGTCTTCCTGCAGTCAGTTGCTAGCGTGAATTCATTTTTGTGTTCCAGAAACTTGCTAATTGCCGGATATGCTGTCAGCCTGACCCCTCGCATCGGGTGGAGAGGCGCACAGTAACTCAAGATTGCTCCAAGGTAGACTCGCTTAGTGCTGCAACACAGTGGAAACTTGTCCTGCCATTTTCGTATCACATTCACGTTCCTTTGGATACTTCGAATGACCCGTCCTCTTTGCGCCATGTTACATTCCTAGGGGGGGCGACAGCGCGCTAGCGACACGAAGCGGCACTCTCGATCGCATCACTAACATTCTCCACTGCAGGAAACTACTGGCTACAACCTCAGACGTACCATAAGCAACGCTTCTCCGTGGGCGATATAAATAGCGCTGACGACTTATGCCACAAGCTTCAGCTGCTGTGGCTTGAGGCTCACCCCGCACTCCGGGTCGGCCGCGTCGGTACCCGGCTACAACCCCTCAAGCTTCTACCCATAGAGACGTAAGAAAAGCCACCAACCTCGGACCCTGCAGTAGCAGCGGGGAGCCGACAAGAATCAAATGCCAGTGACGCAGACACTGCGTCTTTGTTATACCTCTCCATTTAATCTGCACACGCTTCTCCGGCCATTCTGTCGTTACCGACACTGCTTGCTTTTCCCCTAACATTATGCCCCAGACACGATCAATTCGCATCGGAGGTACTGTGTTCCGCCCTTCAATTGCGCACCTGTCGCTCACTCCAGAATAGGATGCTCCGGCTCGAGTGCCGACCGCCGCGATGCTATGCGCCTATTCGCAGCCAACCATCAGAACGACCCCGTGGACGTCATCATCGGTGACTGGATGTCGGAGGCTAATATGACCACCAAAGGTTCCATAAGAACGGCGGGTGCGCGACGGCCCTGAAGCCTTTGAGTAAAATTCTACGACTAATACTTGTGCAGATTCCGGCAATGCCTACGAGGCTAGCTTCCTCGAGGCACTCGAACCAGCCCTCTTAGACATTGCCAAACACAAGATCAAAGTCGCCGCCAATGCCGGTGCTGCTGACACCGAAAAGCTTTGCCAAGTAGTCATGAAGCTGGTGAAAAGCAAAGGGTTGGATTTGAATGTGGCCTGGATATCGGGCGATGAAGTCTTACCCGCGGTTCAGAAAGCCATGGACGCAGGGCATTCCCAGTTTGAGAACATCTACACCGGGGAAGTCTTACGGGATTGGAAATTCAAGCCTATCTATGCCCAGGCATACTTGGGAGGCCTCGGCATCGCGACAGCTTTCGCCGAGGGTGCAGGTGCGTTCCCCGGACCAGCCCACTCTCCTGATACTGATAGCAGCAGACATTGTCATCTGCGGAAGAGTAGCAGATGCATCTCCCATCATTGGCTCTGCGTGTTGGTGGCACAACTGGAAGCGGACCGACCTCGACCAGCTTGCCAACGCCTTCGTAGCCGGCCATCTGATTGAGTGCTCTAATTACGTATGCGGCGGCAACTACACCGGCTTCAAGTCCCTCGAAGACAAAGGTTGGGACGACATCGGATACCCCATTGCAGAGATCTCTTCCGAAGGCGGGGTCGTCATCACCAAGAGCCAAGGGTCCGGCGGCGAAGTCTCCATCAACACATGCTCCTCCCAGCTGCTCTACGAAATCCAAGGTCCATGGTATTTCAACTCCGACGTGACTGCCATCCTCGACTCCGTCTGGTTCGAGCAGCTCTCGACCGATCGCGTGGCCGTGCATGGCGTCAAGTCCGCGCCGCCGCCTCCAACCACCAAAGTCGGGCTAACAGCGCACGGCGGCTACCAAGCTGAGTTCCACTGGTTCATGGTCGGGCTGGATATCGCGGCCAAGGCGCGCATGATGGAGCGGCAGATCCGCAAGCTGCTCGGACCGGCGCGCATCCAGCGGCTCTCCAAGCTCACCTTCACCCTACACGGTACCGCGCCTGAGAATCCAACCAGTCAAGCCGCAGCGACGGTCGACATGCGCGTGCTGGCGCAGGCCCCCGTGGCCGAGGCGCTCGCGCCCAAGCACTTCGCCCGCCCCTGCATCGACCCCATCATGCAGGGCTATCCCGGTGCCACGCCGCATCTCGACCTGCGCATGGCCTTCCCTCGACCAATCCATGAGTACTATGTCACATTGCTGCCGCAGGCGGACATCCGCCACCGTGTGCACCTCCCCTGGCGTGGTGGAGAGGTGCTGGACATCCCACCACCACCACAGACACGCGTTTGGGACAAAATTCAGCCTAGTCAGCCTACCACTACTGCTATCGGCGGTGCCGTAGACCCTGCGACGGCATTCGGGAAGACTGTTCGCGGTCCGCTGGGCTGGCTTGTGCATGCACGTAGCGGGGACAAGGGCAGTGATTGCAACGTTGGGTTTTGGGTCCGACATCAGGACGAGTGGGACTGGTTGAGGGGATTGTTGAGTGTGGCAAAGATGGAGAAGTTGCTAGCGGATGAGTTCAAGGGAAAGCCGATCGTGAGTGCTCCCCACTTACCCTACTTGTCTCTGTCCCTTTTTTTTTTCGTTGTCTTTAGAACGTGGTAATTTGGGATGGAGAAATTTAATGCCCCCCAACCCTTTTTTTAAAGGCACTTGCTAACCAATGGCAACCGTTATCTAGGGTCGCTTCGAATTGCCGAACATGCGCGCCGTTCACTTCCTGCTACATGAACATCTTGACCGCGGTGTAAGCTGTTCGGGAACTTACGACGTATTGGGGAAGAATGTGGCCGAGTTCTTGCGAGCTAGGCATGTAGATCTACCTGTGAGGTTTTTGGAGCGAGGGATGTTGTGATATTTTTCTTCTTATCTCTCGTGACTTTTTTTTTTTGCTTGTGAGGCGAACCGATACCATAGTTCTGATAATATAACGGCGTTTCCCGGTCACGTCGTCTGATCAACTTCTTGCAAATAGTTTAGAAGTAGATGTAAACCAGTCGGGGGGAAAAAAGGTGTTCCCGTGGAAATGCGACAAGGGCCCAACAGTTCGAAGACTGGACTCCCACGGTACAAAAACATGACCCCAGTTGCAGCGTCTATAAAAATTTAAGTGTCTGCCGCATGATGTTTCTTGCCCTACAACAACCATCAATCTAGCAGTGCAACCATATCAAGAGCAACAGGCACAATGAAGACCACTTACCTTTCCTTCCTCTCTCTTCTCCTTGCTTCTCCTCTCATCGCCAGCGCCAGCCCGATTCCGGAGCCAAAGAAAATCTACTGCCAAGGACTGTGCGCGACAAATCCGACTAAATGCTACAAGGTTGGATGCTTGGAGAATGGAAGCGTAAGTACCCACCCTGCTCTTCTTCTTCGTTCCTCCAACTTTTTGTTTGCCTTGTCCCACTTTTTTGGTGGTACCATGCTGATCGATGGCTGCTGCAGTTCTTGAAGAACTTTGTCACCGTCCCTGACGATCCGGTGAGTTACCTCGAAGAAATGTTTACGAATAGCCCTTGGCTTACATCTAAATCAAGAAACCCGAGAGGTAGAAATGAGAAATAGATGTTGTGGCTATTCCTAGAATTCTACCGGAGCGAAGTTGGTAGAGTGTATAGGAGGGGAGCCGTCGCCGTGCTTTACGAGGGATTACACGGGCGTCATCAGTACTCAATTTTCCACCTTCAACTTTGTCGCGGAATGGCCGTAATGATGGTTCCTGATGGGATATCTGGACTGTCGCGCCGATAATGGAGATCTCGGGTTCTGGAAGCAGTCCATATCTTTGCCGTGACTGGTCTTTCGCGTCAGAGATTAGGTAGTTTCGAAATTCATCTACCCACACCATTTTCTGGAGCATTCCAAGTCGAAATTATCGAGTTGCTGCGGCGATTTCGAGTCGTAGCCCAGCATTCTACTGGGAACGCAATCCTGAAAGGGCGATCGTTCACACGTGATTAGTTCGCCGCCGGTTGTCCGGTGGTCGAGGCAAGAGCGCCAGCCGCCAATGCTAATCTCCGCGAAAAGTGCCTCGGGACACGATCTGAAGTGCAGACAAAGTGTGCAGACAATCCGAACGAGGCGTCTCATCTGCAAAACCCGCCTGTTTCACCGGCCCGAATGAGGTGATAGCCCACCCACTGCTCCGCCACCGGCCACTTCTTTCTGGAGTCGGCGCCGCAAGGAGCATCGGAGATCAGATCGGTTGCATCTAGGACGGCAGGGCGAAACAACTCACCACCGGCAGCCTTGGATACCAGCATCGGCGAAGCAGGACATCAGGGTGACGCCGAAGAGCGAATCGAGTGGAATCAAGATAAGCAGATACGAAATGAAGGGTGATGAGGGCTTTATTTTCTTCTCCTCAGGTGAAAGAAGGCGGTCGTCGGGATGTCGGCTATCACGCTACCGGGCATGCGGCGTGGGAGCTGCAGGAGTCGGGTGGTGACGGGGATCTCAGCAGCCTCAGCATTTCGGCAGAGCCCGCCTGGCAGGAGCGCGGCGGGAGTGCGGTGTTTTTTAGTAGAGGGAGGCGTGGTGGAGTTTGGGTGAGACGGGCGGGAGGGTCCAGTCAGCCGATTTCAGTGTTATCTCGAAAGATTATGCCGTGCCTGGGCTGAAGGGTCGCGAGAGGCGGACCTCTGGTGTCCTGTGCGGCGGGTTGGTGGTGCTATGTCAAATGCCAAAACGTCACCCTAGGGCTCGGCCTGCCCCACCACATTTAAGACCCCGCCGCGCGAGGCACAAAACATTGAGCTGCCCGTCCTCTTCTCCCTCAACTCCCAACACCACTGCACCCTTCCCAGAGATACCCAGGTACGCTCATGCACTCGTCTTTGCCCATTGCCCTCTGCTGCCTGCCAATGCCTGCAACATGACGACGAGCTTTGCCGCGCTCTGCCGTCGTAGCTACCCCTCCATGGACGCCTCTCGCAGGGGCGTTGCGTCGCTGCACCGCCATCACATTGCGCACGCACGCTTCTCTGGGCTCAGCTGACACGCCGTGCAGACATACCCAGCACAAACTCCACCATGTCGCTCTCCAACAAGCTCTCCATCACCGACGTCGACCTCAAGGACAAGCGCGTCCTGATCCGCGTACGTATGCTGGCATGCAAGCAACGAATCGCCGCTAACCCGCCTCGCAGGTCGACTTCAACGTTCCCCTCGACTCGGAGAAGAAGATCACCAACAACCAGCGTATCGTCGGTGCTCTCCCCACCATCAAGTACGCTATCGACAATGGCGCCAAGGCCGTCGTCCTGATGTCCCACCTTGGCCGCCCCGACGGCAAGAGGAACGAGAAGTACAGCCTCAAGCCCGTTGTCGGCGAGCTTGAGAAGCTTCTCGGCAAGAGCGTCGTCTTCACTAGCGACTGCGTTGGTCCTGAGGCCGAGGAGGCCGTCAACAAGGCCACCGGCGGCCAGATCGTCCTCCTGGAGAACCTGCGCTTCCACGCCGAGGAGGAGGGCAGCTCTAAGGACGCTGACGGCAAGAAGGTCAAGGCCGACCCCGCCGCCGTTGAGGAGTTCCGCAAGGGCCTCACCAAGCTCGGCGATGTCTACATCAGTAAGGCTCCGACAAAGTAAATCTTGCCGGGCTGCGCAGCTAACGACGGTCTAGACGACGCCTTTGGCACCGCCCACCGTGCCCACAGCTCCATGGTCGGCTGCCAGCTCCCCCAGAAGGCTGCTGGTTTCCTCATGAAGAAGGAGCTCGAGTACTTCGCCAAGGCCCTTGAGAACCCTCAGCGCCCCTTTGTCGCCATCCTTGGTGGTGCTAAGGTCTCGGACAAGATCCAGCTGATTGATAACCTGCTTGACAAGGTCAACACCATCGTCGTCTGTGGCGGCATGGCTTTCACCTTCAAGAAGACGATTGAGAACATGAAGATTGGCAACTCTCTCTTTGATGAGGCCGGCGCGAAGACCGTCCCTGCCCTTGTCGAGAAGGCCAAGAAGAACAACGTCAAGCTTGTCCTGCCTACCGACTTCATCACCGCCGACAAGTTCGACAAGGACGCCAACACCGGCTACGCCACCGACGCTGAGGGTATCCCCGACGGCTGGATGGGTCTCGACTGCGGCGAGCAGTCCGTCAAGCTCTACAGCGAGGCCATTGACGAGGCCAAGACCATCCTCTGGAACGGCCCTGCTGGTGTCTTCGAGTTCGAGAAGTTTGCCAGTGGCACCAAGGCCACCTTGGACAAGGCCGTCGCCGCCGCTCAGTCTGGCAAGATTGTCATCATTGGTGGTGGTGACACTGCCACTGTCGCCGCCAAGTACGGCGTCGAGGACAAGCTCAGCCACGTCTCGACCGGTGGTGGTGCTTCCCTGGAGCTTCTTGAGGGCAAGGCCCTGCCCGGTGTTGTTGCCCTGTCGAGTAAGTAAATGGAATTTTTTGTAATGAACGTTTGTGCCGGTTGAGTCGGCTCTGATTCTGGATGGCATAAAATAAAGGGAGCACGTCCAGGCTTTGAGGGACGGGGAAAATGAGTTTCTTTAATGTAAATGATGACAATAAGATATCTTCGCACTTTGATAAGCACCAGACTGTGATGATTGCTGTGTGGTGACTGAAGTCATTTCCCTAACGTCTTTCGCGACGGAGGCGGCATGGCTGATTCGCAATCGAGACCATCAAGGGTCTGTTGTCCATTATAGAAGTCGGACATGCCACGGTCATGCCTGGTATCGTTCTCCCGACTCAACGCCATGCATAGTCCCATGTCGAACGCTTGTAATCTTTCATTACGCGATGATCCCTCTGCTCGTCGTTTTGACCGTTGTTCATTCCACCCCGTCTTCCTTTGATTTTGGCTCTCCCTATCAACCGCGCTTCGCCTCGACCTTCTTCAGCTCCTCCTTCAGCTGCGCAGAGAAGTCCTCGCTCGTGTCATCGTCGTCCCAGCTCTCCTCCCACAGATGCGTGTTTGCGGTGGGCAACTCGGTATCTTCCTGTTCCCAGTCTATTGATTACCCAGAGAGTTAGCTTTCGATCTGTGGCTTTCGTTTGATGCTGTGCGGAACTCATGGCTTACGCCATACGTATGGTGTAGCGGGGCAGGAAGCACAAGCAGCAGCACGCTCGTGGTGTCTTTGGCGCTTGCGATCCACATCAAGAGGATGGGAGAGCAAGGATGAGTGGCTTATAAATAAGCGGCAGCGGTTTCGCTACCGGTCCTTGCTAGGTAGCTTCAGTCTCAACTCACCTTCGACAGGGAAGTCTTCAAACTCGTCATCCTCTTCCAGCGCGGCGGCGGGCTTCTGCTGGTCCTTGTTGTCGGCGCCGTTGTCGGTATCGCTGACGACAGCCTTCTTAGTGTTCATGTCGCCTTGCGCTGCTGCGGACATGTTGGGTGGTTGCGGGATGAGGTGGTTCCGGTGGGGTTGTGGGTGGCGGATTGCTCGCACGGGTCGGGGTGAGTGGCTGTCTTGGTGTCGAGGCGGATGACGGGTAAAGACAGCGGGTAGGAGGTAGTGGTGTTGCAGCGGTGATGGATGGATGGATTGGTCGAGATCACAGCTGCGGCGAGCTGTCGGCCAGAGCAGCACCGGCGCCAAGACCCACGGCCCAAAGGCGGGCAGTTCGGGGTCAGTGCGCGACAGCGATGTCATCGAATGCTTGCCCTGTTGCGCGCCGCACTGCTACCGACCGTGACCAGTGCGGCTTACTACTGTCCGCCGTACCGTTTTATTTTATGCTGCTGCGAGGCTGAGGCAGCAGCCTTGCCGACTCTTAAAGCCGCTCTGTCCCGCTCCGCCTTTTCCTGGCCCCCGTCCAATGCCGTCGATTGTCCCACCCCCCTCGCCTTCTGCTTCTTACTCCCCATTCATGCCGCCCGCTTGGCCCGTCTTCGTTGCCCTGATCTCGACTGCCACTCCGCTGATCGCTCTACTTCCTCCTTGAGCAAGCTTCCGCGTTGCGCCAGAGATCCGAATAACGAACCCGAAACGCTGCGCTCTTGCTCCGCGGCCGAATCACAGCCGCCGCTACCACAATCATGCCTCTAGGCACCTGGCTCGGCTCGAAAGCGAAGCTTCATGGCTCGACCCAGTCGCTAAATGCGCTGGAAGAGCCACAGCAGCGTACTGCAACAACTGCCATTGTTCTTTTCCCATGTAACGCATGCTGACGCGCTCGCGACTCTGTTGTAGTGGAAGCTGCGATGCGCGGTATGTGAGACAAGAACACAACTGCCCTTCCTCCGAGTGTCCGACGAGCCTTGTCCGGCGGATTCCGAGCAAAGCGCTGATTTTCTACGTTCTGGCTACGTTGCGGGAATATAGCTGTCTCTCACATTATGAACGATGACGTCGATACCGCAGAGAAGCTTCTTGGCGACGGCGCGTCGCCCTTTCACAAGGTACCGCACACATGCATACTCCGGCTCGGCCTGCGCAAATTCCCTTCGGGGTAGAATGGGCAAGATGCCGGAGTCCGCGGCTGGACATTGAGCTTATCGTTTCTTTCTGCGCTGTGCGGATTTAGCTAGGGAAAGGAGTCGTCACGTTCATGAGGGCAACCCTGGGCTTCGAGCAGGAAGTCATGAAAGAAGGTATCCTCTGATCCCCTACGCCCGCTCCCTATCTTTCCGGGGAGGGGAGCCGAGATTTGGAGAAAGGGACAATTTCACTGACCGGGTGGGCCGATCTTCTGGCCTTTCTCCGAACGATTGCAGCCGCCGAAACGCTCAAGGATGCAGAAAATAGCGCTTCTGAACACCTGCGCAAGGCCCAGCGCCACGCGCCCCGATCCTCCATCTACCCCGCCGGTTCGGAATTCGCAAGCTGCATTGCGCAGGCGCAGCTGATGGGCGCCATCGTGGGCGTACTGAACGAGAGCTTGACAGAGAGCATTAAGGGCTTCTACAACATGCGGAAGGCGTTTGTGGCGTTGGACGCCATCATGGAGGCCGAGAAGGCGAATCTGGGCAAGAGCAGTGTGCCGGGGAGCTCGCGGGTGTCGTTGGGATCGCAGTCGGAGAAGTCGGCGGCGGTTGCCAAGGCGGTTGAGGCTGGAGTTGTGGCGCCGCTGGGAGCTGCTGCGTCTCGGACTGCTTCGGCGACGGCAAGCAGCAGCAAGTTGCAAGTGGAGGGGCAGAACAGCGGGGAGGGGAGCACGCCGCTCTCGGAGACTGAAGAGTTCTTCGACGCTGACGAGCAGCATGAGGGGGTTCCCACGCCTCCGGTCTATGCGGGTCATCTTGAGCTTAATGAAAAGAAGTTGGATGCTCCTCCATCGTACGAAGCTGCAACGGCATCCTCCACGGCTGCCCCGGAAAAGGTACCAGATGCCGAGCTCTCGGACGACGTCAAGTCCTTACGTCTCGCTACCGACCACCCGTTGACTGACCCCTCCCTCTTCGGTGATGACTCAACCGACATCTTCGTCCACTCGGGCACCAACATGTGCTTCGGCGTCCTCATGCTAGTCATCTCCATGATCCCGCCCGCCTTCGCCATGCTGCTCAAGATCGTCGGCTTCAAGGGCGACCGCGACCGCGGGCTCGCCATGCTCTGGCAAGCGACCATGTTCGACAACATCTACGGCGGGCTCGCGGGGCTGATCATTCTGTCGTACTACAACGGCATGCTCGGCTTCTGCGACATCGTCCCCGGCCCGGGCCAGCAAGGCGCGTATCCGCGCGAGCGGTGCGCGGTCCTCCTGGCAGAGATGCGGCGGCGGTACCCGTCGAGCCACTTGTGGCTGCTAGAGGAAGCCCGGATGCTGGCGAGCGCGCGCCAGATCGAAGAGGCGTTGGCGCTGATGGACGGTGCCGGCAAGTCGCAGCTCAAGCAGGTCGAGGCGCTGCACTGGTTCGAGCGGTCGCTGGACTTGATGTACGCGCACCGCCTACGCGAGTGCGCGTCCGCGTTCCAGAGGTGCGTCTCGCTGAACAACTGGAGCCACGGATTGTACTACTACATCGCTGCGTGCGCACACGTCGAGTTGTACCGCGAAGCGCTCGCCAAGGGCGAAAGGGCAAGTGCAGCGGAGAGCAAGAAGGAGGCAGAGCGCCTGCTGAAGCTCGTTCCCAAGCATACAGGCAAGAAGCGCTTCATGGCCCGCCAGCTCCCATTCGATACCTTTGTCAACCGCAAGCTTGCCAAGTGGGAGGCGCGCCAAGCCGAACTCGGCGCCTCTTCCGTCGTCGACGCCATTGGCGTCGCGCCCGTTGAAGAGGTTATTTACTTCTGGAACGGATACAAGCGCATGCGACCTAACCATCTTGAGCTCTCGCTCGCAGCGCTGGACCGGACCGCAGAAGAAGGAGAAGAGCCGCTGGATGAACGCTGTATCCGTTCCCTGCTACGCGCCACGGCGCTGAGGAATTTGGGCCGAGTGGTTGAGGCAAAGGAGATGCTGTTAACGCAGGTACTGTGCGTTGATGCCGTGCAGCTCAGGGGCGGGAATAAAGATAATTGGACGTTGCCTGCGGCGTGCTATGAGATGGGCGCGTGTCTGTGGGAGGAGGTCAGGAGGGAGGAGCAGGAGAAAGGGGAGCATGGGCTCGGAAAAGAGGGGGAGGAGAGATTGAGGGAATGTGGAAGCTGGATTGAGAAGGTGGCGAAATGGGGCGAGGCGTACGATTTGGATGCCCGGTGAGTTTACTTGTTTATTTTTTTTTTCAACTTGCGAGAGTGATGGAGGCTAAGCGGACGCAGAATTGGAATGAAGGTCACGACGGCGAAGGATACGCTGAAGCGGAGGGGTGTTGATACGGTCTCTTAAATCGGATCTGGTGAGAAGAGGATAAGGTTCGGAAGGCAGAGATGGCATTATAGACGAACTGCGTTCCAGAACAGATAGGTAAGGCTATATGGATGTGCCATGGCTGATATGAATTGAATGATCTAGAGAGCAGACATTTCGTTGCATTGCCTGATCGTTATGTATGTAGATCCCTTCTGTCATGAGCTGTCTGGTAGGTCACGTTCTACGACTACGACTCAGGTTTGCGGCGATGCTCTACTAGGAGCACTGGTCCGACCTCGGATGCGAGTGAGGCACAGCAAGGCAGAATTGCAGGTGAGGGGTGACCCAATCAACTGACGATTATCACTTGTGAGACAAGTTGCGGCCCCCATGGTCATGTTGGGCGGTAGCTAAGCGCTGCGGCGGGACAGACTCCACCTTAGCCTCGTGAAGCGGAGGGTTTATAATCCCAAGGTACGTTACACAACTCCCGCACACTTCTCTCCCCGAAGAGCTCGAAATTCCATGTCACGAGGGGGGTTTCGGCATATTCCCCAGAGAACCATGCCTTTTCCCTATGCCAACGACGACAGCCGCCGCGTCTCTCTCGAGCAGTACGCGGCAAACTTTCACGGCGGCATTCTAGAGGCCCATGCCAACGCTTTTGACCCGTATGGTACAGGGCTCCTGTCGTTGGCCATGATAGTGACCATAGTATTAATCCCAGATTAGTCCAACAGCATCAACCACCGCGCCAAAGCAATCACGGCCGTACCGCTGTCCTGCCGCCGGACCAAGCGCCGCCGTACCAAAACCCATACTGGGTTTCCGACCAGAGTTCTGCACCCACTACCCAAGTTACGGTCCCACGAAGTAGCAGTCACTGCAAGCCGACCTTCTCTGCTGTCACGTTGAACCACCATACTAGCATAGCCTCGCCACCATCCTCCACCGGCCGCTCTGACCCCGAGCAGCCCCGGCAGGCAAGCCCTCGTCGTTCCCCTTCTGCCGCCACGAACCACAACCGTGCCGACCAAGTCCCTGCCTCATGGCAGTCTAACAACCGGTCGACGCGTGCGAGCAGCAGGAGCGGCACGTATGGCGTCTGCTGCGGCAAGTCGTACGGCACGAAATTCACATTCGAACGGCACCGGCGCGAGAGCAGGACATGTCCGTATGGCACTGCTGGTCGTAAGTTCGTCTGCTACACCTGCGCCAACACGGACCATCATCATGACCGCGAATACGCAACATTCCAGCGCCAATATTATCTCGGCGACTCGTCGACTTGTCAATCCACTTTCTCACTGTGAATATAGAGCCACTAATCAAGGCCACTCGGGGCGATACTTAGTATAGACGCCAACAGATTTCGGCCGTTTATTAGAAATCTACGCGATTAATCAAAATAAAGGCACAAGATGGCCTTGGATGTCGCATTGGACTGGCTGGCTGGTTTTACCGGGGCTACACGCCAGAAGGCTGCCACCAATCCATGCGTACCGATGCACAGCACCACCGGCACAGGAACCTGTCCTTCTTCTACAGCATGCAAACTATAAAAAGACGCCCTCATATATACATAAGATAATATAACGAATAATCGGAGAGTATTCCGATCCCTACACGACGGATACAAATGTGTATAGGTCAATAAAATATGGATTACTCTATGTATAGTCTCATAAGGCGAAACGATTGAGAGAGAAAAGCAAAACGTCAAATAGATATCATGATATGGCCAACGCCAGATTTCCTTTCCCGGACAAAGCATTTTCACCGGCTCTCCGCACTGGCAATATCAACGCCAAACCTCCTCCCTCCCCCGTCCTCCGCACCCCCCCACCAACGCAAGCCAAACAAGCGGCCCTCGAAGACGCCTTTCCGCACCAGGACCCGATCCGGCCACATGTCAGCTCCCACCGGGACCTCCCTTGGCCACGCGTCTCCCTCGGCAAACAAGGTCATCTTGGCGGCCACGGATCCCGGGTCCTTGGGCAAGACCCTGGCGGCCAGGCCCAGCGTCATGGTCTCCAGCACGGCGGCGGCGATCAAACACACGGCCATGGCGGCGATCAGGCCCTCCAAGATGCGGGTCGAGATGGGGCTCTGCTTGAGGCGCAGCCTTTGCTGGGCCGTCAGCACGGCATCATCGTCGTCGTCGCGGATGATGAACTTCTCCATGGTGCCAGGGGCGTTGGACGAGTTGTGGCGCGACGCGTCGGTCGGGAACAGGAAGGAAGTCAGGTTGGTGGCGGGATCGAGGGCCAGGCGGTAGTTGAAGTTCAAGTTCTGGGCGGCGTAGACGGCGTACAGCGACTCGAGGGCGTGCCTGAAGGCGTCGACGTTGGCGCGGCCGGTGATGGTGGCCAGGTCGCCGACGCCGTGGGTGCTGCCGTTGACGAGGGCGGAGGTGAAGATTGCGAACTCTTCCTGGCCGATGGCGGTGGCGCTGGCCGACGAGGAGAGGAAGACGGCCGAGTCCTCGTCGGGCACGAGCGGCTGGTCGGCGGTGCTGAGCTCGAGACCGGGCAGCGACAGGTTGGCAGTGACGAAGAGGGCTTCGACGTAGGGCATGCAGTGCATCAGGGCGAGGTCGTCGAAAATGTCCCCAGTCAGCGTGCCGGCGCCGTAGAAAAGGTGCTGGCGGCCGTCGGCGCAGACGTCCAGGGTTTTCGGAGTCGACACGTACTTGTCTTCGAAGGCCAGCGACGCGGTCGAGTAGTCGTCCTTCAGCAGCGCGACGAACGGGCCGTCCGAGTGGGCGCCCCACTGGTTGAGAGCGTTGACCGACAGCCAGAGCTGGCGCGGGCTCGTGTCGTTGCTGCTGTAGCGGCCGGCGTGGCAGCCGGCGGGCGCATCAATGGGGACGAAGACGTACGAGAAGCCGTTGGCGTCGTAGGTGAAGTTCCTGTGCGTGTAGTAGTGCAGCAGGCTGCAGTTCAGGTTGGCGCGCACGGCGGGCAGGCGCGCCCGCACGCTCGTGGCTTCCCCGGCCAGCCCGTCGCCGCTGAAGCTGGAGAAAGCGTAGGCGCCGTGGGTCCACTGCGGGTATGACAGGTTGGAGAATTGCACCAGCTGGAAAATGGCGCGGCCCTCTCCGCTGTCGTTGTCGACCGTGTTGATGCGCGAGACGGTGCGATTGTCCAGGTTGAACCAGTCCTGCATTTGCAGCGCCGCACTGTGCGTCGACGGCACGGGAACGGCCGTGTACAGGCCGCTGGTGACGATGGTCAGCATGGGTGCTAGCAGGCCGGTGAGCAGGATGGCCAGGAGGGCGAAGTGTCGCTGCCGCGCTGCGCGCACAGCCGCAACGAGCGACACCTGGCCCGCCGGATCATAGAGCAGGTCGTTGAAGCTGGCCCGGCCTCTGCGCAGCAGGTGGAACGGATGCAGCGCCCGTGTGATGGAGTCGACCAGGGAGAAAGCCAGCCCAATGCTGGCCATGACCAGAGACGGGATGAGCGTCCAGGCATACTTCTGGTAGCCCTCAAGCACCACGTCGGCGAGCCCGTTGTGCTTGTCCGATGCCTGCAGCAGCACTTCGAGGGCGACGATGATGGCTATTGCGATGGCTACGAGCAAGCCCCGGAACCACAATGTGAGGGGGAGCGGATGCCACCACTTCCCTTGGTCCATTTCGTCCGTTTCCGTCTTTGTGCCATCCCGAGCCGTGACAGTGATCGCAGCGCCTGCCGGTGGCTTCTGCTGCGGGAACGTGGCCGTGTACCCCGAGAGACGTGCTCTGAGAGCCTGCTTCGACGAAGCCCCGTACCCGCTCAGCACTTCGATGAGGGCCGGGCTCCTTGCCAGCATCAAAGCATGAGCGCCCACCGGCCTGGGATCGCGATGGAACACTCCAGGGGGGAAAAAGCACAGGGCTATGCTGAGAAGTGCCAGCAGCGCGAGCAGCGCCTCCATGAGTCTCAGTGAAAGCTCCTGCACACAGAGACGGTTCTCGGTAAAGGCGACAGTCCCGTTCGCCGTCCTGTTGGACGTGTCCATGAAGTCTTTCTTGATGGTGTAGGCCGCGTAGCTGGCAAACATGCCCTGCGAAAGCTCAGTGGTCAGGCTGGTGTTCCTGAAGGCTTTCAAGCTGCTCTGTGGCTGCGACGTGTTCAACATGGTGTACCACACGTTCGCCTGGGTGGTGAACACCCCAGACCATTCGCCATCCATGCTCTGGATGATGTTCGACGTGACGTTGAATGGCTTGCTGCCCAGGTCCAGCGTCTCCTGGACTGCCGAGCTCACGTTGAGGCCATCCTCAATCCCCGCAGCCCCCGTCGCGTTTGTGACGGTTCGCCGCGTCAGCGAGTACTTGGGCTCGCACATTATGCCCGACGTTTCTGCTTGGTCCACCGAGAGCCAGGTATCCAGCGTGATGAGAATGCGGTCTTCCTGCTCCTCTATCGGCGTCGAATTGGTGCACTTGTAGATGTGTTGCGTCAGGTTCTGGAACGCGCTGAGGAGCCCGTCGGCCACCGAATCCGTCGAGCCGTACGTCGTATGCCCTTCGTAACACCACTGCTCGAGTTCGTTCCACAAATCCTTCGGGGCTGCCCTGGACAAGGAGATTCCAAAGGTATCGGTTGAACCGCCAGTGTCGTACGTGAAGTTGAATGCCTCGCAGTTTTCCAGCAACGCCTCAAACACCAGGACATCGGCCGTCACGTTGATGTAATTGCCTGTTCCCCGTCAGCCACAAAAAGAACACAGCAGACCCTCCGACTTACCGTCGTCACTGGGCGCAAATGACTGTAGAGCATACTGCGAGGTCGCGCCATGAGGATAAGACAAGTTATAGTTCAGTGTCGCCCAGAAATTGACCGTGTTGCTCAACGGCCGGAACCCGTCGTCTTCCAGTGCCGCGTAGTCTTTCGAAAGGTCAAAGTCGTCCTGAAAGACGAAGTCCCTGCTGCTGGTCACGGAACGGTATTCCAAGCTGAGGAGGCCCGTGGAAAAGATGATCAGAAGCCGCAGGACGAGTGAGCCAGAGATGCCGATACTGACCGCAAAGTGCCTTCTCCTCAGCGATCGGATCAGAGACCCTGGCATTGAGGAGGTCAAGTAGTTCAACAGCAGCCCGTGTTTTGCCACCGTCTCACCGCGACTCATCAGCGACCATGGCATCATCTGCTTCGCGCTGTGTTCCACCTGCCCCCACAGCGCCGCGGCCATGGTGAGCACTGAAAAGGTCAGTTATCGAACAGGACTCGGAGGACAAACCCACCAAACGTCGGTCCATACGTCCACAGGTAATGCAAGCTCTCCTCAACCGTCGCGAGCCCGCCATCGCGCACCGAGAAGAAGTACAGCACCTCCAACGCCACTATCATCAGAATGAACACGACCGCAAACCCCAGCAAGAAGACCCGCCGCAGGTAGAACGGCATCCACGTCGGTTCTCCGCTCGTAGATGCCTCGTCCGTCAGCACCTCGGACGGGGCATCGTTCTTGCCATCGTTCACAAGCGTCGTCGCCGATGCTCGTTCTCCAGGATCCCTAGACGGCGCGTCATCCCGTTGCTGCTGCTGCTCTCTCGCGACGCCATCGTCGTCGTAGCCGTCTTCTTCATCCGACACGTCCGGGACTGCCGAGTACGGCGCCTGAGGCCTGCTCCCCGAATCTAAGCTGCTCACACGACTGCTGGCTTCGGACCAAGATGCGGCATGGGAGGGCGCGGCGTCGTATCCATTGCGCGATGTTGCCCCGTTGCGAGCTTCATTACTGACCCTCTGGTAGTCGCTGGCATCGTCTCCATGCATGGTTGATAAATTGGCTTGGCTGGACGGATAATGCGGCCTTAACCCATGAGAACCCTTTCCCAGCTAAAGAACTAGAGATGGACAAAATAAAAACCCGAGAATGAGAAAGAAAAAAAAAACATGGTAGATGAGATTGCAAAGAGCGCCGTGATATACATTCTATCAGGGCTGAACAATGCGGCGCAGTGTCTTGCTGTGCCGCATGCTGTGCCGCATGCCCAGCTTGACTATACTTAGGCGCCTGGTGGAGCTTTTCGTTACCGGTACAAGGGTTCGGCGGTACGGGGCCACCAGGCCGAGCGATGAAACTGGCGACGAACGGTTGGGGTGGGGCACAGCCAATGCTTGGCGTAGCTTAATCGGGCGATGCACACGACTCTCGGCGCTTAACGAGTGAGAGCCATCAGCGAAACCTCTCCGGTTCCGCCATGGTCCAATCACCATGTGGCTCTTAATTTCCACAGTTCCGGACTTATCATGATTCAAGCAAGTGTGGCTGATTTCAACTTCTTTTGTTTCATTGGCATTCTACTCGTTGACATGATACAAGAGGAATCATGCCTGACTGTCGTGATGCAAGACCAAAGCGGAACACAAGAAAAAGAAGCACTGCGAAGTGCCCTTTTTCGAATACCTCTTCACCACCTCTATCCCACCAGTCTCTTTTTCAACCAAGAAAAGCCAAGCAGCAAGAAAACAAACCGACCGCTCCGCTCCCACAAACCCTGAAAAGACCCAGCCTTATTATTCGCCTTTCCCGTTTTCCCATTCCTTATTTGTCCGCAAACCCCGCTCCGAGTAAACACCAATCCGCCAATATTCACAAAGAAAGCCAAACCCTCCCCGAGCAAGAAACAGCTCATGCCATCCCCTTCATCCAATCAACACTCGCAACACCCACATCGAGCCCTTCGCCGCCAAATCCGCTCAGCCCATTCCCGTGCTCCCCCTCATCGTTTGTGCCAAAATCGTTGAACGAGAAGCTCGCACAGGCGTCGCCCATCGCATCCGTGTTCATCAACGCGTCAAAATCAACCGCCAGCCCTCCGTCTTCCAGCGTACCTGCGCCAGCGCCGCTCTCGAAACCAGTGAGCCCGTCAATCTTGCCGCAGAACGAGTTGGTATCGCCGCTACCGTCGTCGAGCGTGAAGTTTGGCCATGGGAACATCTGGTTGCTGTCCGACGCACCGCTCATGTCAACACTGCCATGCTCCGCGCCGCACGCGTCATTGTGCCCGTTGAGATTGTTGTTGACGCCGTCGACGTCCGGCTGCGACGCGTCCGAGGCGTGGTGGTCCGATGCGGGCGGCGTACTGGCCAGGAACGTTTCGAGACGCCGAGCGACCTCCTCATCCGAAGTGTTGTTCGGGTCCGACACGCCCGAGCGCCCGTTGGCGCCGTCCTCGACCAAGCTATCCGGCGGGGGAGTGATGGTGTTGTACGGCGCAACATTTCCGCTTGTGTCCATGCGATGGCCAGCGTCGAGGAGATCGTCGACGCCAGTGGCTTCGGCCTGCTGTTGCTGCTTAGTGGGCGCCGTTTGCACCGATGCAGGTGGTGCTGGCGGTGGAGGGATCGGCGCAATCGAAATGCCAGCCTTCCGGATGGCAGCCTCCAAGAATGCGGTGCTGTAGTCTGCGGCGGCGTACAAGTCCCGCAGCTTGCCCATGACCTGCATGCATTGACAGAAGCCGCGGAGGCTGGACCGGCGCGTTTCTTCATCCGGCGACTTGATGTCCAACAGGTGGATGATGATGGCAGGAAGCAGCACCGTCACACCCGTGGTCGGAAGGAAGCGAACGAGATCGAGCGAGTCCAGCTTCTGCGCAATACCCGTGATGGCCGTAGCAGCAGTGCGAACGTGGCGACGAGATGACTCGAGGACTCCATTTGCATCCTGCTCAGGACAACCGTTCACAGGCGCAGAGGGAAGCACTTGAGGGCGGTGGAGTGCCGACAGAGTGGTATAGAAGACCATGTGCAGGAGAGATTTGTGGAGGTCGATGGACCTGTTCCCGCTGGATGCCTCCTCGTACTTTGCCTCGTCCGGGAGCTCGTCTTTCCACTTTTTCAACTCGGCATCACAGTGCTTGACGTCCGACTTTTGAGGGTCAAGCTTCTTGGGCAACAGCATCATGGTGGTGCGGTCGTTGAGAAGACCTTGATTGTTGTTCAAAACGCAGTACTGCTTCGAGAGCACGTGGCTGATGCAGAGGCACAGTTTAGCCTTTTGGATGCAGCAGACGGCCAACTGGCGCTGCAGTGCGACATCGCGTGCAACAACGCAGTCGGCGGGAATGCAGGATATGCTGTCAGGCACGGCGGCGATTTCAAAGTCGTCGAGTGTCAACAGCGGCACGTCGTAATCCTCGTCCTTTATCCTCGTCGGTCTCCGCATACCCAGAGCGATGAGACGGTCACGCATGTAAGTCGACCACCAAATCCGCTTCCAAAGCTTTATCCGCCTGGGATCCATGTTGGCTTTGTCGGGGTTGCGGTGCAGGCCTATTGTGTGCGCAACCGACGTCGCGACACCCATCCAGTGCCAGGTGTCTTTTTGGTCGTCGGGAGTCTCGTAGTAGTATGTGAGGAGGAGAAGCGCCTGCACGAGAGACACGCGGTCTTGTTCATAGTCGAAGTCGTACAAAAGCTGCAAATATGAGTCAACAACTGTAGAGGGTGCGGAATCATGCTTATCGTTCAAGGGACTGGTAGTCCTGCAACGTGGTTCAAGCAGTCATCTGCGACTTTTCTCTCTCGACTCACCCTTGTCTTCTGAAAGAAGTCTTTGCGCGCCTCTTTGCGATTCGAGTAACCAGCCTTACGAAGGTATTTGAAATCCGCAAATGCCGAACCAGCAAACATCACGGCTTGGAACAGGATCAAGCTCATCTTGCCCTGGCTACCATCTTGGCAATCGATGATGCGCAGGAATTCATGCAAATCCAGCAGAGGCATGTAAGGGTGCACGAATTCGACATAGGCGCGGAGGAGTTCGGTCTTCAGCTCGAGGGTAGGGATTGTTAGCGCACCCTTCTTCTGGAGATAGGCAATCTCATCGGGCCCTATCCGCGATGGCAGCGGCTTGATGTACGCAGGGAGGCTGAAGACAGCATTCGCCTTGGGCGCGATGTTGGCGAAGAACGGCTGCTGCAATTTCGCGTCGGTAGAGACTGGGCTGTAGCCCAGGATCGGAAACCCGGTTCCGGTGGAGGAAGCCGTCGACATGCGGCGGTTCAGCTCGGAAAAGCTGTAGTTGAGACGCTGGCCATGTGATGCATCTGCAGGAATGACTCGTTAGCCAATGCGGCTGAAGCGGTCCTCAGCCAGGGGAGCACAAACATATCGAGTGCGGCACGTGCTCATCCGTCGACAGGTCGACGCTGCTGGAGGCGCCGTTCTTGAGAGACGAGAGGCCGTCGAGGGCGTCGCGGGAGGCGAGCCTGCGCTTGCCAGAGCCATTGGCGGCGGTGGCGACATCGGCGTCGTTGGTAGTCTTGGAGGCGTCGTCGTCTCTGGACCACTTCCTGCAGATTGGACCTTGCGTCAGCGTACGTGTTGTTGGGCGCGTCGATTGGTCGAAAGCGGGCCTTGGTCCGAGGCGGGACCGGCAGACGAGGGTGTTTCGGCAGACAGTGGAGTGTCCATGCAGCTTCGTCCAGACGCGCAACGAGGAACCACACTGCACGGGCACCCATTGGTCGGCAAGCGGTGAAGACGCAGGGGCCCTAGCCCCGCGCCCCAGTTTTCTCCATCTCGATGGCGCACAGGGGAAAGGAAAAGAAAATAGCAGATAGAAGTGAACTCATCCGGCCGACGAGCGCTTTGGCCGTCGCCGGACGTGCGGGCGGTACTGACTTTTTCCTCCGGGACTCGGACACGATGCACTCGACCTCGTCGAGCCTGCAGTTGGTGCACGGCGCGCCGTGCTCGGTGACGTTGCAGCGCACCTTCCGCGCGCGGCAGCACTGGCACGCCTTGGACGCCCTCCTCTTGACGCTGCGGCCGGTGCCGTGGTTGTCCATGCCGGCGGCGGAGGCCTTGCGCTTGGCCTGCTGCTGGGCAGGGTTCTGCTGGGTGGGCTTGGGCGGCGGCGGCAGCGGGGCGAGCAGCTCGCCGGTGTCCGTGTTGGACGCGGGAGAGGCCGACATGGTGGGAGCGACGACGAGAGGGCTGGCGGCGAGGCAATGGGACGGACGGACGGACGGGCGGAGGGGGGGAGAGCAGTAGTAATAGGCCAGGGTCTCGTGCGGCGGACAGCAGCACTCAGCAAGCGGAAGGGGGCCAGATCGCAGGGCCGGATGCGGGAAGGGGGATCGTGGAGACTTTGTATGCGGGCTAAGGCACTTGGGCCCAGCGACGATGAATTCACGCGTCCCTTTCCCTACTGAGCATGTGTGGAGCGACCCCGGATTCTCCACGGCGGCACCATGCCTGTCCGGGCGGTGCAGCTCGGGCGCACTCGGATGCGCTGCGCCGTTTGGCAGGCGGCGGGGCTGAACGAGTAATTGGCAGCCACAGGCCGGCACAGGACACCGCTGCCGTGTCACACGCCGGCCAACGTCATGCTTAGCCGTCTGTCGGAGCGAACACCTGCGCAAGGCTTGGCCCAGCATGTGAGATTCGCGACGCCTTTTTTGAGATGAGACAGCCCGCCCCACCGTGCTCCACGCTCGTGACCCCTTGAGCTGCGCGCTTTTGACAGCCCGCACTACGGCCGAGTTCGCCAGCACGTCAGCGCCTTTCACATGCCGCCCACTGGAGCCAAGCCGCACCAAGCCCGCCTGCGCCCACGGTTCAGCCCAGCAGAGCCCCTTTGGTCGAGACTGCGGCGCCGATCGAAGAAGGCCTGCCCGTCCTTCTGGAAGGGCGCGTGGCATGCTAGCGGATGCTCGCGGGCATCTGAGCGCCGGTCAGCGTCCGCCATGCACCCTCGCAGCCGTCTGCCCAAACCGGACGGGCGGACCTACGGCCTGCCCTGCGCCCTCGCTGCCCCCCCTCCGCCAGCCGCTGCGCGCAATAATCCGCGCCGCCCAGCACCGACCACTTTCCGCCGACATCGCTGCAATCGCCGTCATCAATCGCCGGGACCCGGCCCTCGCGCACGGCCAGCTGCCGGCCAACGAACGGCGGCCCACGCGAATGTCAGCACCATCGCGATGACGAGGAGAATAATAAGACGAGGCAAACCCTGGGGTGGGGCGCGGCAAGCGGCCGATCTCCACGACGCCACGCATGGGGATCGTCGCCGTGCTGCCTCTCGCATGGTGCCTGCTTCGTTGTCGTGCACGGAGAACGCTCGGGATTCAGGCAAGCTCTTAATTGCGCTGCCCGCTATTCGGTGCTGAAGGCTGGCTCGTCCTAGCGCTGGGCCTGGCCTTCACCGTACATCTTACTGCTGGCGAGCACAGATAGCAGCAGCGCATTGTGCAGCTGCCGGTCATGCGAGCCCCGAGCGGCCTGCCTGTTGCTGAAGTGGCAAGTCAACCTCTTGCGAAGCTCTGATATCAACGACCTGTGGGACCGCCCCCCCTGGGAGCGGATGCGGTCCGAAGTGGGTGTGCTCTGGGTGTGTGGATCACGATGAACTCGTCTTCCCGCCGCCTCCACCGCTTCCGTCATCGTCGGTACCGTTCGACCCGTGGGCTTTCCGGTCAGGCATTTAGTTGCTGGCCCGGCCCTCCTGGTCCACAGCGCGTCTTTCTCTCGTCTGCTTCCCTTTTCGATCCGCCCCGGTCTCGTACCCCCGCAGCGCAGCAAAAAGCCGCAGTGGGTCCCATTTCGATTCTCCATAAATCGCACATCGCCCAACAACCGCTGTGTAATCAAATCACCCGCACCCAGCCGCGCCCGGGGGTCCTGGCCGCTGGGTCACTCGCAGCCCTTGCGCGGATAGGCTCGGGATAGGCCGGCGCATGCCGACATGCAGGTGCGCAAATAAAACGACAGCCGCGGGGCACGATGCTCTTTGCAGAAAGAAACGCTGCAAGCGGTCCGGCCAGGTGCCGTTCGGCTCCTCTGTGGTGGCTGAGCCTAAGCCTCTAACGAGCGGCGCGAAAGCGAATACCTACCTGGGCCGCTTGGTGCTGACCAACAGGGAGTCTGACGATTAAGAGCAGCGAAAGATTTATCTGACGCACCACAGGATGCATGTAACTGCTGTCTCTCGATTATTGATCAGACGGGCCTAGATGTAGGTCCGATAGCGGCGCGCCTGCGTCCAGTAACAGCAGCCTGGCCATGCTCTTTTCCAGTTCGCCATACGTTCTTGAGATCCCGCCGCCTCAGTCCTCGCCGTCATCGGCGTTGCCGGAGAGCGCGGCATGCAGCCGCTGCGGAGGCGGTTATCGTGTTCCCTGACCCTGTCATTTTCTGTTCGTTCAGGCGGAGACCCCGCGGGGAAAAAACACTTGGCATTGTGTAAACTCACCGCACGAGGCCAAGCGCTGGGGGGGGGGGGCACAATCCCACGATCTTCACGAGTCGGCGCTAATTCCAACTTCTTGTTTTCCTCCGCCATCAACATTGGCCAGAGCACAGCACGCACCTCTTTTCGAGTCACGTTTTCCTCGAAACCGCCAGCCACTTGCTCCACAATACCCCACGATGGCTTTATCTTTTTCCTTTCATTCCTTCGTTCGCCCCCGGCAATACCCTGTGACGTGTCGCGTGGTTAAATTGGTTCTAACAAAGCACTTCCACTCCCCGTCCACGCTCGCCGGAGGCCAGGCGACCCACGAGATTGCGCCAAAGGGTTGGAATCATGCATGAGGCAAAGCGCATTGCACTATCCTTACACGCCTTGAAACGCCGTTTCGTAACCAACAAAAACGGCCAAGCACCCCTCACGCATGCCCCGATCGCGGAACCGCTCGTGCATCTGCTCTTTTGCTCCCGCCTGCAAGTTTTTCTTCCCTCTCCTTAGCTCCGGATCACCCTACCCATCAAGCCTGTCCTCGACACCCATGCCTAGCTCTAGCCTTGATAAGGTTACTGAGGCTGACGATTAATGCGGGGTGAATGCCTGTGGAGGGCCGTGGAGGGGTTGGGGAAGAGCGCGGAATTAAAACGCGGTACTTATCCGAACGCCTCAGGTTGTGCTGCAGGGCGCAGCGCCGGTGCGGGCGTAGCGTAGCGGCCCACCGGCTAGCAAGAAACGGAACCTGAGGCGAGAAGCGGAATTCAATTGCATCGCAAGTAGTGGGCCGACGATCGCGGAAATAACTCGCTCGTAGTTCAATCAGAGGTAGGTAATAGCGCTTCGTTCCTCCTTCTCTTTCACTGCGCGATCTATTCGCCCACATTTGCACCCGGCCTTGTTCTCTTTGTTGTTGACCGGGATCGACACGGACAAAGGAAGTGCGTAAGGCAACCCGAAAAGGCTGGGGCGGCGGGCATAAGGAAGGGTTGAAGAAAGATTTCCGACAAGCTTTGAAAGCATGACGACAGCGTAGCGTGTCGCACAGCAGCGTGCCGTAAAACTTTGTGGAGAATCCAATGGTGGCTCAAATAGGGAAGCATGGATTGCCGATTATGCGCACTTACCTCCCATCCCCGCAGGCCTGCACACCACCCCCACGAAGTCTAGGTGTAGATTGCAATCTAGAGTTTCGATGATCCGCTCGACCGCTCTAGGGCCTTCGTTTGATTCTTGTAGTTCTTCACCAGTTGCCGGATTGCCAGATCCAGTAGCACGTCCTCCGATCCTCCGGGGATCCTGTTCAAGCGCAATAAGCAGATGATATCAGTCTGATGTTTCCAGAGGCAATACGGGGATGTGGTGCAAAAAGGGTCAGTGGCCGGTCATGACGTCGTCGCCAGCACAGCAAAGAAAACGAATCCCAACGTACCTCTGACCGGGCACCTCTCTATACAGCCGCTCGGCAATCTCGCCTTGGCCAGTTCTGGTGTAACCGTTGCCGCCGAACAGCAGGACGGCGCAGCGCGCACACTCGTCAAAGACCATGCCCGCGCGGGCCTTGGCCAGCGCCGTCAGCCCGCCCAATTGGACGTCGGCTTCCTCCTTACTGAGCCGCGTCATTTGGTAGACGAATAAATCAACCCACGCCTGCAGGCTCTCGAGCTCGGCGCCGGCTTTGGCCAGCCGGTGCCGCACGACGGGCTGCTCGACCAGCGCCTTGCCGAAAGCCTCGCGCTTCATGACGTAGTCCATGGCTGAGGCGACGGCGACGCGGGCGTAACGTGTGGCGCCGATGGCGATGGTGAGGCGTTCATGGTTGAAGTTCGTCACTGTAAACACAGATTCAGCACAGTCTTTCCCCTGAAGCAAGAGAGCACCCACTGATATACTTCATGCCCGCGCCCTCGGTGCCAATGAGATTATCCACGGGCACCTTGACGTCGTCTAACTCAATGAATGTCGTCCCCGCGCTGACCTGTCCAGAAACCTTCAATCGGCGCATGCTCACTCCCGGGTACCCCTTCAGCGGCACAACCAGCATGCTCAAGCCCGCAGGGCCAGGCCCGCCGGTCCGCACTGCCATGGCGGCGTAGTCGCTCCAGATGCCATTGGTAATCCACTTCTTCGTGCCATTGATTATGTAGTGCTTCCCATCGGGCGTCTTGGCGGCCGTCGTCGTGATGTTGGCAACGTCGCTACCCGCGCCCGGCTCGGTGATGGCGATGCAGGCGCGCTTCTTACCCGTCAGCAGATCCGGCAGGAAGCGCTCCTGCAGGGCTGCGTTGCCGAACTTGATGATTGGAGGGACGCCAAAGGCCATGCCGACGGTGAGGGAGCCCGAGGGACCTGCGATGCCGGCGCGCGACATCTACCAATCGAGTCAACTACGTCCAAGCATCAAAAGCAAGACGCACCTCGTCACAGTATATGGCATTGTGCAGGTAATCAAAGTCCTCGACCTTCAGCCCGCCCAGAAGCTCGCCGAGGCCCAGGCGCCGCAACCACGCAGCCGGTAGCGGGGCGGGGAGGTTCGGCACCAGCATATTGGCTTGGGCGAAAGTCTCAAAGACGTGCGGTGGCACTGTCTCCTGCGTGTCCCACTCGAAGGCGTGTTGGAGGAGGTGCTCCTCGATGAAGGAGCGGATGTCGCGCTGCCATTTGCGGTGCGACGCCGTGTGATAGGGCGAGGGCAGCCCGGCGAGCCAGGAGGGTTCGGCGAAGGGTGTTGGGGCGGTGGGGAAGGTGGTTGTCATTTTGGTTTGCGTTTGGCTGATTGAGGTCTGCGGCGTGGGAGGGGGTGGAGCGGAGCGGAGCGGAAGCTGCGTGGTCCTCGGATTGGCGAGCGGTTTCTGCTGAGCTCAGGAAGGGATGCTGTGTGCTACGAGAGGGGTCGGCGCAGCTGGGGAGCTGAAGTGGAACGGGCGATAAAGTAATTACGGGCGTAAATATCCTTCACATATCGAGACGATGAGTGAACAGTTGTTGTGGTCCGAGGAATGTGGAGCTGAAGCTCCGCAAGGACCCCGCGGGGAAGGAGCTGTGGAGATGCCGAGGTACTTTTTGCGCGAGTCATGGGCCACGCCCCAAGCTGGTACGTCTGCGTGCTTGTGCGAGCCCCTGGCCTTGCTTTGTCTGCCTTTGCCGTCGACTTTGTCTGACACGCGTCGTGCGAGCTAAGCATGCTAGCGCCATGGCCTCAGGTTGCAGGCTCGGTCAAGACTGCTACGGCGCCGGAGAATAGTGGCCGAAACGGGGGCTAGGTAAAAGGGCGCTGCAGGGGCCCGTCGACCGTTTTCCCCCTCTCCCCTGGCTTGCGACGCGCGTGGCTTGCACTACGGCTGGCGGTCCTTTTCGAGAGGGCAGTGAAACTGGGCAGAAGATATGCAGGATCGGGTCCGACCGGAGAGCCTGGCCGCTGGACGCGCTAGCCTCATGAGGAAAGAGAGCACACCTTCGATTGGCGCTATTTCTGGTCTTTGTCCATTCCCACGCACTTGCCATTGTGTGAAGAGAACAATGGATGCTTTTAAGTATCCGTTGCTTTCTCACAATTCGTTTTTTTCCCCCACGCATTACTTTCTTCCAAGACTCGGTATGCCTGGACGCTACCACAGAAACAATAGAAACGGGCGGGCCCCGCGAAATACGCAAGGACAAGGTAATGGCAATCAGCAGAACCACAGCAGTAACCATCAAGGCGATCACTCCAACAGAAGCCCAAACCATCAGAGCAATAGTAGTAACAGGAACTGGCAGAACAATGGCAACAGAGAGCATCGCCGTCATCAGCGCCAGAGCCCATATGATCAAGGGAATAGGAACAACAGAGGTGGAAATAACCAAAGAAACTTAAGTAACCAAAATCGAGAGCGCAACAACAACACAGGCAGGAATAATAACAACGGCACGGGCTCTAACGGTCGTAACCATCGACAGCGCAACCGGAATAGACAACACAGCAATGACGAAAGCCGCAGCAGCATGCCCCAGTTCGACCCATCCGAATACCCCCTGAACAGCGAAATCCAAGGTGACCTCTGGAAGGCACGCGAGTTTGAAAAACGCCTCTGCCGTCGAAAGTTCTATGATGGCCTTAGATGGCCGCGTGACTCTGATGGAGACCTCATCATGGTGGATGCGGCCACCGAAGTGCCGGTCTGGTTCAACGGGCCTTGGCAGCACCCAGGTTTGAAGACTGATTTGGAAAGTGGACCAATGCGCGTGGATGACTGGGGTGGGATAGAGGACTACGATGAAACAGCAGGCTATGATGATGCAATGGACAGTGACCAAGAATCTTTTTAATCAGCAGCAGTGGCTCGGGGGGATCTAAATCTAACTGAAAAGTAGCGGAACAAGGTAAGAGCCGGATAGTCACCTCTGTATTCAATGACAGTACAGTCGATGGCTTCGGCGTCGCCAGACAAAGTGCGTAGTAAGATGCAGTCAATTCCATTGTTACAGCAATTTACAAAGAGGGTCTATATTTAGCCCATCGTGTTCTTTATGCTTTGACAAAGCGTATGGTATAATACCTGCAGTACCGTCCAAAATTGCAGAAGTGAATTCCATATCTATAGTAGTAGCCATCCGGCATGGCTTCAGCACGCCTCAGGACCCGTGGTGGCATCTTACGACCCCCCACAGCATCTTATTGTTTCTTTTCTGACCGGGAGAAAGGTCCAATTCCCTTTCTCGATGAGGAGGACACGGCCACAAAATCTGTCCACTTTCCCGCCTCCCCTGTCACCACCATCCAACCTGTCCTCAACTGGATCGATGACCTCCCAACCACTTCCTCGTTACCTTGCCCGGAACTCGACTGCTCCTTCAAATCGACCGTCGCCACGATCAAGCAGTCATCATCCTCGCTGTCACCAGATTTGTCCCCGGAAACGCTGGTGGCGGCCGATGCAAATCTGATTGCAGTGGGCCCTCCCGCTCACATCAAGAACACAACGGCTTTGCAGAATGGAGGAATCCTACCATGTCAGTTCGACTGTGAGCACTGCTACGACTTCTTCGTGAGAAGTGGCGGGTGGGCGGTGTCAGCACAAGAAATCTACAATGACGATGAGCGCGATAGGCGAGCGGATTTTCTGGAGGTAATTGCGAGGGATATGCGGGCAGGGGGGAAGAGAAAGAGAATGTCGGATGACATAGGTGAAGAAATGGTTACAGAGAGAGGGATGTCGTTTAGCCGTGATTCACCGACGAGCCCGATGAAAGGCGTTCAGTTAGTAGTGAACGATGCGCAGCAGCTACATTCAAAAACAGCGTGGACGGAGGCGCAGAGGGAGGTGATGGCGGCGGGCTTGCAGCGGATCATTGATGAGCAGAGCCAGGACGAGGAGGAGAGTCCGAGGAGGTACGGTTGGAAAAAAGTGCAGAGGGGTAGTGGCGGTACGTATAGCAGAAGGAAGGTGATATTCTCAACGTAGTCGCAAAATGACAAGAGGGAAGTTGTTGAGAGCTGGAAAAGTGGAATAAAAGCTACACGGGTACGATTGCTCAACCAACAGAAAAAGAAGAAAAATCACCATCAGGGTCCGTGGCCAGCTGTGGTATAAATGGCCCACTTGCACACCCGTCCGTCGGCAAAGAAGACTGTAATTTTTTTCCTGCATCACGATGCGTTGGAGCATACTTCTCGTTGCAGGAATCATCCTGCCAAAATGTCAGGCATGGTTTCCTGATGATGAGTGGTTTTTGGAAGACCAAGATGCCGAGGATGACGTAAGTTGGGCGGGATTTTGGCGCAGATCGCTGCGCGTCAGACGGCCCCTCCTCCACCCCACACTTCAGCCGCCGCCATGCCCTTCGGAAAACAACTCGATGGACTAATTTCCAAGGCGAAGGTCCAGTACGATAAGTACCAGGCCTCGCACCAGGCTCCTCCGGTGCCTCCGCGCCCCAATCAGCAGTACCCCGGCCAACAGTACCAGTATCCCGGCCAGCAGTATCCCGGCCAGCAGTACCAGCAGCACCAGCAGCAGCAGCAGTACTACCCCGCCAATCCTGTCGCCGACGCCAGCGCGCACTACCCAGCAGCCGCTCCGCACTACTTTCCCGGCTCTCACCCTCCGCAACAGTCCTCCTACCAGAGACCGCCGCCGCCGCCGCCGCCGCAACAGCAATACCCGCAGTATGGCCAACCCCAATACTCGCAGCCGCAGTATGGCCAGCCTCAATACGGCCAGCCCCAATACGGCCAGCCGCCCTACGGCCAGCAGCCCTACGACCAGCAGCCTTACGAACAGCCGCAGTACGCGCAACCGCCGTATCAGTCGCCCTACCAACCGCCCTTCCAACAGCCTCCGCCGATCCCGACACATCCGACCGCGCTGCCGCACTACTGGGCGCCCATCCTCGATCCGAGCGCCGCCGTATCCGTGAACTTCGAGCACAAGCAAGGCGCCGGAGGCTGGGGCAACAACGAAGCCCAGACCTACACGGCAGACGCGCGCAATTCCTTCCACACGCCCAATGGCGCCCTGGTGCTGCGTGCCATCGCCGACCGCAACGCCCCCGAGGGCCAGCAATACACGAGCGCCCGCCTGGTCTCGCGCCAGCCGCTGGCCCGGGACCGCGGCTTCCTGCAGGTGCGCATAACGGCCCCGTCGGCAAAGGGCATCTGGCCCGCCTTCTGGCTGCTGCCGCGCGAGCCCTTCACCTGGCCCGGCGACGGCGAGGTCGACATCTTCGAGGCTTGGAACGGCGTGCGCCAGAACCACGCCTGCCTGCACTGGGGCCACTTCAACGGCGAGGACTGGAACAAGCACCGCGTCGTAGAGACGCCCATCCCGCAGCTGGATGACCCCAACGGCCGGTGGTACGGCTTCTCATGGGACCAGGACGGCCCCACCGGCCGCATGGTGTGGTATGTCGATGGCATGCCCGTCATGAAGGCCCCCATTCCCCCCGGCACGAGGAGGTTGGCCGATTTCCAGATCATCATCAACATCGCAATGGGCGGCAACGTCAACCAGAACGCCCTGCCCGAGGATGGCCAGTATGAAATGGTGATCCATTCTCTCAAGCTTCACGAAGAGCCAAGTGGGGGCTGGGCTGCGTTCGAGAGGGATTGGGCCACTGCTGCCGAGGGGCGTCCGATGTAGCCGCTGGAGGAGTATTGTTAGTCGATAAATCATGTATCTATCCTTGCTCGATATTGAAAGCCCGAGACTGCTATTAGAGATGTATGTTGGGACGAAGTTCGTGTCTGAGTCAAAGCCTACTAATGGTGATGGGGCCCAGAGTTCAACGTTGAACAAAAGCAGGGTTATGTCTCCCAGGGTCTCGCTACCGGCAATGTAAGCGGCGAGAAAGTTCACGTAAGAGTAACCCTCAGAGCGTCCTGAGGATCTCCGCAGCAGCGCTCCATACCCTCAGTTGTCTCGTGTTGGATGTGAAAACACTGCTGCTCAGTGAGACCAGACTTCAGATTGTGGAGGCTTTCTCAACCACATGTCAAACCAACAGGAATGTGAAAAGATGATGAATTGGATCAGGGAAGCCCTGGGACCATGTTACATAGTTGGTGTTGAGCTGAAGAGGCTGAAGGATGTTAGAGGGCACTCCTTGTCAATTACTCGAGCTGAGCATTTGAGCTCTAGGCACTGGCAGCGGCAGATCAGGGATAGAGAGCTTGACCATTTCTCGTTGCTGGCATGGACAGGCCGGACAAGCCCAGATCATGCGACCCACGATTTTTTCGTTTTTGACAAGGATGCCAACTCCGTCCGGGCGAGCCATCTTATAGTGTAGTCCGGGTATACGATACGCGACAGCATCGCGCACTTCGGTGGGACACTGGTACAGCGCAGCGCGGAAGAGAAAGGTATCATGACAAGTCTGGCAAGCCACACCAATGATGGCTTGCCGGTGGAGCAAATGAATGGTGCGGCCATGGCGTTCGAGGTACTCAAACGGCGTCTGTCCTTTGCGGTGTTCCAGGGAGGCGTTCGACAGGCCCATCGCATCAGCAACCCACTTGGAGCCTTTGAATCCCTCCATGGGCCAATGGCGGTGTGCCACATCGTACTGTTCCCGTAGAGCAATCTCCAAAGCCTGACGCCGGTTCTCCTGCGCCAGGCGCCTCATGATGTCGCTTTTGTCCTGGTCGTACAGCCTGGTCCCTAGTGTTTCGACGAAGGCATCGACATCCGGCCCCGTGTAATCGACAACAGTACGCGCGATGTTGGCAAAATTGGCGTGCTGGTCTGGGTGCAGAAATCTCCGTACGGTGCGAACAATGCCAATCCTTTCTAGCTTCAACACCGGCTGGTTGCCTGCGAAGTAGAAACTGTCGTGGCACTCGGGCCGAGATAATCTTCCCCTCAACCCCCAGCTGATGACGTCGTTGTAGCCCATCCGCTCGACCCAACTGCGATCTTTCCTGGGGTCTGCGGCGCCCAGTCTTGGTGTGATCAACAAGGGGCTGTAATCGCCTGCTTCGAGGCAGCGCATGGCGACTTGCAAACAAGCGGCCTGCGAGTCCGCCTTCAGCGGCTCGTCGTGCTTGCCCAGCACGATGCCCCTCAGCGCGTGAAAGAAGTCGCGGTCACTCCTGCACCCCCTGGCAGAGAGCACCGAAAAAGCCGGCGCGTAGTCCAGAACCTTGTCCCTCCTCGCGTCCGCAATGGTCACCACGTTCCATGGCACCAGCCGCCTGCCCTGCTGCGCCATGCGCTCCACCTCGAGGATATCGCCCTGAAGCCTGATCTCTTCCTCGTACACGTCCGCCGCCTTGCCGAGGAACATGCCCGGCGCGTCGTCGTAGATGGTGTAATCGCTGACCATGGGCTTGAGCCGCGCGCTGCGCACAAACTCCATGGCCGTCCACACGCGCGCGAACCATTGCGCGTTGCACACGCCCGTCACACCCGCTAGCCGGCGCTCCGACGACGGCGCGTGCCGCATGTCTTCGACCATCTGCGGCGTGACGTCCTCGAGGAAGGCCAGCGTGAAGTGCGATCCGCCGTAGATCTTGGGTATCGCGCCGAGCATCTTTTCCTTGATATCGTCCCGCCACTGCAGGACGCTGATGTAGTCGTGCCAGACCTCGAAAGCGCCACCCCCATCAGTTTCCCCCTTGGTCTTTTGCAAGTTGGAAACAAGAGCCCGGTAAATGTTGATCGGTCGCGCGAAGGCCTTCTGTCGCGTTGCTATGTCCTGCGGCGAGTGCCTGCCTCGCGCCTGTGCCGCCGAGACGTCCAGGTCCCAGACGTGTGACACGGTTACGTACGTGACGCTCCCCTGTTGCAAACAGGCGAGGTGTCTGTTGTAGATTGATATCAACGAGCCAAGTGCTCGGACATGCTTGCTGGCGCCTTCTTTTTCTTCCACTGACCATATTGACTCTCCGTCAGCATCATCGAGCGGCCGTACTGAGAATGTGCGGATGATTGCCTCGCCTTGGCCGGCGATCGGCTTACCGCATGTGCAGCAGCAGCAGTACGGTTCCGCGCCAGTGCCATCGTCATCGCCAAAGCACCAGAGCTCTTGGAGGTCTGGGACGTCGGAGTCGTCCTTATCGAATGTTTCATCTGCGACGGTAGTCATCTGCGGCTTGTTCACAACGGTATGAAGGTGTCTGTAGCTGGATGAACGGAACTCAGGAGTCAAGGTAACGTTGGAAAGCTCTGGTAAAACGAAGAACACATGAGAGTTGCGGCGCCACTCAGCATTAATAAGTATTCGCGGCACCCCCCAGCCCTTGCGCTGATCATTCGTAATAATGTCTTGTTGCATGGGGGCGACAATACCCACATACCGATGGGGGCCAAATCTCAGGTGACGCTGGGAGTTATAGTAAGATAAACCCATGACAATTCGCGACAATTTTCTCTTTCAAAGAAAACCCGCTCAATAATACGAAATTTAGTACTTACAGTCACGGAATACATCTTTTAGTAATCCTTCAACTCTTCCACTTCCACCGTAGCCAAATCTGGCTCGCGAAAAGGCACGCGGTCACACGTTTATTACCTACTCTCTAAGCGCTGACTGAGATTAAGGGATGAAATCTGCTAGGTTAAGCACTCGACAGAGGCACAAATGACTAGGAAGGCCCGACAATAATGCTTGTGTGACAACAGGAAGAACAATGGAAGTTGCCATATTTGAAGGGGAGGGGCTTTAAAGGCCGGTGGTTAAACGATATGAGTCTGCATTGTATGTGGCTCTGAGTTTGGATCTGGATAAAATCGAAGCTGAAGATTGAAGTTTCTGGTAAATCCTCCATGCTGATTTTGAAGACGTTGGAAGAGTCTTTATCTCCCACGTCTGTATGAAACGCAGGAGTAGCATAGCACATGACATGGCTGGCTCGAGTGATACAGGCCACTCCATATTAGGAAGTCGTCACATTGCAATGTCTCAAACAAGACTTGCGCCGCGCGCACGAAAATGTTAAAACAAAAGCAAGGTGTTTAAGACAAAGCAGCATGTCAACGTGAAGGGGCTTGAAACGTACACCGTCGGTTTATTTTCACACGTGGAGTTTCAGCCTTGAAGAAATCTCCCACCATTGTGAGCCGGTCGTACAACACATGCGTCTGGGGGTGACATGGCGGTTCGTCACGCGGTCTGAAACAACGAGTGACACGATGACCCATCCGTAGGTTAACGAACCTCAAAAACGGAGCGTCGAACGTCCTCTGGGCTACCCAGAGACATGCAGTATCTCACCGAAAGTGTATGCCGTTCACTGTTACCGTCGAGCAATGTCGGGTATGATGCGACGATTCTCCGAGGTTTCTTGATTGTAGTGGATTTCGCGGTCAACTGTGAGACTGCCTTGGGTGGTGCTCTTGTCATTTACTGGCGCGTCAGTTGGCAACAGAGTGACCAGCCGAGGAGCGTATTTGAAAGGTAAGTTCGAATGCCTGAAGCTAGTTCGTGAAACCTGTAACGTGAAGGTAGGCAATGCGCAAGTACTGAAATTGAAGCATCGCTTCATGGAGTGATGGGCAAAGTTACTGGATACGGCAAAAGCTACTGTGCCCTCAAGAGAAGAGCCGGCCTTCATACCGTCAAAGGACTGTGATGGCTTTCCCGTATATGCAGCCAGCTCGTTAAGGAGGCCAGCCCGGTAGGTATCCACGGACTGCGAGAATATCTTACCTTGGACAACTCACCGACTTTCCTCGGTACTGCAGGCATCGTACCGTACAGTCGTACCACTTGCGCAGGATCCAAATGTCGCTGAAGAAGAGAACGTCGAGTCAAGCGCTGTGCTACCCGCCCCCAAGAATAGCGCACTAGAAGTTAGCGGCAGCGGACGGAAGGAGGATCATAGTCAAGCAGCCAAGAAGGCAGCCTCGTGTTCCGCCAGCCACGCCCATCGCCGGCGCCTCGCTTGCCAAGGACGATACGAGCCGCATGATCCGTTCTCATTACCAAATCGTGATCTCGAATCCGGGGAACTTCGAAGCGAGCAAGAAGGCAAACATGTTTCAAGGTACGAGGCGAGCCATTGTGGCCGACAAGGCAGACGGAATGCTTACGAATGGCGGATTCGGGAGTGGTGTCGAGCTATTGAATTTGTTTGGATGGTGAGGATTAGCCTTTGTTACCAAAGTTATGTCTCCGCCAACAGCCGAGAGACCCGACAAGGCACCTGATCGTAGTCATGAGCCATGGCGAATGCTTCGCTCATGAAACCTGCTATGGCTTTTTGGTAGGAGTTAGGAGGAGTCATCAGCAGAGGCAGAAAGCTTGTGAAAAGAGCGCGGTCGTAGAATACCTGTGCCCCGAAGGTGCGAATCTTCGTCCTAGACGTCTAGCCCTGAACGCAGAGGCCTCTCTACCGAAGTCTCATGGCAAATTCCTGCAGTGAGACACACCAGGTCCCTCGGAAGGCCGGAATACTCTTTTTGTCTGGAGCAGGGTGCGAGAAATGTTGGCAGCACGCTCCTGGCATCCTGGATACCTTACCACGCGTGAAGTGGGCGGCGGAAGAAGGAAAGAAGCTTGCAGTGGATCGCTTGAAGAGACCCACCTAGATCCTGCAGTGGACGGAAATTTGGCCGTGGCGTCTGCCTGGAAGTTATCGGAAGGGAGACAGAACTATTGTTTGCATGCATAGTGAACAGGCCAGGTGAGAAGATCAGACGCCGCAATAACTTGAAGTGCCGCAGAAGTGCATACAGATGTGCCGGTGCTGGGGCCAATGGCGCTGGTGGCGGTTCGTCACATTAGAAGCTGGGCTGGACGGGCTCCACAGAAGTTCCAGCGCAGAAGTAGGCCTATCTGGCTCAATATATGTGCGTCTCGATTCGGAGTGTCCGCCGTGATGACGCGTAAGCCGAGCATAATCCGGCTTTTTTAGCAATCACATACAGGACCAAACGACCGGCAAATTCAGCCTTACGCGCATTAGAAGAGTCGAGCTGATTTATTTTGTTGGCGACGCTTGCTCACCGCTTCGTCCTTCTGCCACGAAGAGCCCGTCGAGTTAGCCGAAGGTGCATGCGTCGGAAAAGCCGAACCCGACGCCATTTCATTAAGCATGTAAGCAGAGTGGTCGGCAGACCAGCGTGCCAGCGAGGCAGAATCGGATGTCAGTTTTCGTCGATAGGTCGTATGGAGCAATCGACGTCCCATGAACGCGCATTTTCGGGTGTAGAGAGGGTCCCGATCGAGAAGAGCTCAATCTCGTTCGCCACTCTTCGTACGTATGGTTTTGCTTTTTGCGCGTTTTCGGATCCGCTGTGTTGGCCGAATTGGCGAGTAAGTCCCCGCAGTAGACGGGTACAAGGGTGATGTACCCATGTATAGACGTGCAGTAGGAAAGCCGCCAATTGTCGTCGCTTTCATAGCGTGAGCGCTTCCGATACCGGCGCTATCATTGGCTAGATGACTGATGTGGAGCCCTATGAGCACCGTGTTGCTGTTTCCCAATACGTTAATACAGCTGGACAAGCGATGGACGCCCGTCAGCAGCAGATGTAAGTCATCGGCTCTGCTTGACCTATTGGGACACGTCAAAGAGTGATGCTGACTCTCGCTTCGCGGGCGGCGGTGTGAGTGCTTGTATCTCACTGCGATCTCGACAAACAGTAGATGTACCCCGGGTTCTGCTCGGTTGGATTGAGAACAGCCCGACGCAAAAGCCTCCAACAGCACCTTGACCTTGCTCCTACTTCCTTCCGCCCCACACGGGGCGAGCTGGCAGCTCCTTCGGCGCCGGATGTACATGGCCAGATGCGATGGCCGGTGGCCTTACGTGGGGAATGCTAGACACCCCGACCGGCGATCATAGCATGGCCGATCCTATTCGCAGGCGTCCGGGGTTGGGCAAACGAAGAGGCGCCCCGAGAGTGGAGAAGAGGGGGACAACAGGCGAGAAGATGGCGTGCAGCGGCCTGTTTTCAGCGCGGCAATGCTTCAGTGGCCAGCCAACCCGAACACAAGCAACAGGGATGTGCACCAAGACAGGCGGGTTCCGCGCCTTGGCGGACGACGTTGCCTGCCGCTCCGCCACGGCGTCCTCCTTGCGGCGCCGTGGCTGGACTCGGGTCGGGCTTTCGACACGCCTTCACATTCCGTGCCGCTGCAGCCTGGGTGGGCTGAGCGGTCTGCGTTGGCTGATGGCGACGGGCTGACAGTGCGTTAGCCTCGAAGGAAGACAGCGGTTCGGGGTTTTAGAAATGCGGCGCTGGGTGAAAACAGGATCTTTGGTTGCCCTTGCAGACGTCTTTTGGTCAGATTGTGCGAGCGAGCGTCCCACGGGCGTGGAGGCTTGGCAGCGTGGACAGGTGAGGCGCAGTGCACGAGCTGTGGGGACGACACGGGTGACAGGCGCCGTGTAACTTGTTGGATGGTTCGCAAATTGTTTCCGCATCGCTTGCCGGCTGCGGCAGGCCCCGCGGCCGAGCACCGTAGGGCTGAGGCCCGCTCGCTAAAATGGCAAGCACCATGACGCGATCACTTCCCCATCGGATTTGCATCGCATCACACCACTGCTAGAGAAATATGCATTCGTGACTAACTAAGACAGCAGCCGCATCTACCGCAAGCGCCATCTCTGTGCGTTGATTCGTGGACTCATAATGTTCGAAATAAGAAGCTCAGCACTAGCAATGCTATCCTTGCCAACTCTACACCGCCCTCCACTTGGGCGTGGGGAGAATGTGGCCGCCCTTGGACGTGCAGGCTTTCACGGACTCGGTCGGCGTTACCGTGGTCGTGTATGTCCAACTGGAACATGTCAACAAGGTGCAACGCAGGGTAGGAATGGGCAACATACGTCTTGTAAAGAGTCTTGATGGCAGTAATGGTCGTGTACGAGATGCTGGTCCTCGTCTTCGTCGGCGTCGGCGCGGTAATGGTGACGGTGGTCCTGCCCGAGTAGACGGTGCTGGGCGGGAGAGTGGTCGAGACGGTTTGCGTGGTAAGGATGGTCTCGGTCGTGGTCGAAGGAGCGGCAGTGTGCGTGATGGTTGTGTTCACCACAGTGTCGGCCGTGACAATGACCGTCGCCTCGTCAGGAGCACGCTCGTCCAAATCGCGCTCGTTGAGGCGGTCGGGGATTGACATGCCGCGCCTCAGGCGAGCCTCGCGGATCATGCGGCGAGCCACGCTGGGGTCCATGGGCGTGTCGACGACATTGCGAACCCGCACGGGCGAGCCGGACTGCAGCGCTGCGACCGTGACCCGAGTGGGAGTGTACTTTGCAGTGGGGTCGTGCTGCGACGGCTTGGGCGGGACGGTGCAGCTGGCCGTCTTGGTTTTGGTCACCGTGGTAAGGCTCTTGGTCCAGCTATGCCTCGTCCTGGTCTTGACCCAGGTGACCCACGACGTGACGGCCTTGGGAGTCACCGTCTTCTTGGCCGTGGCAGATGGAGAGGTGATGGTCTGTGTGTTGGGCACCGTGTCCGTCACCAAAAGCGTCGAAGTCAGGTTCGACGTGACAATGGGCGTCGACGTGACATCCCAGGTGACTGTCGAAGTGAAGGTGCTGGTGACCTGGCTCCCGACGGTGAGGAAGAGCTCGCGCTGGTATGCGTACGGAGCGTCGTCTTTGTTAGGCCCGTTGTTGCCAAAGACAATGACGAGCCAGTCTCCGCTGAACATCTGGCTCTTCAAGATCGGACAGCTCGACAGCTGAGGCGTGTCATCGGGCGTGACGGGGACGTCGGTGCAGATGTACTCGGCATAGTTGGGATCAACAAGGAGAACATCGGCCGTCCCGCCAGCACAGCCCTCAAACTCGGACACCTTGGGGCATCATGTCAGACAGGCGACGAAACCATGGCTTCCGCTCTGAAGCTTACCGCAGTGAAGTTCTCTGCCAAGGCTTTGTTGATGAAGTAGGAGCCCCCGTTCTGGAAATCAATACCATACGACACGCAATCGGAGAGGGCGCCGGGCAAGGCGGCCAGAGCCGCAGCCAGGATGCTCAGGCGAGAACGAACGGAAGACATGAAGGATGGAAGTCAAAAGCGACCGTGGGCGAGTATGCTACATGATTTTCACTGGGCCGGGCTGGCTTATAAGTAGACAGTATGCTGAATAGCCTCTTCAGGCGGCATACGAGGATGGCCTGGTGCAGGCGTCTCGCGAAATACGCAGAGGCTCGGCATCGGTAGCGAGATGGCCGAAAGTGGAAGCATGGTTAGCCAGGAACAGGCGCAGTTGCAACATTGACGCAGAGCGGGAGCAGAGTGGCTGCTCTCGTGAGAAGCGGCTTGGGCGGAGATGGGTGCGCTGGGCGGGATACGCGGACGAGGAGCTGGACGCGAGCGCGACGTCAACGAGGAGTTGCGAAGAGACAAGCAGGGGCACCGTGTGGGCCTGCGAGGGCGGGGCCAATGGGCGCGGACTAACGTGGCGCCGGCGGGCGGGCCAGCTGGGGCTGCGGCGATCCTCTATCTTTAGACGGCCGCAAGTCATCGGGCATGCTGGCCAAACTCTCTGCTCGTCGTTGCTGACCGACACCCAACAGATTCCCGATCGCGACTGCCTGTCAGCCCGCTCCATCGGCGGAATCCACTGCAGTGCCACCGCGTCTTCCGCGTCCATGGATAGAGCTCGCTGCAAGGCGCCCGCCCTGCTCATGCCTGTTTTCGTGCTCGAGCCGGCCCCCGTTCTTGGCTCGGTGCTGACCGCATGGGTTCATGTGCTCTGGCCTGGTATTCGCCCTTGCTCATGGCATGGCCTTTGCCCGTTGTGCGCCACACTGCCCGCGTCCTGATCTACTGGCTCCCGGATCCGCATGGGTTAGCGAAGGAGAATTGACCGGGCTTTTGGGACCGAAGCTTAGCCCCCTCTTGCCGGGCATTTCCGCCAAACCCCGACTGTCTTCACTACCCTACGTGCGTTCTGATGCCTGCCAAGGCCCTCCGGCGTCGCCCCGCTACTGCTATCTGTTCGACTTCCTGCTTCTCACCGCCCGAGTGCCGCTTCTCTTCACTACGGCATGATTTGCACCGCCGCCTGCTTCACGGTCCGTGCTGCTTCGGGAATCGTCACGTCTGCAGGAACGCATCTCTGGGTACAGTCGGCATATGCACGGCCGCCTGGAAATCTCTCCTGTCAGCAAGTCTTGTCTTGATACCTGCGGCTGATGCTGTAGGTCGAAACCACGCGGAAGCCTCATTCAATATTCTTGCATACAGGAATCATCTGATGGGATGGCCCGAAGGATCCCCCTTGTGTGTGGGAGCGTTGCAGCGGCTAGGCCATGTGCCTGCGTCTGCGGACGTCGTCATTCGGCTGCCACATGTATGTGCAACCCGACTCTTTGATGCACTAAATTAAGTCCTTGTAAGCCGCCGACCCTACAGCCAAGACTGTGGCTGATGAATCTGCCGGGCCAGTCAGCATGGCTAGCTGACAGGCAGCCAGCAGTCCCGCTCCGGGCCCGCCTCAGGTCTTGGCTCTATTGCCAAAAGTGGGCATGCCAGCGACCGAGACATGATCTTCCACCAATTTAAGTTCGCTCTTGCGATGCCAGCCTCGTGTCCGGCTCTAGAATAGCCATCCGTACCAGGGATGTGCGTGTCAGGGATCAGCCTGCATTCGCCGAAGTATCATTGCACTGTGGGCAGATTCGCTAAAGGTGCAGTTGCATATTTCCTCGGCCATCAATCGTGGGGGCCCTGATCCAATCTCTCCTTGCAATTTTGCACCACCCGTCTGATCCATATTGGGATATCGTACTCTTTAGCTGAAGTTGATGGTGGCTATGTAAAGGCCCTCGAGCCCACCACTTGTTCAAGCATCACATTCACTCTTCAGCTTCCCTCTTCAGAGCATACCCAAGCCCCTTGTCCTCTTCGGTCTTTACTCATCGGCACCTCTTCACTTGAAGGGTAGCCTGCGTTCCTGTCACCATGGTCTCACTCAAGCACATTGGTGTCAGTTTGTTGGCACTCACTGCACATACGTTCGCTGCCGTCATCCCAGAGGCTGGTCCAGCAGACCTCGTCGTACGTCAAGCTACCACCGCCTCGACTACGGCCTCTTCGACCACTTCCCGCGTCCCTGATACCGTCTGCACCAACAGTCCCAGCAATAGAGGCTGCTGGAAGAACGGCCTGAGTATCGCCGCAGACTTTGACAACAAGTACCCAACCACCGGCAAGACAGTCAAGTACACTCTTACTGTCACCAACGTGACCGACTGCAACACGTACATGAGCAAGGGTATCGGTGATGGATTCTGCAGGCCGATGTTGCTTATCAACGAACAATTCCCTGGGCCGACCATCAATGCAGGTACGCGTATTACCAAACTTTCAGAATAACACAAGCACTGACCATCTTATGACAGAATGGGGCGACTACCTTGAGTAAGTGCAACCGAGCCGTTCAGGGTCTGAGTTGGGGAAGGTCAAGCGTTGGGTCTGTGCGCTAGACAAGCTGTTTTCACGAAGAGCACGCTTTGTGCGCTCCATTGGCACTTGAGCTGATGGATAATGATCCTTTCATGAGCTCTTACTGACATGGGCATTCAGGATCACTGTCGTCAACAACATGCAAGACAACGGCACTTCGTTCCATTGGCACGGCATCCGCCAGTTGAACTCTTGTCAAATGGACGGCGCCAACGGTGTTACCGAGTGCCCGATTCCGCCCGGCAAGAGCTTTACGTACAGGTTTCAAGCCACACAATACGGTCAGTGATGAGTCGATACCCATTTACACCTCGGAAGCTTACAATTTACAACAGGCACGACCTGGTACCATAGCCATCATTCTGCTCAGTATGGCGACGGCATTGCTGGTGCTATTGTCATCAACGGCCCTGCGACCGCCAATTACGATATCGACTTGGGCCCTGTTGCGCTTACTGAGACGTATGACCAAACGGCATGGACGATGAACTGGCGAGCGCTGCATACCGCCGCTCCTCCGGAACCCATGAACATTCTCTTCAATGGTTCTATGATTAACACCGACGGTGGCGGCAAGTACAACGTTATCACCGTCACTAAAGGCAAGACTTATCGTCTGCGCCTCATCAACATGAGCGTCGATACTTTCTTTGTCTTCTCCATGGATGGCCACCAATTCCAAATCATTACCTCCGACCTGGTACCGGTCCATCCCTACAATGCAACTTCAATCATGATTGGCATCGGCCAGCGTTACGACATTGTCTTCAAGGCCGACCAGGCAGCCAGCAACTACTGGATGCGCACCCAGATCGCTGACTGCAGTACCAACAAGCTCAAGAGCAGCCAGGACATTGTTCTTGGTGGAATTCTGAACTACGACGGGTTCGACAAAACCGATCTCCCAGTCACGACCAGCTCAACCATCGAGACCAGCGCTTGCGCCAATGAGCCGTACGGCAAGCTTGTTCCTTGGTGGGAGACGCAGGTTCCGAAGGACCAGTTCGCCGCTTCGCTTGAAGGCATCGACCTGACCTTCAACGCAGCCGCCACTGTGCAGAACCAAACGGTTGTGCAGTGGTACCTGAACGACAGCGCCATGAACGTCGACTGGGGAAGGCCGACTCTGCAATACTTTGCGGACGGAGACACCAACTACACGGAGTCGATGAACGTCTTCCAGATGCCGGCCGAGGGCAAGTGGTCCTTCTGGATCATCCACAACAACCTCAAGACGTTCGGACTCGACCACCCTATCCATCTCCATGGACACGATTTCTTCCACCTTGGAGCTGGCGTGGGCGATTGGGATGGCAACGTCGACGCCCTGACGTTCAACAACCCCATGCGCCGTGATGTCATGGTCCTGCCTGGGTCGACGTCCGGAGGCTACCTGATCATCGCCTTCCCGGCCGACAACCCAGGTGCTTGGCTGATGCATTGCCACATCGTAAGTGTTACTCAAACAAAGCATTAGCCTGCAGCGCTGACATATCTCCAGGCATGGCACGTCACCGACGGTCTCAGCCTGCAGTTCGTCGAGAACGCGGGCTCGTTCAAGGGCGATCTGACTACCATGAAGCAAAACTGCGCGAACTGGAACGCGTACGAACCGTACTACGAGAAGGAGATCGGTGATTCTGGGTTGTAAATGTCATTGTTGTTCTTGTGCATTGGGGCGGCGTTGATGCGAAATGAAGCATGAGGCAGGCGAGATAACTAGTCCAACCAATATACTAAGATTACCCCTACATTGGTGCCACGCCTCGTTCCAGAGGGGTTAAGATTGCGGACCCTTGGTGGACTGGTACGAGGAGCCGTGGCGCACGAGACCACGAATCCGGGGAGGAGTAGCGCCGTTTGGCGCGAACGGGGGCAGGGAAAAATAAAAAATCGATTGGATCACCATGACGCAGGGCGTTTAATTGGGCCGAAGCTGGAGCCTGTGCTGGCGGCGGTGGTGTGGGAGAGATCGACCGGCTGCACTGGCGTCGTCGCGTGGGAAACATTTCGCTTAAGCTGCGATCCGGCGTCCGAGCATTTGTGCGGGCGCGGGCGCGTCTCTGATCAGGCTTGCCAGCTCAGACGCGTTTCACGTCAGAGGGCTGCGAGAGCTCTCGTCGTACGGCGGGCAAGGTTCCCCAGCAGCCTGGCAAGCGGCCGCTCCCGTTTCGCGGGCAAGGCTTGACGGGCGGCCGATAGCCAATCATGCGCCCGTAGCGCGGCGGACTGGGCGTCGGCAGCGGCACACAACGTGACCGGCGGCTTGGTGCTAGGCCGGCTCCCCTTAACAAGCCTGTTGTTCGGCGTCACCCTCCTCGCCCGCCAGGCCAACACATCCCCATCTCCGCACCCCCGTCAATTATGGTCAAGGCCCGTCTGCACGCGTCTGGAGCTGCTCGTGCCATCGCCGCCGACTCCATGTCCCTCTTTTAGCTGCCTGCGCGCATTCCTTTTGTCCCACTCGGTGGTGTGCGAGGTTTCGACGTGGAAAACTATCCTTGCAGCACAGCACCCACGCGTCCTGGAACGCGAGCATACCAGCAACATCGCCCAGCCCATCTAGCCCCGCCGCGGCACTAGATGTTGGATGCAAGCTCAACGCATCGAGACGCCGCCTCCCCGCCCTTCGCCTCCGCCGGCTGTCGTTGCTGAGGGTTCCCTCAAGATCGACACCGCGGTCGCCGCGTCGCCTGCGCGTTCCGTTGAGCCTTCTCCCACCCAGACCCTCGGCCACTCGAGTCCTGAGCTCCCCCCGCTCCCGCAGCTCCCGTCGCTGGGCGGCATCCCTCGCACGCCGCACACCGCCGCTGCGAAGCGGCCCGCCGACCAGTCGCACTTCTACACCGCCAGCTGGGGATCGCCGTACCAGCAGCCGTCGCCCGAGTTCCACACCAAGTCCCGCCGCCACAACCGGGACACCTGGGCCCTCGACCCCGAGCCCGACGACGACGACTCGCCGCGCTTCGGCCTCGACCACCTGATCCCCAACCGCCTCGAGGAGAGCGGAGAGCCCAAGCTCAAGTTCAATCTCGAGCACCTGCTGCCCAAGCGCCTGCCGTCCTTCCTCACAAAGGACCCCGGCGATCCCTCCACGCCCACCAAAGCCCCCAAGCTTTGGCCCGACTTGGCTGCCGACAAGACCCCAGTCCCCCCCGCCGCCGCCTCGTCGAAGCAGACCCCGCAGCTCTTCTTCCCGCGCGAGCCCACCGAAGGTTGGATAAAGCAGTTTCTGACCGGTCAGTGGCAGTCGGAGAAGGCCAATTGGTGGAGCGACGGCTCGACAGACGAGGACTCTGACGAAGGAGACGCGGGCGAAGCATCCCAAGACGGCCAGACCAGGGTCAAGGACAAGCACCGGAAGAGCAAAAAAGGCCACAAGTCGAGGAAGAACAACCTCACCTTGAAGCAGGCTGACTTCTGGGCTCATTTCGGCCAAAAGGGAAAAGAGACGTTTGAGAAGATGCTGGCCTCACGGTTTGCGGATACTCCGCCGGCGATGGATCGTCCCGCCCCGCAACTAGCACCATCCCACCCCGAACCCGAGAAGGTGGATGGCCAGGACGGCGAGTTGAAGACGGAGGTTCTTTTTGATGCGGAATCAAGAAGCCTCGCAAGCCGCGGCACCGAGGAGAGGAGCGTAGAAGAGAAGCCACCCCGGCCGATATCGAAGGACGGGCCGCCGCCGCCGCCCAAGGCTCCCTCAAAGGCTCCCTCGCCAGTCAACGATGCCCCGCCGCCGCCGCCGCCCAAGGCAGCCGAACCCACGCCCATGCCGGCGCCGGTTAAGGCCGCCGACCTTCCCCCGAAACGGCCAAAGAAGCGCGTGCTTTGGAGAAACAGGAACATTGTCATCCAGATACCGTACGATCGCGAAAGAGGGAAGGAGGGCGGTCCGCCACGGCCTCTGACGTGGGAAGAGGTGGAAGGCCGCCTGAAGCAGTTCGAGGAAGCGGGGTGGAGCGTTCATGGCTTCGATACCAGCGACGATAACGGCTTCGTCTCTAATGGCCTTGCTCAAAACCGTGAGATTTGGCCAGACCCTGCAGACGAGACACATCAATGGCGCACAACGCATACCACCCGTGTTTCGATACCTGACAGAGCTGAATGGGACAGATATGTTGCATTTTTGACGGAGCAGAAATTGGCTGCTCTGGGCGTGACCCTCGCGCCCGAAGAGGAAATAGTAGAGAACCCAATGTCTCGGTCGGCGTCGGCCCAGCAATTTGCTGGTGGACCCGGCTTGGCTTTCTCGCCGCCACCTCAGTCGATCTCTGTGGGTAGCCAAGGTTTCTCCACGTTTTCTGCACCCTTCTCGCTTCCTTCCGGCCCGTCTCCCGGTATCCCGGGTCACATGTCGAGGACGTCGATCGCGTCGCCGATTTCTCCATTCGGAAACCAGAGGCCTAGCGGTCACCTTCACAGACATTCGACCTTCGCTTCGCCGTCGAATATCCCTCAGCAGCAACCCACCCCTCCCGGACTGGCCAATTTTTCGCCTTCGTTGTTCCTGGCGCAGAATGGCGGGGCCCGCGGCGCTTCGCCTGCCATTCCTACCAGCGCCCCGGCCCCTGACATGATGTCGCCTGTGTCGCCGTTCACTAACAATGCCCAGATACACGGCCAGTATTCCTTCTCCCAGTCAACAGATACTTTCTCGCAGATGCAACAGCAACAGCAACAGTTGCAGCACCAGCTCCTCCAGCAGCAGCAACAGCAGATCCTCAACAACAGGCCCCATCTCACGCTGGAGGAATTGCCTGAGGAAGATGCTGAAGAGGATCTCAGGCCTCAAACTCCGGCACAGACGAACAATGGACCCGGCCCGAACATTGTGGTTCCCACGCCACGCGGCAGCCACCGCCACAACATCAGTGAGAACCTTGAAAGGGAGATCCTCGATGCTGAGTACCACCTCGAGGAGGCCATTAACCGTCAGCTAGATGAGGATGGAGAGTTCGGCCCTGGCAACAGATTTGGAATCCACAGTCCTCCCAGCAAGCCAACTCAGACGAATGGCAATGCGACCATGTGGCAGGGTTCTAATGGCATCCAACACCAGTCGCAGAACAGGCAGCAAAGCTTTGGCGGCCCCGGCTACCATGGCCACCATGAAGACGACGAAAGGACCAACATCTCCGACGTTGAAACAAACCCCAGCATCGAGGGTCAGAATGATCAGTCCACAGGTGTTTCGTCGTCGCACACCACTTTTGCAAGCTCCAACCTCAACACCAGCCATCACGTCAGCCACTCTAGTCAAGGCTCTGCAACCTCCAAGCTCAACGTTCAGGCACCGGAATTCAAGTTCCCCTCTGGACAGTCATTCAATCCAACTGCGCAGTTCAGCCCCAGCAGCGGCAACTTCACCTTCGGCCCTAATTTCCAGTCCGAGCCACAGCAGCAGTCTGGCGAACAACGCCCTCCTCCGAGTCGGGGCAGCACCAAGCTTCATGCTGCTGTGCCCAGCTTCGTTCCATCCTTCAAGCTCGGGGGATTGGGCTTGCCGCAGCCGCCGGTTGTTCCTTCCATGCCCGCCATGCCCACCTCTACTTTTGATTTTGCTGCCCAAGGACCCGCGTTCAAGCCCGACGCCAACGCATTCCAACCGGGTACTTCGCAACCCAACGGCTCCTCCCAGGATTCCGGAAAGCTGTTCAACATCGATATCCAAGAACAAGATATCGTCAAGCCTGCTAAGCGGAGTAAGGCGATCCCGATTGTCAAGCCGGATCTTCAGCAACAGCAAAGGGAGCAGGAAGAAGAGGAGGTCTTCGACGAGCAAGGTCGCGCTATGCAGGCCGAGTGGCGGCAGAAAAGGGCCCGCCAGAACGCTCATGAGGGTGATTCTGAGCCAATGTTCGCCACTCCCCGTGTCGTTCCCTCGAACGCTCCTCCGCAGCCGCTTGGAGATGCGGTGCAGTCGCAGAACTTGGGCTACAAGGATAGGATCAGCCCTATACCCGAGGGCAAAGAGAATCAGACGCCAACACCCAATGGAATTCAGCGCCAGGCAACTCCTTTCAAGCCACGGGGCCCGCAGCAGCAGAACGAGGGTTACAACGTCGACTACAACAGAGGTCACCGCACCAACCAGAACAGCATCGACCTTAACGAGGCACAGCAGCCATTCGATTTCAAGTTTGGCGTGCATGTCACGAAGCCTTCGACGGACATTCACGAGGCACAGCAGGCCGGCGCCGGTCTGCGCCAGTTCAACCCCAGCCCTGCTGTCACGAATCCCAACAGCTACCAGCCCAGCGAGGGTGGTTCTTTCATGACTGCCATGGAGAATGGTAAGAACCAGCCAGGAGACGCCGATTATGAAGACAGGCCTACTTTCAACGAGATCGACGAGATCATGAGGGCCATGAACGACCAGGGTTCCGAATTCGGTATCATCAGGGAGTCCCCCCAATGGTCCCGCTCGAGCCCGCCGCCCAGACCTGAGTCCAACTTGCAGCCCGCTCAAGCTCTTTTCAGAAACGATGCGCCTAGCCCTATCCCTCAGCAGAGGCTGTACGCACCTCCGCACAACGATGGTGGTAATTCGTCCGGTCAAGATCCCTTCAGCGATTCTAAAGCCGGATTGGCCTACGAGTCACCTGTGCATAGGCTCGGCGGCGACAACGTTGCTGTCAGCGACTGGGATGACATCGTTTCAACTGAAGAAGAGAACAAATTTAAGTCTCGACGCGGTTTCTTCGATTCTCGCGTTGACGGCCTTATCGACAATGTACTGCAGAGCCGCCTGGGTCCTCTTGAGAGGAGCATTCACACTATCAAGGACTCGATATCTGCCATTGCCATGATGCGTGCCGGGCGTACTTCACGTCGTAGCTTCTCAGGCGAACCTGGAGAAAGCGATGCTGACGATGAGGACGACGACCTCGCATCGCAACACCGCAACCGCTCGCCAGGCAAGAATCGTAAGCTTGAAAAGATCAAGACCGCTGTTGTGGAGGCCTTGTCTCAGGCTACCATGCCTCCGATGCCGTCGAAGTCGCCTGGCATCGACATTGCTGAATTCTACCAAGCTCTTGCAGACCTGAAGATGTCGATCGCTCGCTCTGCTGCCACCGGCCAACTTGATGATTTCCGTGAGATCATGGAAGAGGCCCTCAACCGTCAGAGCTCGGTTCTTTCCCAGAAGAAGCAGCAGGAGGCTAACGCGGAAGCTGTGGCTCGCATCGCAGAATTGGAGAGGACGGTTGACGAGTTGCAACAGCGCATGGAAGTCACGATTGAAAGCCGAAAGGTTGCCGAGCGCTCTGAAGATGACGCCCAACGCAAGCTCGCCCTGACCGAAGAAGAATTGCTTCTCCTTCGCGCCCAAGGCCGAGATGATGCTAACAAGATCCGGGCTCTGAACGAGGAAGCGCATGAACTGAAGATGAGGCTCGGTTCCTCTGAGTCCTCCCAAGAGGAACTCCGCCGGCGTCTCGTCACGCTTGAAACGCAGAACGAAGCGCTCGAGGCTACTCTTGATGAGTACCGCTTGTCCAGTAAGAAGTGGTCGGATGAGATCAACAAGGCGAACGAGGATAACGAGACGCTCCGCCGTTCAATCAGCACCCTAGAATCCCAGAACCAGGAGTCCATCCGCGGCCGCGAGAAGATGCGCCATAGACTTGAGCAACTGCAGAAGGATTTGGTGGCGGCTACTAGCCAAGTCGCTGACGAGAAGGCTCGCTGGTCCAGGCAGGAGGAGGAGCACGTCAAGAAATACGAGACTCTTCGTGCCAGGATCGAGGCCGAGGCTCGCACTCGCGAGAGGTTCGAGAGGGAGATGGAGAGGCTTGAGGGCCAGGAACGCGAGGGCATGCGCCTAAAGGTCATCTTGGAGCAGACCCAGAGACATAATGCTAGCATGGAGGAGGCCATGAACAAGCTCCGTGTGGAGAATTCCGAATTCCAGAAGAGGGCCGAGCGCTTTGAGCGCGAGTTCCATGAGTCGAGGGAGATTGCTCGCGCAGAGATCAAGCGCACCCGCATGGTTATGGAGGCCGAGCTCAACGCTGCCAACAACCAGGTCAACATTGTGCGCTCCGAGCTTGAGAGCGAGAACACCAGGCTCCGCAATGAGATCGACCAGCTCCGCATGGACCGCGATACGGAGAAGGCTAGGCATGAGCTTGTGCTTGAGGGTGAAGCTGATGCTAAGCGCGATGCTCTTCGGGAGGCTCACGATGGCAGAGACCGTGCCCTTAGAGAACAGCAGCACCGTTACGAGAAGGCTATGGAGGACCAGCAACAGCGCTACGAGAAGACCATGGAAGACCAGCAGCATCGGTACGAGAGGGAGATTGGCATGCTCGAGAAGCGCTTCGCCGAGAAGGTCGAGGACCACCAGCAACGCTACGAAAAGACGATCGAGGACCTCCACCGCCAGCACAACCGCGACTTGGCCAACGCCATTGAGGACAAGCAGCACAACGAGCAGACCCTCAATGACCGTCTTGCACTCGCCGACGAGAAGGTGGAATTCCTACAAGACAAGGTTGTCCACCTCGAGGAGAAGCTTGAGGTTGCCAAGTCTGCGGCCCATGCCGCTGCCGTTGCCGCTCAGTCAGCCAAGACTCCCACTCTTCCTTCCGAGACCGTTCTGCCCAGCGCTGCAGAGAGGGTGTCGCCTCAGGCTCTCCGCGAGTCGATCGCCGTTCTCCAGGAACAGCTACAGGAGCGCGAGGAGCGCATCGAGGCTCTCGACCAGAAACTGTCCGAGTTCGATGGCGACGCTCCGCAGAAGCTCAAGGAGAAGGAGACGGAGATTGGCTGGCTGCGCGAGTTACTCGGTGTTCGCGTCGACGACATCACCGACCTCATCGATGCTCTAGCACAGCCCGCTTTCGACCGCGAGCAGGTCCGCGACGCTGCCATTCGCATCCGCACCAACCTGCAAATGGAGCAGCATGAGAAGGAGCGTCTCATCTCGGGCGGCCAGACCTTCCCCGCTCTGGCAAGTCTTTCCAACTTTGCCTCGCCCAAGGCTGCCCAGCTTGCTGCTGCTATCGGCAACTGGCGCAAAGGCAGGGAGAATGCCGGCGCCAGCAAGCTCTCGCGCTCTTCCTCAGCCGCCGACAACCACGAGCAGACGCCTTCCAAGGCCCCTAACCCCTCTGCAGGCTTCCTTGCTGGTCTCATGACCCCGCCAGCTTCGCAACTCCGTCGCACCCCCACGCCTTCGACCGGCCGCCGCGCGCGTGATCGCGAGTCTTTCTCGTCTTCTACCTCCGCCCGTGGCTTCCCCATCCTAAGTAGCGTGTCACAGAGCAAGCAACGCACTGGCTCTTCTTTGAGCCACCACCACTTCGACCACCACCAACTAGCAACGCCGCCCGGCTCCCGCGGTGGAACCGGTCTCTTGACCAAGAGCGCGTACGACCACGACGCGCCTGACAGCACGTTCAGCCCGAGCCAGTTCCACTACGATGAGGAAACGGACGGTGATGAGGCATACATGTACCAGCAGCAACAGCAGCATGAGCACGATGTGAGGATGATGGACGGGAGGATGGTGGATGAGAGGTACGGGATCGGCGTTGCAGTGAGTCCAGATTTGGACGAAGGTATTCACGTTGGCGCCGTGCCACAGCCTCAGATGATGCAATTTGAGCCGTTTGGGCCAGGGTCAGGGTTCAGTCATCAGGGTCACCAATAAGTTGAGCGGAGCTAAGGAGGATCATCGTTGATGGGGGTTATTGCGGAAGACGGTGGATCAAGATTGGAACCAAAACGCACGTTTCTTTTGTTATTTCTTTCTCTTGTTGATTGTTGGTATGTTATGGCTTTCCTATTCTTAATTCTCACTCTTGGCACCCACGCACCGTACACTAAAGTACAGCACTTGCAGGCCTTGCTCATTTGGCTTTGCGTTCACTCCTTTGGTCTTTGGCTTTGCTTCTTTCCTTTTCACCAGGTTGTAACAACGGAATTCTTGTTGTTGTCAGCGTTGTTGTTTTCCTGTCTATCGCTGTTCATTCATATCAAGCACAAACCAACCAGCTTGCGCTTGCAAACGTCGAACCTTTTTAGATACCCCCGAGAGGAAGTGAAAAGGAGGGAAAGAAAGATAATCACTTGTCGTTGTCGTTGTCGTTGTCGTTATTGCACCGAGACAGAAAGAAAGAATGAGATAATAGCATCATTAGCTTTTTTTTTCGATCCTACTCCTATCATTGACGAGAGTTTGAATTGACATTTTGAGTATAAGAGTGAGGTTTATATAGACTTGGCTATCTTGCTTGGGAGTTTTTAGGTCATTTGACCTTGTCTTTTGGTGGAATCCAAGATGTCAGGGCTAATGCTTATTGGTAGGTTATATTTTCCATCTTCTTAAAGAAGATCTTTTTTTAGGGGTAATGCTTTTGAACTTGATTTAAGGATGGATAAAACGAAATAGAGGTGGTGGTAGAGTTATTAGTCGATGTAGGATTTGCCTTGCTTCTAACTTAGTAGACATTAAGACTGTGCCTTTAGGGAGTGTCTTAAGATCTTTGTGAATGGTGAGATGAATGAGAAGCACATGGGGTTGAAAGACTGACGCTGGTGAAGATTGCCCTGGTGCTCTTTTTTCCCTCGTGGTTTTATCCTGATCTACGTTTCTGTTCTTACTCCCTAGTTGCCCCTATCAACAGACTGGTTTATGTCATCCCACGTACGCATCCGTGCAAACGTAGTGAAGCAAATTATGCATGCGAAGTAGCAGAACGAAGAAAAAAGAATTCATGCATTTGTGAAATCGAATACTTGAAGTTCTGCTTGCAACAGCAACATCTAGCAGCAAGAAATCTAAACTCAGACTCCAGACGGCTTGAGCCTTTGTCAACGAAGTAACGTTCCGCAAGTTCCATACCTTTCTCTCTTCGGTCCCCAAAAGCGGGATGTCTTTATAGTAGGGGCAGACCACGACAAAGGTGAGCCCTGACTTTTGTGGACGCGAGCTGAGACGAATCTAGACAGTGTGCTCTGAGGCAGCTGGGCGGACAATCTAATGGATACTGAAAGCCAATCTTGTAAATCGAGCAAAGCCGCACCAAGATAGAAGCTAAATCCAGGAACCCATACTCAATATATCCCTTCGCACTTTCACGCAAAAGTTCTTGCGACATCCACACAGTTTGACTAAAGTAAATGCGCCATTGATGAGGAAAGATGCAACGTGGTATTATGCAATACAAACCGCCGACCAAAATAAAGCAAATGCAGTCCCCTCAACCCCAGGAAAACCCAGAGTTCCCAATTATTATCCCCCAATTTTCCTCTCTTGATCCAGACGATCATCGCCCGCCTACTCTTCTATAACAAACTCTCATACTGATCCAACCCCTTCCTCTGTCCTTGTTGTTGTTGTTGTTGTTGTTGTTGTTGTTGTTGTTGTTGTTGTTGTTGCTGCTGCTGCTGCTGCGGCTGTGCCATCCCTGCACCAGCACCACCGAAAGATCCCAAACTGGCCTGCCTTGCGGGTGGCGGGGCGATGCCAAACCCAGAGTATGGACTGCTACCACTTGTGCTCTGCTGCGCGAACCTATTCAGCCCCGTAGCAGGAGTGCCCATCTGCTGCTGTCTAGCCGCCGCGCCCCAATCCACTGTGGTCAAATTCAAGCTCGACTGATGCTGCTGCTGGGAGCTTAAGATACCCATGTTCATGAGTCCACCGCTGGGGGTCTGCTGCTGTTGTTGTGGCCGCGAGGGCTGCAGCGGTAGCGAGAATGCCGAAGAATTCGACGTCATTGACGACGAGCCCCAGCCATTTATCGTGCCCGTGCCACCTGTTGATTGCGGCTTGAGCGCTGCGAAGCCGCCGAGTGAGCTGCTGCTGTGATCCGGGGTAGCCGAGCGATAAGTGCTCTGTGATGGTTGCAGGGTTTGCGCGCCCATACCCATGCCCATGCGGGGCGGAGGCGTGGAAGTCTGCTGGGGAGGGGGTGGTGTGCTCCAATTAAAGGTCGGCGCCGCAGACGATGACGACTGGACGGACTGTGTGCGCGGGTTGTTCGGGCGCGTGGCTGGCGGCTGCAGGCCCGCCGATACGGGTGGAGAGGTCGCGGTGGATGAAGTGGCCCAGCCGGCGTCGAAGGAGTCGCCTGCTGAAAAGCTATTGGTAGGGCGCCCGGTGACGAGGCTTTCGAAGTCGGCCTCGTCGCCGTTGGCACTGGTTCCGTTGGCAGGCGAGATGCCGCCGAACGACATGAAGTCGTCCGCGCGGGCGGCAGAGGCGGTATTGCCCGTGGAAAGCTCTTGAAGCTTTCGGGTCTGTTCCTGTTCGATGCGGGTCGATGATTGTTTAATGAGGGCCATGAAGGCCTGGAATTGTTGAAGGTTGAGGAGGGGCCCTAAGCTGAAGTTCCAGAGGATCGGGAGGACCTCCATGGCGAGGAAGTCGGAGTCCGCAATCTTGCCGACTTCCTGGAAAACATCAAGAGATGCCATCTGCATGCGTTAGCCACACATATTAGAATTCAAGAACGGCGTCTTACCATCACAGCCGGCTCTTTCGTTTTGATTGCCTTCAGCAGTGGCACAACCTTCTCCTGAATTGTGTACTTATCCAGGACAGCCGCGTTCTGTTTTTGCTTCGGTCTGTCTGCGCCGAAGCCGTCCAAGCCGTCCCCTGCGTCTTCTGCAATCCCGCCCCCGCAGAGAGTTCGGAAAGCCTGAAGCCCACGAATCTTGATGCCCATACTGGTAGTCTTGGCAAAGACATTGGCGACGATGGGAAAGAATTCGTTCTTGATTGTGGAAAAGTCAAGGACGTAGATGATGACAGGTAATGTTCTTAAAGCAGCATCCACTAAAGAGTGTGTTGGTGATTGCAAGGCGAGAACAATGAGCGGGAGAACGTCTATAGTTAGTTAGCAAAAGCCGCAGTACATCCGGCGCCTGGAACCTACCGTCTTTGAACTCTTTGCCTGTACAGTTCTCAGACATGAGTTTCATGTTCTCCAAGATGATCATGAGGCCAGCCTCCTTTGCACTATCCCGATCCGCCTGCGGTGGTTTTGCACTGGTACCACTGCCGAGGAACACCTCTCTTAGACGGGGGAGTACTTTGTCGCAAAACGCTCGTTTCCCCGAAGGTACCATGGTTAAGATCTTGAAGATATTCTGAAGCACGATGGATAACAGCTCCCTATCTTTCATCTCTTCCAGCAGTGCAGGAAGCACTTTCTTCTCCAGTACGCTCTTGGGGAACTGGTTCAACACGCGTGGCAAACCACGCATAAATTGCGACTTCTCAGCCGGGGTCTTGGCTGGTAAGCTATCAAGGAAGCGAATGGTCGAGACGAGGATGTTGTCAAAATACTGAGCCTCTTGAAACTCGCGAGCATTGAGCCTTTGCGCCGGTCGTCTGGTAATGAGCCTGGGTAGCAGGCCATGTGCAATGTCGCGGGGCAGTTTTCCTTTGCATAAGAAACCGTTGTTCTGCGTCGGTATTGACGACGATGATGCGAACAGCCGTTTGTAGGTAGATGGACTCTGATTTGTCTCCAAAGGACTGCGGTGCGGCGAGTTGAAGAGAGCAATGACGAGAAGACCTAGCGAGAACATGTCGGCCAATGTGTTGAGGTTCGTGTCCATTATGAAGTCAGGAGAAGCGTAGTCGATGTTCAACTGCACGGAACGCGGCAAACGTGGGTCGTGGTTGAGCACCTCAGACAAGGAGATGGGGGTAACAGAGGTGGGCTTGGTAGAGTTGTCGGGTGGGCTGCAGAAGCCCAGGCCGGATATTTTCCAGTCAGACTATGGAGAACTACATCAGCACTGCTACAATACAGACGGGCGAAGAAGACTTGGCTTCCTACTTTGGCATTGACGAAAATGGCCTCGGGCGTCAAGTTTCCATGGACGAGGCCAGCGCTCTCGTGCAGGAAATCAAGGCCTTTGGCAACCTGCAGTAGACCCTTCTGGATTTCCAACTCGTCGATTTCCAGTTCCCGCCGCCGTCTGGTGCCGTCCTCTTCGACCACGTAGCGACTGCTGCGACCGCCAGGGCCGCCGCCGCGCTCCTGCTCATCCTTCTCTTGTAGCAGACCCGCTAGCGATGCGGACACGGGCTCTGTCGCAAACATCAAGCCTCCGCTGCGCGTCTCTTCCACCGGCTCTGCCAGCTCCAAGATGCTGGGGTGCCGTAATCTCGCGAGCGAGCTGGCTTCTTTCTTCAAGCGCTCCACCACCTCCTCGTGCGCTCTCTTGACTGTCCCACTTGTTGACCGCGGTGCAAAGCCTCCCCCTTGCGGCTCTAGCGACTTTTTCTCGAAGACAAACACCGACGCAGCCTTGCCCGTCGACTTCTTCTTCGCGTCGTAGATTTTCCATGGCCCGGAGGTCGACGAGGGCGTGGAGCTGATGGAGTAATTGGAGCCGATGTTCGAGGTGAAGGACTTCACGGCCGACGAGAAGAACTGCGCAGCCATGGCGGGGATCTGAGCTCCGGGCGCGTCGGGGAGTTTGCGGTGATCAGCGAGCGTTCGGGGAGCAGGCGGCGAAAGGGCGACGGTGACGATCAAGCAAGGGAAGGAGAAGTGCGCGTGCCAATGACGGGAGAGCGGAGGCGCGCAGGCAGCTCGGCATGCGCGGACACGGGAAGCGCGGCAGAGGCCAACTGTCACGGAAATGTCAGTTATGCGAATAGCTGGCGTTGAGGTCGAGGTGTCGCGCCCAAAGCTGCCCTCGAACCCCCGCGGCCTGTGCGCAGTCGCGACCTGACCCCGGCCCTCTCGGCATGCGGGCGCACTCTCCGAGCACCGGTCGTAGGGCGTGTGTAGTCATACATTTCTGGCACACCCCATCTTTCACCTCGACACTACTCAATTGTTCCACCGCCACCCCTTTTCCGACCTCAATTCGCAGGTCACCCATCCGCAATGCTTCAACAGCGGTCCCAAAGGCTCCTGTCGGCCTTTTCCACTCTTTCCGCCCGCGCCCATTCCCCGTCGCTCGCATGTCTCGCCCGCCAGCGATGTCGGCGAGCATACAGCACGCAGCCCAAGCTGGCTGAACTCGACCCAGCCAAGCTATCTATGACGAAGACGACCACTCCGAAGGACCTGCTTCCTCCCGAGGAGCTCGTCTTTGGCCGCACCTTCACTGGTAATTTTCCACATCCCACTGCTCCACCACAGCCGCAAGCAGCGAAGACATCTGATGTCAGGCCACAACGCTAACCCTGACGCCTGCCAGATCATATGCTATCGATTGAATGGACCGCCTCGGAAGGCTGGTTGAGTCCCCGCATCACGCCCTACCAGAATCTCTCGCTGGATCCCGCGACCTGCGTCTTCCACTATGCCTTCGAATGCTTCGAGGGCATGAAGGCCTACAAGGATAAGGCGGGCAAGATCCGCCTGTTCCGCCCGGACAAGAACATGGCGCGGCTGAACAAGTCGTCTGCGCGCATCGCGCTGCCGACCTTCGACGGGGAGGCCCTGACCAAGCTGATTGCGCAATTCTGCCAGCTTGAGGAACGCTTCATCCCCTCGACGCGTGGCTACTCGCTGTACTTGCGGCCCACGATGATCGGCACGCAGCGCACGCTGGGCGTCGGACCCCCCGGCTCCGCCTTGCTGTACGTGATCGCCAGTCCCGTCGGCCCTTACTACCCGACGGGCTTCAAGGCGGTGAGCCTTGAGGCGACTGACTACGCTGTGCGCGCCTGGCCCGGCGGCGTCGGCGACAAGAAGCTGGGCGCCAACTACGCGCCCTGCATCGTGCCGCAGATGCAGGCTGCCAGCCGTGGCTACCACCAGAACCTGTGGCTGTTCGGCGAGGAGGAGTATGTCACCGAGGTCGGCACCATGAACCTGTTCGCCGCCATCAAGAACAAGGAGACCGGCCAGAACGAGCTGCTGACCGCTCCCCTCGACGGCACTATCCTCGAGGGCGTCACCCGCGACTCCATCCTCGGCCTCGCCCGCGAGCGCCTGGCCCCCAAGGGCTGGAACATCGTCGAGCGCAAGTTCACCATGAAGGAGCTGGCCGATGCCGCCGACGAGGGCAGGATGCTCGAGGTCTTCGGTGCCGGAACTGCCGCCATCGTCAGCCCCGTCAGGAGGATCAACTGGAGAGGCCGCGACGTCGACTGCGGCCTGGAGCCCGGTAAGGAGGCTGGCCCAATCGCCCAGCAGGTGCTGGACTGGATGACGGCTATCCAGTATGGAGACGAACAGCACCCTTGGAGGTAAGTTACTCAAACGCTTTGATTTTGCCCATCTGCAAGCGCTAACTGTCAGTCCACAGCTACAAGCTTTAAGTTCCCAACTTTCTGTTCTGTAAAAGTACCTAGAGACACTTAGATTTCACGGTCTGTTTACGGAGGCAAGTATTGGCTCGGGATCTTTTTCTTTTGGTTTCTATTGTGAGGCTATATTTTGAAAAATTAGCGGACAGGGCACTGGCGTCGAGTAGAGCAATATTCTATATTTGATCTGCGCGCATGGGAGCGTGCTTCACACCATGACGTCCCCGTGGCTTACGTGCATGATAACGACGTGATACACCACTGAAGAATTTGAAATGCGAACACGACTTCACGTGCAAATCGCAGCCTTGTTTCAGCACTCCAGTCTGCGATGCAAGAAAAGGAATACGACAAGGAATGATATGGCACGCACGAGGTTATGTGAAAATTGGGCAGGGAAAAAAAATAACGTAAGTACTAGCGATGTCAGGGAGGTGCAGAGAAGGTCCAGGGCAAGCATTGGAAGGAAAAACCAGTGTAGGTTTACTTCAACACGCAGGGTCCCAGGAAGATCGGCATGTCCAAACTTTTTTATGTGCATTGCTGGGTATACCCGCTGCCGCCCCTTCGTATCATGCACATATCGCACCCATCATTCTTTTTTCTTTCCTCAGGACTTCGGAATCCATTTGGTCTCGTAAAGTCTTTTTAGGCCACCTTATTTTTGGTAAGGTACATCGCTGAAACCCCACCGGTAGTCTGCAACCCGAATTCGATAGCCCCGCAGGAAAATGCCTCAGATGTAGCCGGAAAAGAAACCAGAAGACACCACGCCCAAAATTTAAGCCTGTTCATGACCCGATCAGCATTCCGTTTGAAAAGCACCGTACGAGACTGGCGGAAAGAGGCGTAGGCTTGGCAGCGGTATGGTGCTATTCCTCATACCTTGACGGCGTAAACCCTCTGGGGGAAGTGGATCTGCTTCTTCTTCTGCTTCTCGGTGACGAGGGAGGCCTCGTGCTTGGTTAACCGCCTGCGCATGGCGCGGGTCTGCTTGCGGCGGAGGTCGAGCGGAAGGTACTTCTTGCCCTTGTAGAAGAGGCGGAGCTGCTCGCGCTGGTTCTTGTTGATGACGGTGAGAACGCGGGCGATCGACTTGCGGACGTCGTGGCTGCAAAGCAAAATCCGTTAGCTTTGCGTTCCTTTCGAAAGCCCAGTGGTCCTCCTCTTCAATTGCGGTGGTGGTGGTGCGTGTCGCATTGTCCGTGCCGCGTCGTGTGCGAATTCTACCGGGCCTGGGACGAGGGGAAATTCGTACATCTTGGTGAGCTTGGAGGAAGCACCGCCAGCGATCTTCTGGGTGCGCAGACCGACAAGCTCGGTCTTCAGCTCATCGAGCTGCTTCTTGAGGTCCTCCTTGCTCTTGCCCACGAGCTGGCTGGCCTTGACCTTTCCGGACGACTGTAGCAAGCAACCGTTAGCCGGAAAACGTCCTGGTGCATTGTATTGTCGACATCGCGGGGCGAGCTCACCATTTTGGCGAGTTGTAGACTGGGCGGCGGTGTGTCGTCGTCGAGGGGGATGGGTTGTCGTCGTCGGTCGTCGTCTCAAATCGAAAAGGCGTGCGCTTGCAGAGTGCGAGATTTCGACAGTCGGTGCGCCTCGCTTACGAAAAACGCCGACCGCCCGACCGCCCAACCCCCAGCACCCAGCACGCGCCAAGAACGGCGGCGACGCAACCCATCACGTGTGGAACTCGTCGTTCACTGTGCACATCCCAGTCTCCGCTGACCTCACCACGCCCTCGCATCCCCAGGTTCTGCTCCGCAAACATGGCCTCCACCGGTGGCGGCTGGGCCCAGCTGCGCCAGCAAGCCCGCTCCCTAGAAACGCAGGTACGAAGCCGCGCGCTCTTTGCCGCGACCAGAGCGGCTCCAGCTGATGACAGCTCTCGCGCAGACAGAATCGTTGTTCCACACGTACTCGCAGTATGCCTCGATGACGAACATTCCCCCGAAACCCACCGATGAGGAACAACGCACCGAATCCCAGATCCGCGAGCTTCTCGATAAGGTACCTGGCCAGCCACTCTGCCTACCTTGTCTTCACATCATCGCATCCCAAGTCTTGCAGCAGAGCTATACTGACCATGTCCGCCTCCAGCGCGATGCCCTCATCGGCCAGCTCACCCGCCTCCTCGACTCTTCTGCCGACCTAACGTCCTCCGCGCTGAAACAAAACAACCTAGCCCGGCACCGTGAAGTGCTCGCCGACCATCGGCGCGAGCTGTCGCGGCTGAAGAACACCATCTCGACGGCGCGCGACCGGGCGAATCTCCTCTCCGACGTGCGCAGCGACATCGACGCGTACCGCTCCGCCAACCCAGCCCAGGCCGAGGCCGATTACATGCTCGACGAGCGCCGCCGTATCGACAACTCACACAACATGGCCGACAGCGTGCTGAGCCAGGCCTACGCCGTCAATGAGAACTTCGGCTTCCAGCGCGAGACGCTCGCCAGCATCAACCGCCGCATCACCGGCGCCGCCAGCCAGGTCCCCGGCCTCAACTCGCTGATGTCGCGCATCAGCGCCAAGAAGAGGCGGGACGGCGTCATCCTCGGAAGCTTCATCGCCTTTTGCTTCCTCATGTTGTTCTTCTTTTCATGAAGGGCGCGCGGGCGCGGGTTGGACAGTGCGTGCGAGCATCATCGGTCGAAGGCTATTGGACTTTTCTCATTCTTTTTTTTTTTCGTTATCCTGTTTGGATTGTCATGGATGGTTCCCTGCACGGCGTATGGATACCCCCTCCCGAGGGATCGGGGTTCTCATTGTTTTTCCCCTCAGGCAAGGAGTTTTGCGGAAACCCAGCGGGCGGTCTTGTCATGCTTGTCGCTATGAGCATTGCATTGATCTATTTGTACAGTTTCTCTATATCGCCATTGAAGTCTTACATTTTTGGCCATCATCATGTTCTCCCTCTTAATCCTGAAAAAGGGGGGGTAAAAGACTCAAGGGATTTCCTATATCATGCTCCATTCCAGACTCAATTGTCCTCCTCTCATGCTCCACGAAACACTGCACTCTCCTAACGTGGGTGATTAAAGCGAATACTCAGACGTGAATGTAAGTTCGGAACCCGTACAAAGACATCTAGACATGGGCTTCAACCATCCGCCGTAAGTAAAATTCAGTAATTCTCGTGAGCGTAGAGTCGAGAAGTATGAACGGGTATAGAACAAATTTTACAGCAGTTTCCCCCAACATAGACAGCAACCTGCCTGAACCTTCACAGCATCATCATGCCGCTGCAGCCTTTTCTACAGCTGACCCCTCCTTTGGGTGATAGTGATGATGACCCACGGTCGCCTCGCCAATCAGCATCTTCAGCCCCTTGTTCAAGTACTCCTTCTCGTCGCCCTCAGCGTTGCCGCTGGCGGCCCAGCGGATGCGGCACGCGCCGTCGACGAGGAAGACGTAGCCGACCTTCTCGTTCATGATGCCCAAATTCTCGCGCATCTCGTCGGAGAAGCCGCGGCGCACGATGAAGTAGCGGTCCCAATCGGCTTCGTTGCCGCGCTGGCGTCGCAGTCGGCCCTTGTACAGGTTCAGGATGAAGGCGCGCATCGGGTTCGGCTCCACGTTCAGCTCGACATGCTGCGCGACGCCGCGGTTCGCCTCGAGGAGCGCGCGCAGCTCCGGGTTCTGCTCGGGCGCCGTGAAGGTTGCGGACTGCTGCCGCGCCCACTCCGACGAGTAGATTGAGACGAGGGAGACGCGGTTGAGGAGGGCAAGCGTTGTCGAGTGGGGCTTACGCCCCTCAGCGCCGGGGAGGAGCGTTGAGCCGACGAAGTTGGGGAAGAAGAGGGCGCGATCGGAGCGGAAAATGCGTGGGTTGGCGAGGAAGGATTTACCGCTGTGGTATTGCATGTTGGTGTAGTCGCGGAAGTAGGGCTTGGAGACGGCTTTGGTCCTACAATGGGTTGTTCTAATTAGTCACATTGTTCCTTTAATTGTTGGAGCTCGTGGGTTCGGGTCTGATTGATAGTGGTTTCCGGAGAAGGACATGTAGCAAGGAGGGAGCGTGTATATTTTGGGTATGAACACGGCCAAAAGAAACGTACAGCTCCTTTCGACGCTTCAAGTGCTTGTCGTAATCCACAAAGTCGTCCCGCCGCTGACGCAGGCTGCGCTCATCTTTTCCAGAATTCTCATCCGGCAGAGGTGGCCGATGGAAGCCTATAGGTCGCCCTAATACCTGCGGCGTGAAGCCCTCCTGCTTCGACGGCGCCTTGTACGCCGCGGGACCTTGGCCAAGCGCATTCTTTCTTTCATTCTGAGCTGCCGCCGCTTGCTTCTCTTTCTGCCCAGTCTCCGACGCTGCTGTTGAAGCTGGAGCTCCTTGTGGTTTTTGGGCTTGTTTGTTCGGGGGTTGCGTGCTGTACTGTTGGCTGCGCGGAGCCACGATAGCGGTGGTGCTCGTTTGTAACACGCGGCGCAGCTGGCACGAGCGGCATATCGACGATGAGGTGGCGGTAGCCGGGTCCAATTGCGCCAACTGGCGTAGGAGAGAGCGGCGCGTGAGCATTGCGACGACGGCGAAAGACGCAGGGGGGGTTATGTAGTGTTGTTTGCTGTTCTGGGCGCCAGAATGATGGATTGGCGTTGCGCGGCTCCCGGGAAAGTTGCGGGTTTGGCCGCGCCGCGGTGCCGGAGGGAACGGGTGCGTGCAAGGATCTTCCTGCAGGTGAACAGATTCTGTTTTCGCTAGATGTGTATGAAACCTGGAGATTCCTTCTTTAATATCGAGATCTTGCTACGGATAGAGAACACAGTGTTGAAAACACGCTAGCGGATATGATTGCTTGAACCTGCTTGTTTTTGTTTTTTGTTTTTTTTTTTAAAAAAAAAAAAGACGTCATATCTCTACGCGTCCGATTACACCCTTGATAGATTTGTGAGCTCTTCCGCGAAAGCCCCGTCGCCATGAGTGGTGCTTTCTGGTCATGTAACATTGAGTAGCTTTCGAAACCCGACGAACAAACGCGTTTCTTCCTTCTCGGTCTGCGCTCGCCTGCTGATGATTCTCAGTACCTAGTAGCGCGCACTAAAAGCTTAAACTTGCAGGATTGCGATCCTCGCGTACCGAAGGATGCACGTATCCACTCATGATTCACATCAGATCAATTGCAGCACGGAGATGTTTGTTTCAGGAACTCGTGTAAGACATTACTCATTAGTCGTATGAACAGCAGAAGAGTACGCCCGTGATGCAGTCATGTCCTTCTTCCCATCCAAGCAGCGTCCTCCCCGTCTCTTCCCCGCACCTGGCCCAATCACTTTTCGATGCAACCCCGCTCGCTTTTTCTTCATACATGAAGGAGGGGTACCCCCCGCTTCTCCGCTCGGGCACAACCATTCAAGGGGAGAAAGAGAAAGACAGAAAAAAGGTGGAGCGTGTAGGGTTCGGCAGTCGAGAGGTTATGTCAGAGTGTTTACAAGCCGCAGTTGCTGAGAGGGACCTCGGCGGTGGTAGCCTCGATGCGGCCGAGGGCGGCGGCCTGGCCGTTGGTAAGGTCGTTCATGGCAGCCTGGGCGATGTTGAAGCCGTTGCCGGCGTGGTCGATGGCGAGGATGTTGATCGTCTTGCCGTTGTAGGTCAGGGAGTAGCACTTGCCGCACTGTGGACACGACTTGTCAGTACGCAGGGGACAAGGGAAGCAGGTGTGAAGACAACTCACGTTGGCGGAGCCCCAGCCGGCAATGGTGTCAGAGCCGCCGATGTAGGGGAACTTGGAGACGGCACCCTGCGTCTGCCAGCCGTACTTGGTGATCAGGCCGTTGACACCGTCGGAGCAAGAGACAGCGGTCATGGAGCGGCCGGCATCGTCGTAGCCGGTGTCGAAGGAGACGCTGGTGGCAGAGGTCATGGCGACCATGGAGGCAAGAGAAGCAAGGATGGTGGTGAACTGCATTGTGGCGGTGTTGTGTTGAAGTAGTGGTGTTTGCGGGTGGCGATTAAGAATTATGGATGTTCTGATGGATGCAGAGCTGGAAATGCTGGTGATGATGGGAGAGAGATGGAGAGGGCGAGCGATTGGGCTTTATAGGCGGCGTTGCTGTCGTTGCTTCCTGAAGCGGTGGCTAACCGGGGCGGGAGGAGGCTCGTAAACGGGCCCCTCCTTCCACCTTGATCGCTCCATGTAGCATCCGCGATGCGAGCCTCAGATCAGCGGACCTCGTAAAGGCAAGCACCAAGGTACCTCTCTAGGCCTAAAGCGAGCAGGAGCCGGTCCCCGTTGTGCCGTTGTAGGTCACTTCCAGTACAGCGCTAGCCTGGCTCTTACTCTGTCCTGCCTAGTCCATCTCACCCGGCTGTTGCTGTACAGCCGCAACAAGTGAGACTGGTGCCTTTTTTTCCCGGTCTTACCTGCGTCGGTGTCGCTGCGCTGGAAGCTGGCGGAAGACACCACCGAGTCTCGGCGGGCTTGCGAGTTGCACGGTGCAGTCCATCATCCGATTGTCTCGTTGCTGGAAGAAAATACGAGAAGACGGCCGCGTTCCCCGCCTCTCGCTCGACAGTCGGGAGCGATCATCGGCGGTGAGCTGCTCTTCATGGCCTTCCCCACAGTTCGCAGTCTACGTGCTGCAAGGGCCGACAGGGAAGGCCGCAGGAGCCAGCCCGCGCTGAGAGGTGGCACTGGCGCGTTGTATCCTGCGCCGGCGCGGTAACCGCAAGCAGGCGCACAGAGGAGGAGGAATTGGAGACGGCGTCACGAGGCCCAGCGGGTTAAGTCGAAGGTGGCAGGCGGCGTGCGGGAAGGGCGTCCTGCGCGTGTTCGGCTATCGGGCGACCAACCCCAAAAATAGCTCCACCCCACCAGCGCCTTTCTCGCACACCCTCCTCCACAACAGCTCGCGCACTCAGCAATCGCCCGCCCGTGCCCGCCACCCGCTGCTCCGTGACGAAGGTCCCGAGCGCCCGCACGACAACGCAGCAAATACGAACTCTGCTGCGGTAAGCTATAGGTGCGCTTAGTCGAGCTTCCACGTAGTTGTGAAAAGGCTGGCGCCGACAATCACCCCAGATGGAAGGCCTTACGGGTACGAGAGACGACGTCACGGTGAGGTCGAACGCGGGAACCGGGACGGCGGTCCACTGCATCGAGCAACATCGCCGCCAGCAGCATTGCTCTCGATTAATTTCACACTCATCTCTGCAAGTGACGGCCCGGGATGTCTGTTTTTATTCGGGCCTTGCATCCGGAATATAGCTCAGAGCTCGGCAGATCCTAGACGGTCAAGGAGCTTGGAGCAGTGCGCACCCCCCTCTCGTCATGACAACGCTGCGCCTCCGCACCGCACGGTCGCCTCGGACCACCAACTACGAACCATCCAAGTGCAAGCTATCACGGAATCCCATGCCGCTTCCCTCCTGAACGAACCTTACATACAGAGAGCCATCTACTCAGAATCGCCTCGCATCCTTCCGACACCAGAATCGCTTTTGATGTGGAGCGATTTCATCCTCTCGCTTGCCGCCTCATACTCGGCGCATTCGTCGAATGGGGCATCTCGAACTCCACCAGCGAGGTCCTGCGCATGTGGCTCAGAGTCTGCGCCTTCGTGTTCGCCCGGCGAACGCATGTAAGTCTCAATGGTCGGCGCGTGTATCCACGTGGTCTCTGTCCTCTCAAATCCGTCCTTCGTCGTGTATCTCACCTCGTTACCTTCTGTACCTGGGAAGTCTCGGGCGGTGAATCGGCGGGGTTCTATTGTATCGTCCCGGGTGGTTGGCCTGGATGCAATCAGCCATCCTTGGTTATTTGTGCTGCGACCAGGAATCTGATCCTCGGGAACTTCCCTGAGTCGGCCATCCTCAGTGCGAAGGAAATGGCGCGCTGGCAAGACCTCGACGTCCACCACGGGAAGTATACGGTGAAAGACGTCGAATGTATGGATTTCACGAAAGATTTGCTCTTCGCGAATCTCGTGCACCTCCGGCTGTATTGTCTGGTGAGTAACGGCTAAGTAGTTCGTTTGTCAGCGAATATTCTATGCGGACAAGGTCTGCATGGTTTTACCTGGAGCGTACCGTGTGTGGTAGGCGACGTCTTCAGTGTTCCTCAAGTCGACGATGCCCTCCAGGCTTGATGGCTCCGGGCTGGAATCGATCAAGTAAGATTGGGCGCTGCGCTCAGGATATCCATCCGGTATTCCTTCAGCAGTGTCCACAGGCTCTTGCACGCTCAAGCGATTCGTCGGGTCGGTGAAGTCACGGAGGCCGGAGGAATATGCTCGCTTCCTCCTCAACGACCCGCGACTGTCCCGCTTCGTGCGTTCTCTAGAACTTTCTCTGAGGCTTTCCTCGTCGCTGGAGTTATCGAGGAAGAGTCTCGATTGTGTGTTGTTTGCCCTTGATTGGTCGGACAAAGGTGAGGCCTCCTCGTCCAAGGAGTAGCTTGCCGTGTCGCGCGGGTTGAGCCCCTTTGAGGGAACCGACAACGGAGCCGGGTAGCTGGACCTATCTCGGGTTGCAGTCGATGCTGGCGGAGGATTGGGAAAGGATTCGGCCACATCCTCGTCGTAATAACTCTCACTTCCGGCAGATGATTGCCTCGCAGCGAGACGAGCATTCCCACATCTAGCATGGTCACTCGAGACAGCAGTACCAGGCAGAGGAGGGGGCGACATCTCCTCCGAGTTCCGCACGTCTCCGTTTTCTGTTTTCCAGAGATTCTCGGCACGGCCTCTGCGCGAGGCATCCGACATAGCCCTCCTCAATCGATTCCGATGCACGCGGCCCCGATGGCTTGAGCCAAGCGATGCAGGCCGGCAGATTCTTGTTGGGCTTGCGCTGTAGACAGGAGTGTTGTGGGGGCGGTTAGCAGTCAACACCACGTCTCCTCGCAATGGCAGGCTTCCTCGACGTGGTGGAGTGCCGGGGGTGGCATCGCGGTAGGAGAGGGACTGAAGGTGGGACTCCTTGTCGGTGCTCCAATTGCGCCTGTGGAAGAGTCGCTTGATAGCGTCACCCATTCGGAGCGAAGATTCGTGTGTTGAGAGGAAGAGACGGATAAGCAGAGCTGCGGCAGGACTCGATCGTCGAAGCGGCAGAGGATCGCTCGAGAGCTGCAGTGACCCCGCAGTCGCCGTTCGTCATGGCACACTGACGATGCCGGAAAGGGAAAGTTCGAGGCGTCAAAGAGCGGCTGGCGATGACATCACCAGCGTCTAGCGAAACGATTAACCACTCAACGCCGCCGCTCCACAACAAGAGCCCGACCGTGGGTGTGCGTCGTGGCTAGGCCGCGACCATGATGTGCAGAGAGAGCTGAAAAGACAAGAGCGGCCTGTCCCGCCCACGGCACGTCTCCGCCAACGCTCAGCTGGGTATCGCAGATCTGCTAAGCATTCGCGCCATCCCCGCTGCCATTGGCGGTGCCAGCTTCCGCGATCCCCGTGCCTGGTCCACTGGCATACGGCTTCACCTTCGATCCGCTTAGCGCTCACGCCCTTGCCGTCGTCCACCGCGGCCGATAAGCGGAAATGTGGCTATGACAATTTCCTAATGCAGCCATCTTCTCTCTTGCGCTATATCGTCATGATGTATGCGCAGCTATGACGAAGGCTGACGCCTCGGACACTTATAAACAGCCGTGCGGCCGCCTGTACTCGATACTTCATCAACACCTCTTCCTTGTATCATCTATCTAGCTGACAATGGAGAAAGCCAAGGCCGCCGTTTCTGACTTTATGTCCAAGGCCGGACACCACGATACCACCGTCCACGAAAGGGTTCAGCCCGCCGTCACCCACCAGACGGTCAAGCCTTCGAAGCACGAAAATGTGACTACAGCCGTCGACAAGGAGATCCATCAGGATCACTACCACACAGCAGTCCAACCCATCCAGGAGCGCGAAGTGCTTCCGGAGAAACATCACCACAACCTCGCTGGCGTCGAGCACCGCAAGTTCGAGCATGGCGATGAGAGCGAGGTGCAGCAGCGGCTGAAGAAAGAAGCCGCCCAGTTCAAGGATGAGTCTATCCGCCAGGAGGAACATCACACTCGCTCTACGGCGCCGCAGGTTGCGGGCGAGCACGTCCACCATCATGTGCATGAGACGATCCAGCCCGTCGTACAGAAGGGTAAGCACATCACCCTCCATGTCGTTCAAAGCGCTAACGCATTACAGAAACCATTGAGCCACATGTGATGCATACTACGGTCCCAATACACGAAATTCACCACAATGCGCCGCAGCACCATTCCACCTCTGCCTTGCCTCCCGTTTCAATGGACGAGTTTCGGAGATCAGGAGGTACTCTTACTGGCCGCGATGAACGCTACGACGGATTCGAAGGGGAGCCGCGTAATATCGGCGGGTCCAGCAGCAATATCAGTCAAGGTCTCGGAACCGGCGCCCTCCGCGGTGACCACAGCATTACTGGGGATCATGGCCGCGGCACTGGCACCGGAGCAAGCGCCGACATTGGCTCTGGCTTGACTGGCACCGGTGCGAACGTTCCAGGTTCCACCTCTTCAACAACCAGTCGCCACGGTACTACTGGCGAAGCAGCAGCCCTGGGTACCAGCACAGTTGCTGGAGCCACATCTGCTGCCCACCATCAACATGACAAGAACCGGGACTCTTCCGGTGTAAGCGGCACGCATTTTGATCGTGACAGCGCCACGAACACCCGCGGTACCACAACGAGCCACGGCACTGGCCTCAAAGGAGAGGCTGGCATGTCGCCCAGCTCGGGCATGACTGGTGCCACTGGTGCTGGTGCCACCGCTGCTAGTGCGGGCAGTCACCGCTCCGGGAAACATGACAGCGGCGTTCTTGGCAGCGGTGAGAATACGATGGGCACAAGCGCGAGGAAGGCTAGTAGTGGCAGTGCTGCGAACAAGCCGAGCTTGATGGACAGATTGAATCCGATGAAGGACGCGGATCAAGACGGAAAGAAGGGATTCATGGATTAGGCGGGCGGGAAGGAAATGATCGGAATCCTGAAGAGATGGTCGTTGTAAATTGTTTTATGTGCAATGATTTACGACACGAGATTACTCGACAATGTCATTCCACATGAGCTCTTGACAATGAGCCCGGGCAGAGATGTAGAATCAATAATTTCACATTTGCGTCGGATGATAGTTCTGATTGCCAATATAGTCTTTTTTTCTAAAAAAAAAAAAAGCAAAAAAGCTAAGGCATGGTTACCACAGATTCAAGCACCCTTATATTCTTTGCGCTAGCTTTCGACTACAATACCTCTCTATATCATGCGTGAGTAGATAGCAACTTAAATTATCATACCTTAAAAGCAACCATTTGAGCGTCTTCACCTCGCCTCTTAGCGGGTAACCCTCTGGATGTTTGACTTCTGAATTTACATTCAATACTAACTGCATGTTAGAGTGTTAACATGGATATGAAATGGATAATGAATCTTCATTGGGTGAAGCAGAAGGATTAGACTGCTCCAACAGTATTTCGATACATTGATTTCACATCATGGAGGCGGAACGGCGGACGCACCTTGCCTTTGAAGAAGAAAGGAGGCCGAGAGTGTATTAAGACTACTCTAAGTGGAACTTGCTACCGGAGAATAGCCTGTGAGCAGAATCACTGTCTTCCGATCACCTTCTCACAGCTGGCTCTCGGTAGAAAGAGAGGCGAAAGAAAAAGCAAGGATTAAACGCCGTCGTCCATGAAAACCACAACAGCACATTTCCCTACTCAACGTGGGCTTGATCCTTAGACAGAGGCTTGTAAGTAATGCCCACGAGGTTTGTGTCAAGAACAACAGCCGCCATGGCAACCCCCTCTGGGCTGTAAATGAGCTGGGCCGTCAGATAATCGCCCTCCGCATCGCCAGGCCCAACCTTTGTACCGTTCACCGTCTCGACGGCTGCATGGGTGAAGTCGACTGTACCAAAGTCAGGAAAGGGCGCAGGCAGATCCCCCTCATATCGGTCGGTTACCGTCCACCCGGCGTGGAAACCTTGAACGGGAAGATCAGTGGAAGGATTGCGGGGTATGGTCGCCATTGCTTCCTTCTTTCCGCTGCCGCTGTTGATATTTCCGTTGTTTTTGATAGACGCGCGACCGCTGGTAGCATTATCGAGCTCGAGGCGCACAGCCAACACGTCACCTTCGGAGACGGAGAAGTCGTTGTCGAATGAGTAATCTGTATTGCCCCATGTCCAGAAGGGCTTGTACCAAATTGCTTGGTCCCCTTCGGAGTTGATGATGAGCTTGACACCGACCGCGGCAAGTGAATCTTTCTCTTGGACAGAGCCGCCAATGCTGACTGTGACGGCGGCGGTGTAGTTGAGATCTTCGTTTGTGTCATGGGCTGGCAGGGAAGGCCGAGGCACAATAAAGGTCCCCTCAATGGCTTTGTAGTCACCGGCAAATGGCTGGTAGAACGTGGCACCAGCACTGCCGCCGGGGCGGTTGGGATCGGCAGCACGCTTTTCAGAGATGCGGTGCTCCTCTTGGGTATAGGGCAGGTAGGCGATGGTGAGCTCGTGGCCACGCACGATGGTCTCGGTCATCGGCCTCCCGTCGTCACTAATAGTAGCAACAAGCGCGCCGCCCTCACCAGGGCCAAAATTCTTGTCATCACTAGTGTAGGTGATCGCGTCAGTGAAGGTGACATTACCGAAGTCCGTGAGCTTGTTGTCGATAGGCTCCGAGATGAACCATTCCGCATGCTGGCCGAGTAGAGGCGGAGCGCCGGGAGGAGCTGTCAAGATCTTGTGAACGCCCGTGCCGGTAGTGTGATTCTCGACAATTGCAACGCCATCGGTGGCTGAGTATGATTCGACACGCAGAGTAATTGCGTCACCTTCATGAATAGTGAGTTCGACGTCGTCGAAGACCGGGTCGCTCTTCGGGTGCCACACATGGAAGGCGCGGTACGTGGCTGTGCCAGAAGGCTGGATCGACCTACACAGCTGATGTCATTTGCAAATAGTGTGCGAAGATGGCTTCACCTACAAGAGAACACCGACTTGGATCCAGTAGTTGTTGTCATTGCCAACAGTGCCACCAAAGCCGACTTGGACGGCGGCCTCCCAGTTGACGCCATTCTGGGACGGAGCATCGACGGGAACGGAGATCTTCGGGACTGTGAAGCTACCCTGAATCGCGGTGAAGTGTCCAGAGGGAGGCTGCTTAAACACCGCGCCGCCCCACTTATCGTTGTTGGCAGTGGGAGTCACGATGAAAGTGCGCTTGGCATTGCCAAGAGCGGCGGCGAGGTCATTGTTGATCTTAACAGCGTTGACCTCGGAGGGAGTAGCGAGAGTGAAGCCGATGAGGAAAATGCCTAGGAGCATGGCAATTCCTCCAGGGAGGGGGTTGACGACTTTCATCTTTGCGATCAAGGCGAACTCGCAGCTGCGCAAGGTCAGAGGGAAGTTGGTTGAGCGAAGGCGTTTCAACGGGAGTGCTGGTGTAGTTGAGGATCGATTGAGCAGATAAAAACGAGGATAACGAGGGTGTAGAGGAAGTGGTGGTGCAGAGTCGTAGAAGTAGACCATACACCAGTCTCGCGACGCGTCGGCGCTAACTAAAAATGGAAACGACGGCCCACCGCCGCAAGGTACAGAAGGAAGGTGCGACCTGGAGCTTGTTCTCCTCCCAGCAATTTTCTCTGGCGCGCTCGTCCGTCCTCATTGAGATTTCTCACCCGATATAGACACATTTGTCAACCCCCTATCTTCGGACCGCATCTCGTTTATGAATTAAAAAAATATAGTGTAGAGGAGAAGAAACGACCCGCAACAATACTTAACTCGCGTCAGGAGCTGAAGCTATCGTCCGGACGTGAATGTAAAATTAATAATTATTACATTCACGTCTGGACGATAGCTTCACTGCTCATGACATGGGGTGAAAAACAAGCCAACGCTAGCTTTCGGATCCGACACCCCTCTGTGTTGACGCTTTGGACTGAGTTGATTGCATATGAACATTCATTCATGATTCGAAAAACAGTTACACTACATCTCTCCTCGTTTGCCTTCCACTTACTCCGCCTCTTATACCTTTGTCATGTTCTCCCTCCCCTCGACACCCCCCTTGCCCTCTGCGCTCACATGCACATGATGCGCATCCTCCACACCCATTAAATCGCCACCTTTCTCGACGTGGTTCGAGCCGCCGAACAGGACGTCGATTTCCTCGAGGCTGACCTGCTTGGTCTCGGGGATGCAGAACCAGACGAAGACGGCGAGCAGGATGTTGATGCCGGCGAACATGTAGAATGCGTAGAAGCCGCAGTTGTCGAGGAAGGTGGGGAAGAACTGCTGGACGATGGCGTTCGCGACGTTCTGGGTCTGCGAAGCCATGCCGACGGCTTGCGCGCGCACGTTCATGGAGAAAATTTCGGAGGTCCAGATCCAGACGGTTGCGCCCCAAGAGGGTTTGTCTGTGGGGGTAGACTGTGTTAGCGGTGAAAGAGGGCGAAGCACACCGATGAGAGGAGAACTTACAGAAAAAGGCGAAGAGGAACATCAGAAACACAATAGAAATGCCGACAGATTGAGTCTTGGTGGCCACGCCATCGACGACGATGGATGGAGTCTGCGTCTCGACGGTGGCGGCGATGACCATGCAAAGACCCATGCCAATTGCGCCGACGATGAGAAGCGCCTTACGGCCGAAGCGGTCGACGGTCCAGGTGGCGTTGAGTGTGAAGATGATGCTGAAGGTAGCGTTGAGGGCGTTGATGAGGGCAATCTGCGAGGTACTGGTGAAGATCTTCTTGTAGACCTTGGTGGAATAGGTGTTGAGCGTGCCCTGACCGGTAACTTGTTGGCCGGCGTTGATGACGAAAGCGAGCAGCAGACGCTTGCGCACCGAGGGATCCTTCCATAGCGCGGCGTAGCCCGAAGAGATGGCCTCCTTCTCGAACTCGAGCGCCTCACGGATCACCAGGAGCTCGTCTTCGACATCCTGCTCCGTGTCGCGGACGCGGCGGAGCGAGGCGCGCGCAGCGTCAACATTGTTGCCCTTCTGGATGTGCCAACGCGGGGTCTCAGGGATGAACCAGAGCTGGGCGAGGATAAGGACGGGCATCAAGAGCTGGAAGATGACGACCATGCGCCAGTCCCACTCGCCGAGGCCGGCCTTGTGCTTCTGGCAGGCGAAATTGATCCAGTACCTGGAGGTATGTCAGGGCTTATACCGTGTGCATAAGGTCCTCTGATACTTACGCAATAAAGGAACCCACGCTGTAGAACATCTGCCAGAACGACATGACTTTTCCGCGAATCTCAGAAGGCGCAAGCTCTCCGATGTAGATGGGACCGGCGGCTGCAGTACACAGTTAGAAAAACCAAGCAACACGTGACGGAGAAATGGTACGTACTCAGTGCGAGGCCCTGGCCCAAACCAATGATGACACGGCCTCCGATGAAGCAACCGACATTGCCTTTTGGAGAGAAAGCCTGCATGAAGGTGGCAACGATGACGAGCAACGATCCAGCTGCCATACCCGCGCGACGACCAGCGAAGTCGGCAAGCGGGCCGCCCATGAAAAACCCTGCAACAACGGCACCAACAGTGTAGGCGGTGTTGATGGCGCCCTGAGTTTGCGAGTTCTGTTTTGCATTCATGTGAGCGGGTGAAGGTGTTTCGGCGTGCTTGGGAAACGTACAGGGTTGCCAAACCAGTTCATCCAATTATCGGAACCGAGAACCGCGTTGTACACCGAGGCATCGTAACCGTAGAGGACCATGCATGATGCGGCGACGAGAGAAATGTACCTGTGGGAAGTTTGACTTTTGTTGGCTTATTGGCGTTGCGGGTAGGCGGGCGTGGCGAGGCTTACCAGTTGTACGCTCTCTTGGCTGTCATGAAACCCATGCTGATCGAGGGGTGAGAGGAGCCGCCTCTCAACGCGCTGGCAAGATGGAAAGGGGATGAACAAGAAGAACGGCAACCTGACTCAACGACAGTGCAAGAAGAGGGCCGCGGTGAGGAGAAGGAGAAGCGTCCCAGGGAGAAAGACGTCGGATTGGGGATGCGAGAGGCGAGAACAAGCTTGCGCCGAGTCCTTATAGTCGCTTGGGAGAGGCAAGGCTATCAGCACCCTTGCGGCGTAGTGGCGGCCATGCAACGCCTCGACGCACGCATCAGGCCCCGGAAAACCACCAATTAGCTCGCTTCGTGGCGTCCGGGGCCTCTGGGGTTGAGCACGGGCGTCGGCAGGATGGAGGGTGTTTGGCTGCAATCCGGGGCCCCGGGCAGCGGCGGAGCCTTCGGGGTGGATCTGCTGCGATTCCTCCACATCTGCGCGCTGCGTTGCGGGCGGCGGAGCGGTGCGAAAGAGGCGTCTGGAGGAATCCAACGACAGGGCGCTAGGGCGCGGTTGCTGGGAGGATAATTCTCCACCAATCGCCCACGCTCAGGCTAGGCACTTTTGCCGGCTGCCTACGCGTGTCATCGCCTGCAAGCGACCCTCGCCAGCAGAGATGCGCCCAGGACCAAGCCCCGGCTGATGCCGACTCTGCCGTCCTGACCTCCAGCGAGCAATATATCGAGATTTGGCCATTTCTCTTCCGGTCCGGACGTTGCCGTGGATGCTACTGCTGGACCTGGCGCGTGCCGCAGTCGCACGAGGTCCCCACACGCCGACAAGCTTTTCAGGGAAATAAATAAAAAATAATGGGCAGTGACGTGCCGGACCCTCTCTCAGTTTCCCCTTTCGCTCTCTTCTGCGGAGACAAGGACCCCGGCTGATGCAAGCGGTCTGCATTGTTATCAACCACCGGCGCACCGAGTTTTGCTTGCGGTGCAGTATCTTGCAGCGTTCAGGGTAGTATCAACGCACGTCTGCGAGGTGTATGTGCTTTCGGCGCTTCGCGGCTGATTTCGATCGCTCCACAGGACATTGAGTCGCGTAGAGACAAGGATGGCGCAACGGCTGCATGGCAAGCGAAAAGAAGGGGAGGGTGATGGGCAGGGGCACGCGCTGCATTGAGGTGTGAAAAAGGCAAAAGCTCAATCAACACCACGAGAGGAGGTGCCGTGGGGACCCCGGCGCCCTTGATTGGCTCGTCTCTGCAAGTTGTAGAAAAGAGCCCCACACACCTGCACCCGCCAATCTCGCGGGGAAGCCGCATCTACAGGAGGGTATTGCAGCCGACGTGAATTTATTTCGCCCATACCGTGGGCAGTTGATGCTATCGTCCGGACGAGAATGTCAAATTAAAAATTCTACATTCACGTCCGGACGATAGCTTCACCTACCCACATATGTTTTTTTTTTTTTTAAGAAAGAGCTGGGGCTATTCTTCGCGCGAGTCATCGGCTATAGTACCCCTCTATAAAACGCTTGTTTCACCACAAAACGCTGGGCCCCGGTTGCATCCTGGACTGTTTGGACCCTTGCTTGAATTAATTTGCAGGAGGGCCTCGCATACATGTATGATTCCCACTGCAGAAAACCAACCAACCACGATGGTATAAGGGAGAAAAAAAGAATGCAAGACTCCATCATTACTCCCAAGCAAACAGCCTCGATATCGCCCACCTTGGTATCAGCCAATCCGCCTCGCTAATGAATATACCCAGACTCTCATAAGCCCTTTGTCTACCGATTCGCCGTCCACTTCGCACCCGCCATCGCGTCACTCATCCGCGGTATCCGACTTCCTCGTCGAATCGCACTAGATTGATGACATCGGCTTCCTCCATGTTCCGCAGCGGCCTGGTCTGCGCCAGTTCCATCGCCTTGCTCATTACCTCACTGATGCGGCATTCGCATTCGGCTGCGAACGCTCGCTTGAGCTGGGAAATGAACGACTTGCGCGGCGGCGTGCCGTCTACGTCGTCCGTCTGCATCTCTTCGAGGCTGGTGTATCGGACTTTGAGCACGCTGCAACACGTCAGCCGACTGGCCCTCAAGTTTCGGCAAGCCGGAACACTCACTGCTCTGCCCTCTTGTCGTGGTTCAGCGTGTCTCTGTCTCAGTCGTCAGCCACGAGAAGAGCGAAGCTCAAGCAGCTACTCACATCACAAGCTCCGGACCGGCCTGGAGAACAAGATCTTCGAACACAAGGTGGATGTCGCTGCGAGCTGACGGGTCGTCAGGCTGCGAGTCCCGGTGGATGAGACCGCTGCCGCCGATTTGCGCCGCCCGGATGCTCTGTGCGAGCGCGACGAAGATGGTAACAAGAGCGTGGAGGGGCATGGACATGATGAAGTTGACTTTTTCATCATAGTCCCCTGTTTTCATGAGCTTCCCGCCCAAAACGAAGACTGTGGGGTGCATACAACGTTCGGACAGGCGGTAGAGGAGCAGCATCCCGGCCTTGAATATCTGGTGCCATCCGTGAAGACAGCAGCATACGGGCGCGAGTCTGAAGACTTCGCGGGTCAACGTCGCCAGAGCTGTAGAACGACGCTGGACCTCTGCCAATAAGCTGAACGAGAGGCCAGAGACGCATCCGACATTGCTGCCTACCGCGGATTCATTAGCACAGCTTGAACTCGCTCGAGAAGACGCAACGATGGCGAGAGACCAAACTCACGTGTTCCACACTGCGGCGATACGAGGTCCGGAAAGTAGGGGATGACATGTAGCAGCTGGTTGGCAGCATAGCCTTTGCACAGCGAGCGCTCATAGGTCTTGAGGACGTGGTGCAGCCGCCGGTCCACGAGCTGCAGATTGCACAGCATCGCAAAGTCGAATTCGGCAGCGCCAGCGATGTCGAGAACTACTTCATTTGGTAGGTCGCTCCATCTCCGCTTGTCGTCGTTGGATTGCATCTTAGCGGCGGGGAGTTCTTGGATTGCGGGTACTGCCGCGGAGGTTCTTGAAAGCATTGTTTTTCGGTGATTGCAAGAAGAAACGAAGAATTGATAGTTGGTGATATAGATGGTGGAGTTCTTCCAGATACCTTGATGGACGGCGAGTCATGGTGACTAATCGGGGCAGCAGGACAACAAAGTAGTCAAGAGTCGCACCGTCTTTGTTCCCAACAGGTGCTCGTGAGCGAGAGGCGTGACGAGGACTGAGCTGCGGAAGTCGCGACAAAGGCCCCGGCGTCTGGCACCTGCACCACATGATGACTAAGACCCACGCGCTTGGTTGGGCTCCGCACCTTCATGCACAGAAGTTTCCATGAAAGCTTGTCGTCGACAAACATGCACTCAACAAAATACGAATGACCGAATCATCTCGCTCGCTTGCTCTGCGACAGATATACAAGACTCACCATTTATTAGACCTTGACGGGTGCACAGAAACCTCCGAGCCGATGCTTTAGAAGGGCCACGGCTGCGGAAAGCTTGTGGAGAGCTTATTCTTCGCCTCGATTTCGCTGATGGCACACGTGGAAGATGTGCTGTGTGCCGATGGTTACGGCACATGCAGCGTCCAGACCGCGTTCTGAGTCGTTGCATCAGAGCTTGGCATCGAAATTTGGAGTGGGTCCAGATCTCACATCTTTCCGCCCAGAGCCGGCTGCGCTTGGTGATCCGGGCGCCATCCACACGCGCCAATGTGAGCCGCTGGCTCCAGCACGCCAAGTCGTAACATCAACCCGCGACGTCATAGACTTCCAGACATCCGCGCTTTTTGGCTCCAAAACTCATCTATTGACACATTGGCTCTACCGCTTTCGGTCGGATATCGATGCCTCCGAGTCCCGTCGGACCCTTCAATGCTCGGAAGACCGTCCGCAGGGCTGACTATGACGACGATTGAAAGAATGGCGGAATCAGCTCTTATATCTCTGAGCCTTTTCACCGTGCTCCTCATTCATGATACCTGCTTTCTCCCACCGACCCTTTCTCTTTTTTCCCCCTGAATCATCATGAGGGAGCTCATTCGGGAGTCCATCTTCGGCCAAACTATACGCTTGGTCACCAAAAGAAATTTCCTCCAGTATCCCGAGGAGCTGGACCCGTCGTTATGGAAACAATACATCGACTGTGAGAAATCCGGACGACCGGCGCTCCGAAGCGTCTCCTTGCCCACTCGAAGGGCCTCTGAGGAAGAGTCGGAAGACGAACGCAAGCGAAGCGTCGATGTCGAAAAGGAAGGGAACGACTCTGACACACATTCGCCGACTCGGACAAACCAGACAGATGCCATTGCAGATCCGGAAAATGGAAAAGAAACACTACTAGTTACTTGGTACGGGCCAAATGACCCTGCTGTAAGAGACACTTCTCCCACAGTCGCCGCTGCCACAGCTAACTTTGTCTCCAGAACCCGCAAAATTGGTCGGTAGGCAAAAAGTTCTTCGTGACGTTTGAAATCTGTCTCTTGACTTTTAGTATCTACATCGGCTCCGCAATTTACAGTGCCGGTATCGTCGATGTTATGCAGAAGTTCCGCGTCTCCCAGGTGGCTGCAACTCTGGGCCTGACTTTGTTTGTCGCTGGCTACGGAGTTGGTCCGGTATGATATTCCCCACCGCGATTTTGTACTGCATGATTGCTAAATTGGAATAGATGATTTGGTCACCCATGTCGGAGATCCCGACCATCGGTCGTAATCCCGTTTATTTCCTCACGCTTGTTGTCTTTGTCGTTTTCCAAGTCCCCACTGCCCTTTCAGTCAACTTTGGAATGCTTCTCGCCTTCCGTTTTCTGACTGGGTTCTTCGGCTCGCCTGTCTTGGCCACCGGCGGAGCTAGTGTCGGTGACATGTATGCTCCGCGCAAGCGCGCTTACGGAATGGCAGTCTGGGGAATTGCGGCCGTATGCGGGCCTACGATGGGACCTCTAATTGGCGGCTTCGCTGCCCAAGCCAAGGGCTGGACGTGGACCATCTGGGAACTGATGTGGCTTTCCGGGTTCTGCCTGATCTTCATCTTCTTTTTCTTGCCCGAGACCAGTTCGACGAACATCCTCTACCGCCGCACCCGCCGCCTCCGCAAACTCACCGGGAATCCCAATTTAAAATGCGAACCCGAGATCATGGCAGAGCACATGACGGGAAAAGAGATTGCGCTGATGACGCTGGTACGGCCGTTCACGCTCAACTTCACGGAGCCCATGGTCTTCCTGCTTAACCTTTACATCGCTCTCATCTACGGCCTGCTCTACATCTGGTTCGAATCCTTCGTCATAGTCTTCGTCGAAATCCACGGCTTCAACCTGGGTCAGCAGGGGCTCGCTTATCTCGGCATCTTTGTTGGTGCGCTCCTCACTATTCCACCTTTCTTCATCTACCTCTACAGGGTGCAGGAGAAGCAGTTCAACGAGCGCGGCGAGATCCAGCCGGAGAAGCGACTACCGCCCGCCTTCGTTGGTGCCTTCTGTGTGCCCATCTGCCTGTTCTGGTTCGGATGGAGCGCGCGTCCGGATGTTCACTGGATCATGCCCATCATCGGTAGTGGCTTCTTCAGCATCGCCGCGACGCTGCTCTTCAATTCCGTGCTCAACTATCTCGCCGACGCGTACCCGGACTACGTCGCTAGCGTGCTGGCTGGTAATGACATCATGCGTTCTTCGTTTGGCGCTGGCTTCCCGCTGTTCGCGAATGCAATGTACAAGAATTTGGGCGTTGCATGGGCGAGCAGCACACTTGCGTTTTTGGGCATCGCTTTCATCCCGATTCCGTTCGTGTTGTACATTTTTGGTGAGAGGTTGAGAAAGAACTTCAGCAGGCATGCGAGGAAAGATATTTGAAGAGCGGTTTGTACATGTAGTAAGGCCTCGGATTTTGAAGGCTTACTTTGGTGCCGTCAAGAAAAGGGAAGACTCCTGATATGAATTGTAGAATATGCCAAGCAGTACTACCACAGTACATTCAATACTGGAGCTACATTCTGTCTTTCACATCTATCTATTCGGCGCCGTTTTCTCTTCTCAATTAGAGAAGTCACATGAGGCGGCCAAGCTTGGAGTCAGCATACCAGGATTACAGGCTCATCGAGACTTTGTTTGCCTACCGACGTTCCAAGTTGCAAATGCTCCAATGATAAGCCAACCCTTTTCCAGTAGCATGCAACTGCGCACGTGATGTCGCGTTGGAGCTAGGACGCGATGACGCGAAGCTTAGCTTTTCGCGCTGCCTCGACCATCTCCACATCAACACACGTCAACACCAATTCTCTATACAAACACAGCTATCTAAACAGGAACGAAGGAAAGAAGGAAGCCATGAGTAAACCGGTCGAACAAGCGCTTGTCGGCCTCGTACCCGCGCACAATGGTCCCCTCCCATCCGAGTTGCTAAGCGTCGCCGTCTCACTCCTCGCGCAATCGCGTAGCAAAGCGAGCAGCCTAAGGCCCGAGGAGGAGATTGCCCGAACATATGCATGCGCGCATCTGGCATGCGAGAGGTAAGAGCAACAGCTTGATCGATCATTGTCATTGCCGTTTCTTAAGTCTCGCTCGCTGACTTTGACCCCGTCAATCCTCAGATTAAAACAACGTCTTAACCTCCCCCCTATCGTCCCGCGCCCGCCAATTCCTCCCCGCGCCTACAAGAAAGTCTACAACTACTTCGACAGCGCCCTCACCATCTCCTCCTCACAGCCTCAAACCCCAAGCAGACGCGCCGCCCGTGCTGCCGCCGCCGAGTCCTCTGCTACCACACCAACGAGCAAACGCACACCAGCCGCTACAACCGCCGCAACACCGTCCCGAACTCCCGCCAGAACGGCATCACACGGAGGGCGAGCAGGCGCACGCACGCCCACAGCCGCGTCAGCAAGAAGAAGTACCGCTGCTGGTGGCGAGTATGACGATGATGGAGTGGTGCCGGCATACGTGACCCCGCTCATCCGCGCGCTAAGCAAGGCGCTGGGCACACCGGCGGCGGTGCCACACGTGTATGCGGGTGTGCGGTCGGTACTCAAGGAAGCGACAACAACAGCTGCTAATAGCACGCCGTCGCGATCGTCGGCGAGGAAGCGCCGTAGTGGAGGGCAGGAGGGGATCGAGACGCTGGCGGCGACGAATGGCGGGGTCGACGAAAACGACGTCCCGCCGCTTGTGGCCGTGTTGCTGATGTACACAATCATCAGGTTGAGCGGGAGGCCGACGCGCGCCACAGAGCATCGGGGGAGGAAGGAGGAGGCGGTGAGAGTGTTGGCAGAGTGCGAGGCGTGTGAGGGGCTGGCGGAAGAGGAGTTGCTGGCACGGGTGGAGCGCTTGCTGGTCGAGGTTAAGGAGAGAGGATGGTTGGAGATGGAGTGGTTTGAGAATGTGGGGCAAAAGGCAGGTGGTGATGGGGATGAGGATGTGGAGATGGGGGAGGATGGGGAGGAAGATGATGGATCGGGGCTTGGGAGGGATTCAGCGGACGTGCCTCCATATACTCCAATGAAGAAGAGAAAAACAGGGGACAAGGGGATGGACGTGCAGGCTGGTGTGTCTCAGGGCGGACTGGGCACGATGATGCAGGATAAGGTCGATTATCTGAGCGAGGCGAGGAGGGCGGGGTTCTTGAGATGGAAGGCGGGTATCATGAAGAGGGTGGAGCAGATTGAGAGAGAGGATGGTCAGGCCATGGATGTGTCTACTTGAGGGCCAAGAATCAATTCTCGTCGTGAGATGTGGAACAACGCTAGGAAAATTGATGGACACAAATGAGATCTAGTGGACGTTCTGAATGCGGATGGAGGATTCTTGATATCCTATTTGCGGCAATTTGATCGACCAACAACCTACAGAGGGGTGCTGCAGCCGATGGCTAGCGCGAAGAATAGCAGGGTTCTAGAACATGGCGTAATTATGCCTGGGTTCCTTCTTTTCTTTTTTTCTAATGAAAAGAACATGTACAGATAGTTGAAGCTATCATCCGGATGTAAATGTGGAATTAATAATTATACATTCACGTCCGGACGATAGCTTCAACTACCAATAGCACGAGAAAAATAAATTCACGCTAGCCGTCGGCTGCAATATCCCTCTGTATTGAAACAAGGCTGACATCTAGTGCTTATGGCTTACTCCAAGGGATGCTTCACCCCGCCTTCCACGTGAGACCGGGGTATAAAACGATCTGTTGATTCTTTCCCCGCTTTCTCTCTTCTCACATCCGATCAATTTCCGTTAAACGTCGATATCCTCGCAACGAAGGTGGAAGATCAAAGAAAGAGCTGGAGTTTTATAGAAAAGCGTTTATCCAAGCCGCTCGAATCGCACCAACATGCCTGCATCAACCACAGTAGCGCGCGAGGAAGGATATGATCCAGCATGGCTCGAGGTCAGTCTGATACACGCCTTCGAATTAACCATGGATAGGCGGAGTATCGAGCATTGCTGACCGCGGATAAAAACTCAAACAGCTTGAAGCTGCAATGGGTGGCCGCAAGCACCTGTCGGGCAGCTTCGCGGAGAAACGCGTCCAGTTTAACGCCCTTTCCGATACCATGCAGGCGCTGTGGCCTCGGCCTCTCGTAGACGGGAAAGGCAAAGCCGTCGATGTGGAGGTCGAGGGTATGTAAAGTCTCCTTCGCTTTTCCTTTCTTTCCTCTCCTGTACTTCGCTCAAATCCTTACCATCTTGCTTATTTCTCCTCTTTCCCTGTCCTGCGCTCACTATCTTTGCTTTTACCGCCTCATAGACCTCACCATCCCGGCCCCCAGCTCGTCAAAGTCAACCGAAATCCCCCTGCGAATCTACAGGCCCCGCCCCTCCGAAGAAGAAAAAGCGAAAGTACCTCTACCGTTGATCGTATGGTACCACGGCGGCGGCTGGATGGGCGGCACGCTTGACTCGGAGCACGCGCAATGCCAGCTCATCGCTGCGGGCGTCCCAGCCGCCGTCGTCAGTGTCGACTACGGCCTGCTGCCTGAAAACAGCACCGCCGGCATGCTAGCGGACTGCGTTGCTGGGTTCGAGTGGGTGTGGGCGAATGCCGCTTCTAGCCGTCTCGGCGGCGACGCGAGACGCGTGGTGGTGTTGGGGGGCTCAGCGGGAGGGGCGTTGGCGTACGGCGTCGTGCGGGAGTTGGTGCTAAAGGGGGAAGGGGACAAGTGCAGAGGCGCAGTAGGCGTTTTTCCCGTGACGATACATGCGATGACGCCGCCGGAGAAGTGGAGGGGGCTGGTTAAGTCTTGTGGCTCGGAGCTGTGGGAGACGGCGCCGGTGGTGAGGGGGGTGGATCAGAAGGGCGTGCTTGGTGAGCTTTCTTCTTTCTCATTCTGTCTTCATCTTCTCTTCTCCTCTCCTTCTCGCCTTCTTTTGCTGAACAGCGCGAATGCCCGCAGATCTCGCAGCCGAGCGCAGCCCGGCCAACGATCCCCTTTTCATCGTCAAGTTCACTTATGAGGAGGAAGTGCTCAAGAAGTTCCCCCGCACCTACATCGCGACATCCAGCAAGGATCTCATGCAGGACGACGGCACAGTCCTAGAGGCAGCGTTGAAGGATGTCGGCGTGCCGGTGAGGAGAGAGCATTACGAAGGGTTGCCGCACTACTTTTGGTTCTTCCCGCAGCTGGGGGAGAAGACGATGCGGTTCGTGGAAGATCTAGTGAAAGGGGTTAGATGGGTGTTGGAGAATTGATTTGTGGCGGCTGGCGACGAAGAGACGCCATCGATAAATTGGGCGGAGATGAATTTCGTGTAGACATTAGTTCTTTAGAAAACAGGGATGCGGCATTCATGGATATCTTGCAATCGAAACTTTCTTTCCCTGTCGATGCAACAGCTCTGATCTGGTGTACATTTTGAGTATATTTATTCGCGCCTGGACAGGTGCTTCAGTTGCCCACAGTATCTGTAAGTATTTGATGCAAAATACATTCACGCGAGCCTTCGGCTGCAATGCCTTTCGATCCAAGAATCACATGAGGGATGGAACTTGGTATGAGAGAATTTGAGGTAATGTTAGCATATACTACTACAAAATCAGCGGGATTAGATTATCGATGTATGTCACGCCACGCTTAGCCTTTCTAAAAAGGCATATATCTCTTCCACCCTGGTGCTCCACTGCTACTTCTGCTTCCACATCTATTTGGCTTAGCGCATTCCCCATTACGAAATTTGCCCTCTATCACATCTCGCTGACATTCAACCACTAAATGGTGTTGATTTATCGACGAATAAGCTCCGATAAGTGTCCAAGGGGGTTGTAGTGGAGTACTAGGGCGGAAGAGACACCAATCAGTATCAACACATACTGAGATGAATTGGCCGTTGTAGCAAATAGTGCAATGAACGACACGAAGACTCACATACACACTAGTCTCAGAGACAGACTACTTTGCTTGGGAAGCATTGCCATGCAAAGATCAATGCTTCCTATCGCTGTAGATTCAAAGTCGAGGATCTACATTGGCCCTGTGGTCACCAGGGCGACGCGCTTAAATATATTCGGCTCCTCATAGTAACTCCGGGCTCCGAACCCAAGAAGGATGGCATGTACAGTCCCCTCTCGCAGCCGATGGCTAGCGTGAATTTGTTTTTTTGCTCATGTCATGGGGAGTTGAAGCCATCGTCCGGACGTGTATGTAGAGTTTTTAATTCCACATTCTCGTCCGGACGATAGCTTCAACTCCCCACATATGTTATTTTTCTAAGAACGAGCTGGGACATAGCTACGCTGCCAGCTATTCTTCGCGCTAGCCATGGGCTGCAGCACCCCTCGTTCACGGTGTTGTTCAATCGAGTTTTCGTCAACTGACTCGCACCCGTCACAAGCGTCAACGGTTGCAAGCGTTGTCTAGACCCTTCCGTAGGCATGATCATCGTGTGCAACGGCGATCAGCGGCTCAGATCATGTAGATCAGCCAGTCCCGTGCACAGAGTCAAGATGGTCGTTAACGGTGTCCTCGGTGACGGGGACGTCGCAAATGGGGCAAGCAAGGAGTGTTTTCTTTTGTTGGGGGGTTGGAATGCTTTCCTCATCGCTGCGTTCCCGTTTAGCACTGGAGTCCCGGGCGGTTGGGTTCACATGGGTCGAGGGCGGTTCCCCTTGGGTAGATCCAATAGAGCTGGGAGCAACCTTGATCCAACGGTCAATTTTGTTCTTCTGGCGGCCGGCTCTCTCCTTCACACTCAGGGCGTCGATCTGCTTCTTGGTCAGGTCAGGCTCTGCTATTTTGGTGAAGGCACCGCCGCAGTCTTGCTGATGCTGGGACCACCAGCTGTCACTCTTGCCAGGCGCTCGGTTCATGCTGCGCTTGACGAGCCCGAAGTAGGGCGGACTAGCTCGACAGGGGCCATCGCACAACCACACGTGAGTGCGGTAGCTGTCAACCTCATCGTGAAACGCGTGGAAGACGGTCACATCAAAACCACCGTGCCCATTGATGGCCGAGGCCAGCATTTGAAACGCAGCACCGTGCCCGGACTTGTCGTCGCGGGAGTGGTGCCAGAACGAGGTGACGAAGAAGTAGGCATGGATGGCCTCGTGCAGCAGGGTATTGACCGTGTCGGAGCGCGGGCGAAATTTGAGCAGCGGCTCGGACAGCTTGAGGCGGATGCGCGTGTATTTCCCCTGGGCGTTTTTGACGAGCTCGCAGATGCCAGCGCAACTATTGAAACGGGAGGTCAGTGATGGGAATTTATGCGGTTTCCCGATCGAGCAGTAGCGGCCGTTAGAGGGACAGAAATTTGGCGGCGAACAGGGAGGCGGGAGCCCTTGCTGCTACAACGGGCGTGAAATGAGATGTGAAGCAGGATGCAACGCGTGGGGGGTGCGAAGAAATTGGGAAGAAATGAATGGGCCAGCGGCAAGGATCGCCAGGAACACAGGACGTACAGAGTCAAGCGCGACGACCAGGAGACTTCGACGCGCGCGCGGAGCGTGGCACGGAAATACAGCGTGTCGACCAGGGCAAACAGCTCGTGGACGTCGACGAAGGGTGTGTCGGCGTGGAGAATGCGCGCGAGGTCGGCTTGGGCGGCGCGCTGGTCGGGCGTTAGGGCGTCCAGCGCGTGGATGGCTTGCGCCGCCGCGGCGTCGTCGGTGAGCGACATGGCCCACACGGGCAGTCACAGGGTCCGCGATCGCGCGGTAAGGCTTAAGTACCTAGATTGTGCGGGGAGCAGCCGAGGAGGCCGGGCTGCTTCGGAGCCGGGCCTGAGGCATGGGGCGCGGCCTAGGTTGGGCGCGGGCTGTCAGGGCGATCACGGCCGCGGATGCTGCCCAGGGCGCCGCCTGTTTACATGCGCATTCCCTCGAGCCTGCCCTTGCAAGCAATTCTTTCTTCAGCGCACCAGGCCCCGCTGCGCTGCGTCTCGAAACGCCAGCTCACTGCGCGGTTTTCCACGTAGCACCGTTGCCGAAACAAACTCCACCGCCCGGCCCAGACATCCTGGCCCGAATGACGCAGAGTGCATACCCGTCCGCACCCTCGAATAAATTCCTCCACCACGCCCACACCGCCGCCCGCTTGACACCGTTTTCGATGCTGCCGCTGTGCCCCGTCCATGGAGCCCGGTAATGACGACGCCCGCGCCCGGCGCGCGTCGTCGACGCATTCTGCTTCCTCGAGCAGCCGCAAGTCTGGCTCGGGAGCGACCGCCAGACGCACCAAGCCGCGCAAGACGGCCTCGCACGCCTCGCTCGCGAGATCCGGCGCCCCAACCCCGTCGGACAAGAGCCTGACCTCCTTCCCCTCGCTGTCGCCGTCCCCCGAAGCTTCGCCCATCGCCGCCCGCTTCAGCGAGACGGAGCTGTCGCAGCCGCAGTCGCCCCAGCTCCCCCACGACGATACTGGCCTTCCAGACCCGCCCACCGTCCGCAAATCCTCGAAGCCCGTGCAGTCGATAGTCGGAAGCCTGCTCGCAACCGTGCCCTCGTCCGACGACCGCTCCGCCCTCTTCGACGACACCCCGCAGGACGTGCGCAGCGTGCCTGGAAACCTACATCATGCGAGCGATGACCAGATCGAGCGGATGCTGGCCAGGTCGGGGCCCGTCAGCATGGTTAAGCAGTTGGCGCAAGATCTAGCCCAGCGCGACGCCCAGATAACGGCGCTGCGAAGAAAGGCCGAGGAGCGGGAAAGAATCCTTCGGAAAATGCTGCAAGAGTGCGAGGTCTCGAACCTGGACATCGACGAGCGTTTGAAGCTGCTCGAGCGGGGCCCCACACCGAATGGCACGGGCGATGCCGCCGACAGAGGCAGGAAGGCCAAGAGGCAAAGCCTCGTCGACTTCGACGGCGTGCACCCCGAGGATCCCATTGACAAGCATCTTGCTCGCGCGATGAGCGACGAGAATGACGGTGACCGCGAGTTGATGCAGGAGGATGACGCTTCGCTGACCGCTTTCCCGGCGCTCAGCGACGATCACTCCGTTAATTCTGCCGATCTCGCCACCACCAAGTCGACCAAGGGCTGGAAGAGCTACATCTGGACTGGATCGCTGGCCAACAAGAGAAGGAGCCACACCCCGAGTGTCACGAGTGCGTATGACGAGGACATTCAGACCCGCTCCAGGGCGTCCAGCGGCGCTCAGCGAAAACGTCTCAGCAGCGACTTGTTCGCGCCTCCACCCCAGGGTGTCTCCAAAGCCGTCGACCACCTCAAGAAATTGGAAAGTGGGGACGAGGCTGCATCCATTTCTTCTCGAAAATCTTCGGGCTCTGTTGCATCATGGGCGTTGAGGTTGGTGGCTGGGAACAATCAATCGACCCGCGAGACGGACAAAGTTGGCACTTTAAGAGGCAGGGCCTCTGCCAACGGGACGGACCTTGAGCGGTCGCAGCGCACAGCTTCTATGGATTCGTCCAAGACCGATCCAAAGACAAGAGCAAAAGGCCGTGGGTCAAGGACCTCGTTAGGGCCAACTGGGACGATCAAGAAGAATGGCCCACCGGACAGTTTACGCAACACCACATCGAATCCACAAGGCTCTAGCCCGCCAACCAATCGCTCCGTCACCAATCTTGGTCCTGTTGAAATGGACATGATCCTGCCGGAGGAAACAAGACCACCGACCTTGATGCCGCACAATTATTACGGGCGTGATTCTGAGTTCCTCACGGATTCATTTGGCTTTATCTATGATCAACGACGAAAGAAGAGACAGGCGCAGGCTGCCGCTGCCGCGCTGCAGAAGAGAAAGCCACATGCGAAAAGCGAGTCTCTTGGCGCCGCGCGGGCAATGCTCGGCTCCAGAAATAGTGATGAGGAGGCACCGGCCGAAGTCTTGGAAGAGGAAATCACGCTTCCGCGGTCCGAAAGCGTCCTCTCGCAAACAGAGGAATCTCAGTCGGCGAAACGTAGCTGGCAAGATTATCTCAAGATTGCCACGTTCCCAACTGAATTGCTGTCGCATACACCTGTTGCCGCGCCCATGACCACAGTCGATATTGAAGAAACACCCAAGACGTCCCAGGTGACGGTCCAGAACAACGCATCGTTCCCAACCGTCAGTAACAACCTTGAGCCAGCTCTCAGTGTTGAATCAGGTGCCGCGGAGATCTCGCAACCAACAGTCAGTGGTCCTGCTAGCCCCGTCTCGGGTGATTTCAGCAGCCCACAGCCAGATCCTGTCAGAGCGCTGTTGGACCAGCTGACGGACTTGCATGACTCGCTCCAGCGCGATAAGCAGGTTAGGTGGCATGAATTCCTACGCAAAGTGCGAGCGGAACGGAAGCGTGAGGGTGATGCTGTGGCTGCGAGCGAGGGACGCGGGAAAAACACGATGCCTGAGACTTTGCTCACTGATGGAGAGATCATCGGAACTGCTGGGCTGGGCAACAAGGGTAAGATTGGAAGAGCGAAGTGGAAAGAGTTCAAGAACCTCGTCTTGGGAGGCATCCCCGTCAGCTACCGTGCCAAGATCTGGGCAGAATGCAGCGGGGCCGCCGCCATGAGGATTCCGGGATACTACGAGGACCTGGTAGCCAACGGGATTGACGATCCAGTTGTAGTTTCCCAGATTCAGATGGACATCCACAGAACCTTGACCGACAACATCTTTTTCCGCCGTGGCCCTGGTGTCCAGAAACTGAATGAGGTCCTCATTGCATACGCTCGTCGCAACCCCGCCGTTGGATATTGCCAGGGCATGAACCTGATTACCGCATGCCTTCTCCTGATCATGCCGACCGCCGAGGATGCCTTCTGGATGCTTACAACCATGATCGAGTCCATACTGCCCGAGAGTTACTACGACCACTCGCTCTTGGCTTCGCGAGCTGACCAGATCGTTCTCCGGCAATACGTGGCCGAGATTCTTCCCAAGCTCTCTGCGCACTTTGACGAACTCAGCATCGAGCTCGAAGCGCTCACCTTCCAGTGGTTCCTCTCTGTCTTTACGGACTGCCTCTCTGCCGAGGCACTTTATCGAGTCTGGGATGTCGTTCTGTGCATGCACGACGGTTCGACCTTCCTGTTCCAGGTTGCACTTGCACTGCTCAAGCTGAACGAGAAGGCCCTGATTGAGTGCGACAACCCAGGTGCCGTGTACCACTACATCAATCAGCAGATGACGAATCATGCCATCAGCATCGACGGCCTAATCCAGGCCAGTGAGGCGCTAAAGAAGGTGGTTCGGAGAAAAGACGTCGAAGACCGCAGAACCAGGGCCATCGAGCACGAGAAGGAAGTCATGCGCCAAAGGGAGGAGTTACGGGCTGAAAGATTGAGCAAGCTGAAGGATAGTTCAGCGACAGCGGAAGGCGAATCATCCGACGGGTCGGCCCCGCCCCCGCTTCCTCAACTGCTTGTGCAATCCGCCACGAACGAGTTCCCAGAGGATGTCATCAACATGTCCCCGCCCGAACCCACGACTCCGACCACGATGACGTCTTCCGTGAGCTATTCGTCATCAAGAGATGACGAGGAACATTTGCATGAGGATCTGGAGAGGAGCCTGACGCCCATGCCGATCGACGAAGAAGTGATGTGGAGAGCTTAAGGAGATAGAGGCTCTTCTCTTTCATCTTTCTCAGACTCCTACAAATTATTACACACACGGACACACCCAACGCCTTTTCTTTGTCATAACGCCTGCGTCCTTTTGCTTTTCGCAGGGGGTTTGGTGCATATGGGACGTTATTTTGGACGATGCCGCGGCGGGGAATCTTCTTTTTCACGGATGCGCCAGAAGAAAAGTTCCGGTTGTCATCAGCATTTTTCTCCTGCTTTTGGGCATTTTCCTGGTGTTGCCGGATGTTTGCTTCCACATTTTGTACTTTCTCCAGGAGTCCCCACGTTCACTTCCATGGCACAAATTTCTCTCTTTATTGTAGGCATCATGACATTGGGCACGCAATTACGATGGTTAGTTTTCGCTGCGTCATTTTTGGGAAAGGACTGGTGGGTGTAGGTGGAAAGAGGGCGGTGTTTTTGTGCGCATGCATACGGGTCTTTTCGCTTGATCGGTTGCTATATTTTAGATTGTGATACCTATGTGCGTATAGATTCTTCCTGGGTGGCGTGGAAGTTGTATAACAGAGAGAGGAAACTTGTATTTCAATATTCTCATCGGCAAGGGTCTTGACACAGTGGTAATTCGCGGCTTGTGGACGAGAGTTGCTTGTGGTTTACTGGAACTCGCATTTCGCTGAGTCCCACTCAGAGCTTCGAGCTAATCCTCATTACTTCCACTACGGCGTTTGCCTTCTCCTCTCTCTTCCTCTCTTCTTCTTTCTTCTTCTTCCGCTCTTCCATCAATCTCTTAATCTCGCTTAAATTGTCCATCTTTGTTTCCATACTCCCCAAATGGTCCCTGATCCAAACCCTCGCAGCTCCATCTCCACCATCATCCTCCCCATACTCCAATCCCCCAACCACTGCCGCCTCCCTCTCTTCTACCCCCACCATCGCCCTCACCTTCCCCAACGTTCGAGAATCCAAATACGTCTCGCTACTATCCTCCAGCACGCTCTGCAGAAGCCTGACCTGGCCCCTGTCTATCGCCCACGCCAACACCTCCCTCGGTTCCATTGCAACGCCAAGTCTCGTCTCGTCCGTGTTCGCCGGCGCCGTCGCCTCCCTCGCACCCAACAGCAACCCCACCACCTGCGCGGTGCCCTTTCTCCTCGCGCGAACCGCATGATCCAACGCCGTCATGCCCTGCGCGTCCACCATGCCGACCCGCGCGCCCTGGGCTAGCAGTGCCTCGACGATGGCGGCGGCCCCGGCCTCGGCAGCGTAGCTCAGCGGCGTGCGGCCGGAGGCGTCCGGCTCGTCGACGATGGCCGCAATTCCGTCTTTAGGGTGGGTAGCGGTGGTGGTGGCGGTGTCCGAAATGGCTGCGAAAGCGGGAGCGGAGCCGGCTTGGGCGGCGTGCGAGAAAGCGGTGCGGAGGTCGTTGTCGTGGGCGAAGAGGGCGGCGGCCTCGGCTGGCTGGGCTAGGAGAAGGTGGATGGCGAGGAGATGGGCGTGGGAAGCCGCGTGGATGAGCGGGGTGCGATTGTTGGCGTCACGATGGGAATGGATCGTGGCAGGGTGTGCTATGAGGGTTGTGAGGAGGGAATTGTAGGCCTCATCGTTAGTTGTTGGGCTGTAGCAGAGGATAGCGTGGATCAACGGGGTTTGGCGGTTGCTGGTGGTATCTGGAATGTTGGGATCGATGTTGGAGCTGGAGAGGAGGGTGTTGGCAACGGTGTAGTTGCGGGCGGTTATTGCGGTGGTGAGTGGCGTGTGACCTGCAGCGTTGTGGAGGGAGAGGTGGGAAGTCGAATGATTCTTGAGGGCGGGTTGGAGGGAGGAGAGGAACGAGTGCTGGGCAATATAGTGGAGGGGCGTTGTTCCGCCGATTGGGCGGTCTATTGTGTTGGATGTGTCGAAACAGCCGGAAAGCTTGTTATAAGGATGCAGAACAATGCTGAGGTAACGCCATGCTTCGAAGAAGCTAGATTCAGGAGACCAAAAAGATGTGTCGACGAGGCTGACAACAGGAAGGCCAGTACCATCAACCGCTCTGAAGTGAGAATTCAGGGCCGAAATGACGTAGTTAGCGAAAGGATATTGCTCCATAGTCTGTCGGGCTATGCTGCTGGCGAGCCATGAGAATGCCTCCTTTAGATATGACCTTGCTTTTGGGAATGAGAGGGTGTTGATGGAGCCCAGGTCGTGATCTGATTGAAGGTCGAGGTTCCACGTTTTGGCGGCCATCTCGATATCCTTGGACACGCGGAGAACATCGTCGCTTGCCCAGTTGTTTTCAGATTTAAGCAAGGCATCGATGCCCAGTAACATCTCGGCAGCCGCTGATCTTTCTCGCGTCTCTTCAACAAGTCTATGCTTTCTCAGGTAGTTCAAGCAAATTCCCATGATATGACGGTGGGTCAAGTCGCTCAAGGGCTTGAGTTCACCACCGGCGAGATGCTGGAGGCCGCCATTCAGGAGGTAGTGTGGGACAGAGGAGTGAACGAATCGGATGCGTTCCAAACGAGACGCGTCGGGCAATAATCGTGTCTTGACTTCCATAAGGCCCCTTGAACTTTCTTCAATGTATCTTTCCATGTCGGATGAATCTAGGACCTTCAGAATTTGGCCAGAAGAATCACGTGCGTCCTGGAGCTCTGCGATGGAGAAAGGCCTTTTCACGAAGCAGAGCCAGTGGAACATTTGTATCACTCTGGGGGTCTCCTCGGCATCGACGTCCTCCATCAAGCGTTGATAAAGCTGGGTAAGATCGCCGGGGATGGTTTTCAGTCTCCGTTCAAGAGCCGGAAGGTCACAACCGTCTCTCTTTAGCCGGGCCATTTCGGTTGCCACAAGGCGCGCCCACTGAAAATTGCCAGCGGCCTTCTGCTGGATGTGCTCTTCAAGCTTGATCCAGTCAGGTTCCTCTTCCTCACCCAGCCTTAGATGCACGAACTTCCGGATGTCGTCACGATTGTGCATTTCCACATCTGCCTCGAGGTCGCCATCGGAGGCCCAGAGCGCCGGATCATGACACGAGATGCAGACTTTCAGATCGACATTGGACCTGCGAGGCGAAGACCACAGAGCACGGAATTCGCTCGCCATCTTCATAGCGCCAGCTTCGTCAAGGCCATCGATGAGGATGGTAAGGGGTGTTTGGCTGGCAATACCCGGGAGGAAACGCATAAATTGCTGGCGCAAGAGGTCGGTTGTTGATCCACCCGGATCTTTTTCCAAGCTGATCATTTTACACACCCGGGACAGTTCTGCAAGGTACATGGGTTCGTACGGCAGCACTTGAGAAAGTAGGTGGCGGTAGCATCCTTGGGGGGAACTGTGGATTGACGAGGTTCGGCCGTCGAAAAAGTAAGACAGAACAAGTCGGCTGTCGGAGTTCTTGAGGTGCTGTGTAATGCGTTTCATCACAGTCGATTTGCCGGCGCCGGAGGGACCGCAGATCCAGAGCAGCTTTCCCGGGGCGTTGTCCCATTTGCGGAAGCCATCGTGGCCGAGGATCCAGTCGCAGGTACCATCTGCAAGCTCGATTTCGGCCTCGCGGTAGTTTTGGTCGGGGTAGGACAGGTTTTGAAGGCAAGCTCCCTGCTTCTCGACAGGCTGGAGCTTAAGGCTCAGCCGCAGGGCGTGCGGCTCTTCAGCCTCATCTCTCACAGTAGTCGAGATTTCGCATGGTGAGAGTGGATTTACCAAAGCCAGCGTCGCGACCATCAGCTCGGGGCTTCGCGGGTCCGCTTCCAAATTGCGCACGTCGATGCTGCGTTCCTGGCATTGCGGCCAGGCTTCGGTGACGAGAGTTCGCACGTCGCTCTCGGTAACTTTGCCGCCATTCCAGACGCTCGGTATGCCGCGAAGCTTGTAAACAATGTCTTCCATGAGTGTTCAGTTGCAAACGAAGAAGTGTTGACAAGGTGACGTCGCAAAAGATCACGGCGGGGTTGCATCAGCGCTAGGCTGCAGCTTCATGAAGGGCAGTCCGAGCTTCCCTTCACCGTGGCTGTGGACGTCAGTGCTCCCGAAGCCTTGATCCTTCGGCCCGAACGTTGCAAGGTTGGCGCTGGCCGGATTTCGAACTGCCGCTGATGGGGTGAGAGTGTCGTAGGAGGAAACCACTCGCCGGAACCCCAGACTTGTCGCTAACCATATTTGGGACGATAAGCGAGAGGATGGTCCCTCCAGCCCAAAGAACTACGTCTGAATGGCACAGTCCCCTCGCCTAGCGTGGGTTTGTTTTATGCTCATGTCATGGGTAGATGAAGCTATCGTCCGGACGAGAATGTCGAATTAATAATTATACATA